CCGGAAAACAAAATAATCAATATCCTTCACGAAATGGATTGATTATTATTAGTTAAATATCCACGAATTTGTGTTATTGTAAAATTTTGTATGGATGATTAGACTCTATTACCAGCTTTAGAAAAATCTTTCTACCAAAATCAAGACATGGTTTTTAATAATTAAATCAATTTTTTGAACAACATCAGATCTAAAATAATATCTGATCTAAGTAGTCTTGTGTAGTTGACGAAGATGTATAATTATTAACAAGTTTTAGTGAATACAAAATAACAATATAATAGTTAAGGTAAGTGAAATTTTTGAAACTCTCTTCTAGCCTGTTATTACAACCGTATAAAATTTTAATAAAACGTCATATTTTTCATATGTATATATTGAATTTTATGAATAAAGTGGGCATTATGGCTCAGCAAACGTAGAGTAGGACGATCTCCTACTAGGTCGATCAATGATATGCGTAAAGTGGTTGGCTGCGGTTGGATGCGTAGGACTGAAGATGTGAGTTCAGTGGCGGCCTATGAGGCCTATGTCCAGCGGTGGACAAAAGCAGGTTGATTGTGATGATGATATAATGAATATATGAATATTACTTATATCTAAATTTATGTACGTATCTAAGTATTTTAAATAGAAAATTACACTTCAAGTCTCTACAAAATTGTAAGTAGAGTCACCGGAAGAGTCAAGTGTACAATTAAAATGATTTAACATATTATGAGTTCCCGCGTAATATTGTTTACTTAATTCAAAGACCGGTTAATTGGTTCCTACACGCGACGTGATATCGTGAGTTGGTGTACGAATAAAAATTATAATTGCATAAACGGTGTGCGTTTAACAATTTCCTTCCCGAATGCACCGGGATTCCAATGTTTTACTTATAATTAAGCAAATTTTAAACTTTTTTGCCAGTAATTACTGACGTTAATAGAAACAAAGTAATATATATTGTTTTCCTTTTTTATTGATATTATTGTAAAATAGCGAAGGTGTTCACGATTAATTTTCCATATCCAGTCATGTATTTTTTTACGTTTGTATAGACTAAATTCATAAACTGTCTTTGCGCAAAGTTATATCAAACCTTTAACCTTTTGCCACGTAAATTTTTTATAATATTAGTAAAGATTTCATTCCAAAAATAAAATTCTAGAACGTTTTCTTATGGTCGTGGCTGTTTTTAGGATAAGTTATAGAGTATTAATGTAGTTGCTATATAATATATAGATTAGGTAATAAGACTACGTTTGGCGAATGGGTATTTATATCATCTTTAATTAGCCTATGATCTTAACTTCTAATTCTAAGTACACGCTAATTCTAGCTCTAAATTGACTATATTTACTCTAAACAAAACTATAAAGTTTAAAGTTGCATAGTATCTCTATGTATGTTAGCTTCTCGCAACTAACCGGGCCCGTAGCCAGTAAGTACACTTGATAAGTTTCGCAATACCCACCTGCGGCTACGTGTGAAAACTTGGACGTTGCCATAAGTGACAAGATATATTACACTCCTGATAAGTAAAAAAATACATACAGACGAACATAGAACCTTCTCCATTTTGGATTTACATAATTTTTTCTACAACTACATACATAATAAACAAGACAATTATATATAACTATAATTTTGTGTTATTATGTTGTTATTGCGTTATATGAATTATGATGCTTTTTAAATGCATCATAGATTTTAATGAAAAACATCAATTACAATTTAAATTATGTTTATCAATAAAAAATAATACTTCAAAAATAAAGCTACTATGATAATACTACGATAATATTTTTTATTTAATTTGTTGTCAATAATATCAGAGTTTAGAGATAAATAAAGAAATATCATGTATGCATACTGCGTACATATTTTTCTGCCAGTTACATAACGTAATTAAAAAATTAATACAAATTTGAAGCGTGAAATGGAACTAAACACACTTACTATTATATAAAAAGATATGTTTACATAAATAATAACTGAAGTTTATTCAAAGGCATTAATTAAATTTCTTCACATGCTTCTCAAAGTAAGCCGCTGGCAAATCGTGTGTTTTCATGTGTGTCATTTTCAACCACACGCGTGTCACGTTTCCAATCGTTGTAATAGCCAAGTGTAAAGTAGAAAACGGAGGAAGTAATGTATTGTAATTATAATAGAGTGACGGAACAGATTGAATTTACAAGTAATCGAATTAACTTGTCTATATTATGTATGATATATCACACTAATAAGACGCATAAAGACGAAAATTTGTATTTGACGAAAGTTTGGCTGTTTTCAATAGAGCTATCAGCATATCCTGAAGTTCTATATACATTTACATACATACCATGTGAGTGGATCAGCGAGTGAGGAAGTAAGTTTTTTTTATCAACGTATATTGCCATTCTAACTGCCTTACCTACTCCTAAATTATAACAGCTTTAAGTTTATTTTTTCATAAAAGGTGGACTATTTTAAATATTTATTATAGTCTGTAATAATTAAAAAAGATAATAATTTGAAACAAAAATAAGTATAAGTTTTTCTTTCAAATATGCTAAAGTTTATATGTAAATACATACGTAATGCATACTATGTAAAAATAAAAAAAACATTAATTTTAACAATCTAGCTACTGAATATTACGATACTTTTAAACACAGCTTACTGCCTTTTATATTTCCTATATTTCAGACCAATTTTTCAAGCAAGTTTTTGTATTGTCGCACTTGTACTGACTGGCTTATTGCAAAACTCCACATGATTTAATCACGTGTATACTTTATGTTAATAATTTGAAATAGGCCTCGTTACTTCGCTCTTATATGGACTCTGATCATATATTTGATCTATTTTCAATAAAATGTAAAATATCTAATTAAGCCAGCATATTACCTAAAAAGTCATTATAATAAATTTTTATGCGGCTTCCACATAAAATTAATTTTCCAAATTATTTTTATTTACTATACTAAAGAGTTTATTATGTTTATTGGAATCCACTATATAAAAAGCTATTGTATATTTGTTTGTAATATGTTATTGTAGTTTTAAATTTTATTATTAAATATGAATACCGATATAGAACGGTAATATTTTTCATTAAGTCTACCTTCGGGCTTGTACGAGTATAGTGTTACGTATAATATTTTACATCTGACCGCCAGTGTCCTTCAACATTTTGACTCGACGTCTCACCTACACTTGTTCTAAATATAGATTACAAAGTTTCGCTTTCAAAACAAAACTTGAAACTGCACCCTAATATTATTTTAGAAAGAAACTTTTTTTCCCTTAAAACTGTCAAAATTGTTAAACAAAAATTACTACCATTCCAAACTTATACGTGTACCTAAATTCATCATCTACTTATTTAGGCCATAAAAATTAAAAGGTTCTTTACAGAAAGAATTTCAAGAAAATAACTATAATATATTATACTAGCGAATCACTCTTGCTCTGCTCGGGTTCATCCCTAAGTAGGTACGTTTTAACGGTTAGGATGGAATAGCTGATAGACTATATATTTTATATACATGCATAGATACAAAGTAAACAGTTAAAAAAGAATAATTCAAATCGATTCAACCGTTTTTTGAGTTTTAGCGAGACTAACGAACGGCAATTTATTTTTATACACATACATAATATATAGAAGAACTTATTCCATTAACAAAGTATGCGTATGAGCCTTAAGCTCGTTGAACTCTTTTAAACGTACAAGTATACTAATTATTAAGTAACCGATTCGATTTCGATTAAATCATTAGCAACTCAATGTAAATTTGTAATAATTCTTTGATAAAAAATAAAAAATATGTAAAGTAGATAAAATTGTAGATTAAATTGCCATTCTTGTATCGTACTCGCAATATTTAATGGCTGTTATATCGATTTAAATAGAACTTTCACTTATAGATAATCGGGCATTCTTGTTGCATCGGAATTTAAGTTAGAGCTACTTTCATTTTGATTTAATTTATATCAACAACTTTATTATAATCAAAATAATTCATTTTTATTTTAATTGTCAGTGATATCGTATTTGACTCTACCTACTATGATGGTGGTTGCGGATCGATTCCCGCTAGTGTATATTTTATTGGACATATGTATATTAAGTAATTATTTTAGTTTTATTAAAAAAACGTAAGTATTGAACAAAATTGTTAAATTATGTAACTTTTAGCACAGTGATTAAAAAATGATGTACATTTAATATGGAATTATAACATTCAATGAAATATTAAAACAATTGTGTAATAAGCTTTTATTATACATTTATATTTTATTGCAAATAATTAATATTTATTATATTTCGTATTTTTTATAATTAAGAAGTATACATTATTATTATAATATTCTATTATTGTTTTATATTTTTATAAACAATGTAATAGATATAAATCACGCCGATAATTATGTGGAGTAATATATCGTGACCAATGTCAAGATATTATCAAGAGGTTTACGACCTCACTTATAAAGAAATATATTATTTTTTAATTCTCTAACTTAATGAGATAGATATTTACCTTAAAGTATTTTTTTATTAAAAAACAAACTTCGATTTGGCAAATATTTTATAGAAAAAAGATTTTTACTTTGCGACTTCTACTTCTCATAGGTTGGAGAGAAAGCGATTAATTTCACATATTCGTTGGAAATTAGACAGGATATTATGCAGTTTAGATGCCACCGTTTTAATTATCAAGTGCAAATAGAGAAAGCTGTTATTTACATACCTACAAACTATTAATATTAAATGTTCATATATTTTTTCCGCTTAATATGATTTTTTTGTTTTGGTTCGCAGTTTTAGCGTGATCGAGGAAAGTAAATATGATCTTTAAAATCTTATATCAGCTATTATACATGGTTTGATACGATACGATGTAAGTAAGAGTAAATAATTAAATATTCCAAAACAAAATTAAACCGTATCAAAATCCGATGCCGACATAACTATGTTATAGAACAAAGAAGCACTTAACGAAAAAGTGTATAATTACCTAATTTCCATTATTTCGCACAAAATACACCACACAAGACCAGAGTCGGAACGCACGGACCGCGGGGAAGTACTGCAGCGCTCGGACTCTCACCCTCATATATAAGCATCGCCGGAGCCGGCCCGAAGAAATGCAACCGTTTGGCAACATGACGCGAATCCGAGCGATTCGGAAAAATACTCTTAACTACCATCTGCCCCAAACTTTGCCTATTTGGTCAATTTACTTTGATAATTAGACGATAATATCGCTATTATAATGAGGTTTGTGTAAAAATATATAATGTAAGTATAATATTAATTTTATTATTATAATAAAATGATTGTTATTGATTTTATTATTATTGGTAAAAAAATCTATTCATTTTTTATGTTAATGGCTTCAAATCGTGCCAGGGTAAAAAATCATAGTATTAAATATATTAAGTTTTATATTTGTAGACAAAATGAAATAAAAAGAACACTAATAAGTAATAATTAACGATAATAGCACAGTTCAAACTAATGGAAGGAGTGGAAAGAATATTTGTATATATTTTAAAAATAATAAGCGTTTCACTAAATTTATTTTATCGAAATTTCAACGCTTAGGAGATTTTAACCTCTTATTCAAATTCAGTAATGATTCTTCACAATACATATTATACATAATATTTATTATACCTATATGTACAAAATAATAACATTAAAGCAACCCCTATAAATATGACAAAAACATGAACGAATTAGCCACAAAAAATCTGTTTTCATTAATTGTTCTAATGAGATAATATTATGTTAATTTTGTTAGTATCTTTTCGCTAGAAAGAAAGTTTTACATTAAATCTACGAGCGTGTATACAAGGGTAAATATAAGTTAAAATAATTAAATAATAATCTGTAATTATATATTAAACATATTTAAAGTACTTATAAGAACAAATTCTCAATTTTTTGATACCTTCTCTTCGAATTATATTAAGTACTTGTATTTAGTCGAGGTAGTTTATACAAATTTTAACTTTGATGTGGATATTTGACGCGTAGTACTGGAAGTTTGTAAGTTCGAACTCTAAGCTCTAAAAATATTTACCCAGCTTTACTTAAATAGAGCTTAAGTTAAATGTTATTTACATTAAAAATCTTATAAGAATGCACATACATTTCTCCTTCCTTACTGTTTAGAGAAAAAGCGTGAAGCATAACAAAAATAATTTATAAATTATAAATTCATCAGCTACAGATTGTAACTTACCAAAAATGAAGTGACACTAAAATTTGAAAGTTATAATAAAATTAGTCTTATTCAATAATATTATATAATCTCAACTTAAATAGCTTTAAACTAATGTAATTACTTTGTGCTGTAAAAATTGGGTTTATATTTTATGCTTCAAATAGTCATTTTACGGCTTATTGTAGAAGCGGAACGGTTCGTTCACTTATACAGCATTTGATCTTTCACATAAATATTGAGAGTACCTCACTATCAATATTTACTTATTTAAATATGGCAAATGACAGAGAGGCTTAGTAGCAACCCTTAGGAACGAATGATTTCTTACTAACATCATATGATATGTATATATTTTAACCGATTTCCAAAAAGTCGGAGGTTCTCAATTCGTCGGAACCTTTTTTTATGTATGTTCACCGATTACTCGAAGACGCCTGAACCGATTTGGAAATAATTTTTTTTTGTTTCAAAGGGTATATATACTTCCCAGGTTTTATAGAAATCGGTCAAGCAGTTTTTTTTTAAATCAACAAATATTTTTTTTTAAATAAATTGCTTAATCGAACATGTAATTAAAAAAGTTTCTTGTAACAAATTACCTGCTTATTACGTCTATACTAAAAATGGATTAATAAAAACTTAAAAGAAACCGACTTCCAGGCACTAAAATGTAAAAAAATAACTAAACGGGGGTTTTCATTTAGATTAGATACCTAATCACTATTCCGATATTTTGAAGTCGGTGCCCCCGTTTATTTATTTTTCACATTTTAGTGTCTGGAAGTCGGTTTTATATATATTTTTTTAAGTTTTTTATATATGTATATTCATATTACTCGTGCTACAAGCCGAAAGATCTATTACGATTTGAGCTATTTAATGTTAAAAACTAAAAAGAACCCTTTTAAACGAGTATAATGTATGGGGCTCGGCAAAATGAATCAAATGTGCGTTTAGAAGGTTTTACTAGAAGCACAGATCATATAATACTATAGCTAGTAGTCATTAAGGAGTTCCACTATCTTCTCCTAGATCTATAATCAGATTAGCTCGATGGTATAAATTTAATGTTTTGTCATCCAGATTATACGTGCAATATACAAAGTTTCAAATCGATACGGTATTTAGAAGTAGGTTAAAATCGATTTCCAATATGTTATTAGTATTACATAGTTATGTCAGTTAAGTAGTTACAAGACGCGTAGCTAAGAAAAGCGTATTAACAAAGTTAAAATGTATAATATTCCCTCCACGACCGCGGACACGCCGGCGTGTCAGTTAACAATAGATTTCTTAAAAATTTAATTAATTTCTTAGTGTATATATCACCTCCAGGTATTTATCGAAATTAAAACATGTCAGAATAAAAAAAAGTTGAACCATTAAAAATCTTCCAGCAGTTATAAAGAGAGTCACAATTTCACCGACAGAATGTAGAAAACTGTAGATTTTGCTTACACAAACTTTGGTTTGAGGTTCCGCTCCCGTACCTACATCATATATGTATACTCTGCTCCTATCAGTTACAGATATTACCTAATGCGTTCAAACAAAGTAAAAATGATCTCTTTAGTTTTATAATACTTTTTTATATGTAACGTCAAACTTTAAATCTTGAACATTTAATATGCCTATAAATGTTAACATAGATATTTTTTTAAAGAAATATATTGTTAACTAGCATTGCCCGCGGCTCCGCCCAAGTTCAGATAACCAAAAACCAAATTCTTAGGTTTTACATATTAGTGTACTCCTCTTACATTGCAGTTTTAGTATTTTTTTCTCAGAAATGAGACGTTTTCCCGCGGTAAAAAGTACCTATACGTTGACCCGGATAACCAGATATCACCATACCAAATTTCATCAAAATCCCTCCAGTGGTTTTTATGTGATGCGGTAACAAATAAACAGACAGACAAAAATTCTAAAAACTATAGATATTCGGCCTCTGTATCAATAATAAGGTCTACTTCAATGAGATTTTTCAAAAAATACTTAACATACAGATTCGGCTTAGTTACAATTTTATTATATGCATAGATGTAAAGGACGATATTCTCTCATTTGATCCTATAAATAAAATGATAATTTAAAGATTTACGGAGGTAAAAATTTGGGTATTATACTATACAAAACTCTAAAAGTGTCACTTTTAACATTTTTATTCGCAAACACAGCAGAATAAATTCAGTGTACCTTTTTACAGGTAATATAATAAATTATATTTTGATAGATTCATTAATTTGCTAATGTATTTATTTATATATGTACTTAATAACATTTTATGTGTAGGCATATAACATAGTATATCGAATACATATACAATAATACATACCTACGGATAAACATCGATACGATACAAGAATTAATCAATAGCATTCTCAAGGAGGGTTTACGACAGGCAGGTCGTAAAACTTTTGCCAAATCTTATCAGCAGTACAGAAGATGTACTGCACCGACCCCAACTGATTGGGAAATGGGCAGGGAGTGGGAGACGAAGAAGACGATACAAAAGAATGAATAGCTATATGAAATAGTTAAAATTATAGCTTTATTACAAGTATCTTTCTATATTACCTGTAGTCACAGACATAAGTTATATTGTCTGTGACTGTAGTTTACACGTTAAAATTATACATTTTGTAACTTTTAATCGACATTACCCATCCAAATGATACATGTAGTCTATAATATGTAGATTGTAGATATAATAAAATTAATTAATATTAACAAACGGGAAATCGAAACCTACTTTACTTTATGTAAATGCAAAAATTAGCAAATTATCTAATAACCAGTCCCATCTGTTATTATTCGAGATTGTTTCCTTTCCGAAAGTGCCTTTAGCGATTATCGGCACGTAAACCTGCCTCACTTATGGATTTACACAAAAATACCTACTACTAAAACAAAGTTGCTCATATTGAGTGTATAATTGAACTAAATCAACCATTTTTTAAACGTTGAGAAATGCATTCATGCATACCATTTGTATGGATGTATAGGCGGCTATGTGAGACTTAACGGCCAAAAAAGCAGTAATACCTACTAAACGGAACCTCCCGCGTCTTAATGGGACATCGCAGGATCGCTTACGGACTCGACCACGACGGGCTAAATTAACTAAACTTAATTTTAAGCAACGAATAAAACGTCAGCTCAGAGTAAAATTGCTTATCTACTATTGCACAGGAACATCGGGTTTCACAAGAAATAGTGCAAAGAGTTGATTTTTTTTGCAGGAACTACTGAATAGATTTCATTAAAGGATTCATTCTTTTATTCATTCATCCATATTTAGGAATTTATTACTCAGCCCTTTTTTAAAGTCCCACTGCCATAGAGTATGTAACCCTTTTTACCACTACTGGACATGTGCCTGCCTTCGATACGAGGGAGATCAGGCCATAGTCCACCACGCTGGCCAAATGCGGGTTGGTAGACTTCACGTCTTTCTAATACTTGCTAGGTTCTCTCAGACATGCAGGTTTCCTCACGATGTTTTCCTTCACCGTAACGAACGACAACGAGCGTAATGGATAAAAATTAATACGAATTTCTACGTAAAATATACTGTATCAGTCTTTAAAAAACTGGACAAATTATTACTTATTATGTATATTTACTCAAATCGCCTTTTAGATAAAAATACTAAAAAAACGTGATACGAAAGGACCAAAATGATAGGTGCAGTGGGATGACTCAAGTTCATCACTGCACTGCATTTATTTATGTCATGCTATTTGTCAAAAATCTTTGTCAAGATTGAATAAAATGTCTTCGAAAATTAGTCTGGTCCGTTATCTCTAGTAATTTTATAATATTTCATTAATGCCTACATCTTTTGGACTCGCTTTCCGCTTGGCCATAGCTTTTTCTTATTTTGGTCGAATAAAATTTTTGAAACATAGAATAATAACAGTGTTCATGACACTTTTGATGAATTCATCCGATTGATTTCTTTGATAGAAGTCACATTGGACAGAGTTTTACCAGTGAGATACCTACCATCTTATGATAGTGAAATGAGCAACGCCGCAAGAAACAGCAAGATCGAAACACAAGGATGGATTCTTTAATTTTATAGGGAATTCAATGTAATAAAAAATAAATCAGACAAAAATAAAACTTACGTATAAATATTAAAAATTTAAGTGGTCTGAAGATATTTTAATTCAATAAATAAGACCGTTTAAGAATTGCTATTTTTAATGTCGAGGCATTATACCATCATACTAATTTACATATGAAAAAAAAACGTTTTGACTAGTGAAGGTTATAAATAAACAAATAATATGTTTTCTCGCCTTAGTATTTCCTAAAATAAACTGATTGCTTCTTTGGAACTTTTTCTAAGTTATACAAGCATGAGCAACAGGGACAAAAATAAAGGCGTAGAAATCTGGCCACTTTAGATTTTGTACTAGACTCTGTGCTATATTCACTACCCCTTAGCGATTGATCATCTTTACGACTAGAGCTGTAAGATTTGATTTCATCCATTTCTATAAAATTTGGCGTTCCAAGACTCACTTTTCTAACCTGTGGATCTATGCCGTGTTCCCAAGAACTTAAGGGTAATAAATACTCTTCAACGTTCAAGCTATGTTTTGACGGAGGCTGTGATTGCAAAATAAGTGTTGCTAAATTTACCATTGAAGAGCTATCAGGATGATGAAGACCATCTCCCAAAGCAACGTTACCCATTTTATCTTTCATATCGTTTTTGGAGCATATCTTCATTCTTAGCACGGTGATGTCAGAATCGCTTGGCCATGATATTACATCTGACATGCAGTGTTTATGGTTCTTAGACCTTTTACTCTTTTTCTTACCTTGTTCTTGTTTGACTTTGGATAATCCACTTTCTAAGCTTTTAGCCAAACTCGCAGATACACTACTATCAGTCTTTGACGGTAATTTGAAAGCAACTTGTCGAAATTTACCGTTAGCTTTTTGAATATCTATAATATCTTCAATTTTTCTTATTTGCATGTCTTGTGATTCGATATTTATATCCATAAATATAACTTGTAAGACTTAACTACACCAAAAAATTTTTTGTAATTATTTATTTACCACATCAGGTTGGTTTTATGACATCCATTATTGTCCTAAAATATTTAAAAATTGGTATAATTTCATTTTGTCCTCAAAGTTTTATTAGATTTTATAAAATTTAATTTTAACGTTATTTTTAACTTCAAATAAAAAAACTGTTTTTCATTTCATACTAAACGTTATATAATTTATATATTTTTTAATTATTGCGTATGTTGAAACGTAAGTGTGCGTTCATTAATACATTAAATTCCTTACATAATATTTTTTAATACTGAAACATTTTTAAATATATCTATCAGAAAATTATTAAATTTATGATGAGTATGTTATTATAAAATGATAATAGTTGTATAATATTCATGAAATATCAGAAATACTTATTACCAGTATTTGTATGATTTAAGATTTCTGCACTTGACACTTGGAAGTTGGAGAAATACAAAATGTCATCACATTGTCATTCTCGAGAGAAGGATGGTGTAATGTTTTCGCTTGGTTAATTTTCTTTTTCCTTACAATGGAATCTACTAGTCCTGATGCTGAGAGAAGTGATAAATGTGCTATCAATGGGGACTGCTCACCAGCATTTAATAATGACTCCACAAGTTTAAATCACTCGAAAAATATTGATGACATCTCTACGCCTTCAGAATTAAAATTCGATGAAGGTATTGTAAACAATTATTATGACTTCGACCAGTTTCCTATTACATTGCTCTTACGAGGGACGGTAAATGTGATGACGAATAAATGGATATTTTTATTGCTTCCTCTTTATTAATAGCTGTTGTTGATTTCCCGTCATTACCATTTTTGTTTATTTAGACTTTGAGTTCGAGGACCCTGATGTCACCGAGAAGCGAAAAGAATTGGAAAAATGCCTTATGAACCCTGATGTAGTCAATTTAGAACAATGGGAGAATTTTGCAAAAAGTAAAAGTGGCTTAATTTCTGGTAAGTTTTGATTTAAATTTACATAAGATACACTGCAATAACATTTGTCACGTCATTGTACTTTCACTTTAAACACTTAAAATATTAATACTTTCAAGAATTTTATTTATATCTCTTAGTTATTTTATAAGTCATCTAATAAAGTTTCAATATTTTTTGTAGATGAATATAGGAGAAAAATATGGCCACTTTTAGTAGGAGTGACAAAGGAAGAGATGACGGAGCCTCCATCACTTGATGAACTATCTACTCACGCAGAGTACAATCAGGTATTTTTAACATCATTTTTTTGCAGTATAAAATTTTTACTAGGTATAATATTATTTTAATATAAGTTGTATGAACAATAAATTGTTGTCTATAGACTTAATTTTTACAGGTAGTATTAGATGTCAACAGATCTTTAAAGAGGTTTCCACCAGGCATTCCATATGAACAAAGAGTGGCGCTGCAGGATCAGCTCACAGTCCTCATACTCAGGGTCATTATGAAGTACCCACATTTGAAATATTACCAAGTTAGTTTTGTATATGATTACTTTGTAACTTTATATCCATTTTGTGTACATATAAATAATAATACCGTCATCTTTATTATATTTACATAAAAAACATGTGACCGTGTACATTTTGTACTTTTAAAAAATAAAACATTACTTAAATATCCATAGCTTATACAATATTAAAAAATATATGATTACTTTTTACTAATAATATAAACAATGTTTTAAAATTAATTTACACAAATCAATTAAAAAATATGTTAATTCTTGTTTCTAAAATAATCTAATCTGATTTAAAAGCCTAAATAATATAAAAAGTGTACGTTAAATAAGACGAAGTGTATTTGTTTGGAATAAACATATAGTAGGTATTATTGTTTGCTGTTTGATAAGTAGGTACTTGTTTACTATCTATATTTAATGGAAGCAAAACAAAACTCATTATGTGTGCAGTATAAAATACATTTACACTGATAAACTATAATCTATACATATCATTCTGGAAAATCTTAGTAAAATAGTCATTATCTATTCATAGGCCGAACCTATAGCTTTTAGAATTTTTGTCTGTCTGGGAATGCATCAAGAGAAAACCACTTGAAAGATTTTGATGAAATTTGGTATGATTATGGCCTGTTATGCAGGTCAAATATCAAAAGCAAGGAAAATATCTCATCTTTGAGAAATCTATACTAAACCTTAAAACATAACTAGGGACGAAACTGAGTGAAGCGAGGATGAGTCGCTAGTATATATAATAAATAGTATTTATTCATGATTGAATAGTTAATTAATAAAAATCCTTTATCTTAAAAATGTCTTGCATTTTAGTGATTGCTTTTACACTATAAAAAAGAAGTTCTGTAGGTTGGGAGATGTTTTTTTTTATTTAATATTTTTTATTTGTTGAATTTGACAAATTTGTGCATTATTGGTATATATTTAGTTATTTTTCATATATTAGTATGTTTTTAAAAGTGCTATTAAAGAAGTACATTCCATTGCTAAATATATTGCTATAATGGACGAATTTTTAAAACTAATGGAAAGGTCTTTTCTAAAAAATAAAAAAATAATATTTTTATAAAACCTATACTGGCTACTTTGCAATTGTTACAACGCAATTTTTCCTATTTTTGTTTTATATAAAAATTACTAAAAGTGCCTTGCCCTTGCAAAGATTATATATATAAAGTACATTACAGAATTCTGTCAATACAAATAAATAAAATTGAAGTGTGTAATGTCAATATATTATTAGCTTCTTACTAAATGCATATGAAAGTATATACAGTATTTATAAAAGAAATCAAATTTTTAAAGTTTTATCAGTCTGTCTGTTTGTTTGTTCTGGCTAATCTCCGAAACGGCTGGACTGATTTTTGTCTTTCACTGGCAAATAGCTTATGTTATAGGGAGGAAGTAACTTATGTTTTAGAAAAAGAATTAGGTTTCCTTGCAAAAAAATTAAAACCAATGAAATTGTAAACAAAATTGTCCCTAGGGTGATGCACTTGAACAAACCGAGGATGATTTTTAATCTTATATGTATTCCAGTTAGTATAGATCTTGTAAGGGGAATCCTTTTTTCTTGGAAGTAATATGTATGTATTAGACATATATAATATTATATATAATATATTTCTGAAAAAAATACTTTGTTATGATATTCATAAGGTTTTATTCAATTAGAATGAATGTATATTCTATAACTTATATATTTTTTTCCATTCTTAGGGTTACCATGACGTTGCGATCACATTGCTATTGGTTTGTGGGGACAAAGCGTCGTTTCCTCTCCTGTGTCGCCTGTCGTACGGTCCAAAGGCTCCCCTCGCGCCGTTCATGCAAGCTACCATGCAGCCCACACAGCACTTGCTAAACTACATGCTGCCAGTACTACGTAGAGCTGATCATAGATTAGCCGAGTGCTTGGATAAGTAAGTTTTGTATATTTAATATGTTACTACTAGCTAGACGAACATATCAACAGTAAATAAATTGTATCGTACCAATAACCGTCGTTACCGAGGCGTTTCCTGTGTCACTGCACAGATCTGGCGTGGGCACAATGTTCGCGCTGCCCTGGTACCTGACGTGGTTCGGACACAGCCTGAACCGTTACGCGGACGTGGTGCGTCTCTATGACTACTTCTTGTGCGCGCCGCCACTCTTCCCCGTGTACGTGACGGCGGCCATCGTGCTGCAGCGTGCTTGCGACGTGCTCAACTGCGACTGTGATATGGCGATGATGCACTGCTTGTTATCTAGGGTGAGTTTAGACTGTAGACCAACATCCCACGGGATCTAGCTAATGTACCGGAGTAATGACTATTTATGAATAAGATCTCTTTGACTCTGACATCAGGGCGGTCATTGGGCTGCAACACCTTTGATTAGTTTAATTGAGATTGTAAGATGGTGATGATGCATGATGCATCGCTTGTTGTCTATGGTAAATTAAGACCTGGGTCCAGCGCCTTTATTTAGCACTTGATAAATATCATGATATTTTAACTTTGATAGTTAATTATCAATTAATATTTTTCAAATTTTTACTTTGTTAAAAATTATTATATGTAATATACAATGAGTAAAGATAACTAAGTATTTTTTTTTATCTCTTAGAGAATGTCGTTCTCAAAATTATATGTCATCAATATTTGATAATTATCTAGATAAACATAGGAAGATGATAAGTAATTTATTTTATTAAATAATAGTAATATTAATAATGCCCCACGTATATATAATCGCAAAGGTAATTTTCATTTTGATCTTTTTTATATTAAATGGACCCATTTTTAACCGACTTCCAAAAAGGAGAGGGTTCTCAATTCGTCGGAATCTTTTTTTTCAGTTACCGGATGACTTACCATTTGAAGACATCTTGGTTACAGCGAAAAAATTATATGAAGAAAACGATCCGACTGATCTCGAGGCCGAAGTCGCCGCCTTGGAGAAAAGAGAGTAAGTTGCTGAAGCTTTTCTTTATTTTAAAATGCCAAAACCAGCAAATTAGGAATATTGATATTTCTCTGCATTCGCCATAAAGGATAGTTCTTAATTTTCTTGTGCTTGTCCTACTACTAGTATTGTGAAAGTTTGTTTGCGGATATGTGTATGTATGCATAAGTATGTACGTGCGTGTGTGTGTGCATTCATAATGACACAACACGCACCGTCGGCGCATTCATTGCGCATCGGATGAAAGTGGAACGTGTTGGAGAGAACTTAGCAAGTTTTCGAAAGACATGTGAAGTCCGCCAACCCGCACTTGGCCAGCGTGGTGGATTATGGCTTGATCGTATTGATGGGAGGCCCGTGCTCGGCAGGCAGACGTTTGAAAGGTTTTAAAATTATTATATTAGATTTAAAAAAAAAATAGTAACAGCTAAAATTAAATAATATTCCATTTTCAATTATAAAACTAATTGAAATTATAAAAATGTTTAACATTGGAAAATATTGTAAGGTATTTTAGTGACATTTATCAATTTTTTGAATTTGTTTTGTTATTTGTAGGAAGGCTGCCCGTAATAAAAATAAATAAAAAAATAAAAAAGCCTGTATTTCCTTATCCTTAATTTCCATTTCAAATGTTGGTATTTGTTTGTTAGTGTTTAGTTAGTTATTAATGTTTTGCTTATTGTCTAAATGTTAGTAATAGTTAGTTTTTGCTATTGGATAAGAACCCCTCCTCGGGTGAAGGCCTCTTCCAGTCCTTTCCACTTATCTCTGTCCTTGCCGATAGTTTGCCAGTCTTTTCCTATTAATTCGGTTATATCGTCAGCCCATTGTCTTTTCGGTCTCCCTACCCTTCTTTTGCCAATTGGCCCTTCCCACCTTGTAATATTAATTGTCCACCTGTTGTCTGTGTATCTCGATACATGACCTGCCCACTGCCATTTCAATTTTAGAGCTTGTGTGAGGGCATCTGTTATCTTTGTTTTCTGTCTGATTACTTTGCTCCTGACTTTTTGTATTTTTCTTATGTTAAGGATACTTCTCTCCATAGCTCTTTGTGTTGTTGTAATCCTTTGTTTTGCTTTTGTTGTGTATATCCAAGTTTGGCAGCCATACAGTAGACAAGGCAGTATACAGCTGTCTAGTACCGTTTTCTTAAGGTTTATCGAGTAGTCTCCTTTTAAAATTTATATATTTATATAAAAGGCTGCCCGTAATAACTGTATATTCGTAATATCTTTGAGACGTCTAATACCTTAGTCTCTCCCGTGACCGTGATTGCTGTAAAGCATTCGAACGTAGGGAACCAAAAATCAAAATAAATTCGTGAAATAATTCGAAAAGATAGTTTTATTTAATGACATTTTAAATAAAACTATCTTTTTTCTATATATTCTATTCGCGTAAATCTAAGGAAGCATTACGTTTGAAAGGATTGATTACTACAAAAATGACTATCCCGGGAAAGAATCCTTTTATTTTTACGGAGGGACCTGTTTTGTCCACAGAGAGGAGCAGCGCAAGTTGGACGAGGAGCGCATGCGCGCGCGCGCGGCGGCGCGGCGGCCGGCGCCGCGGCGCTGGGCGGCGCTGCGCGCGCCCGCCGCCCGCCGCGCCGCGCTGGCCGTGGCCGCCGCGCTGCTCGCCGTGTACGTCTACTACCGCCCCGACCTCTTCAGGTAGCGCCACGCCTATCAGTTCGTCCTCTTCCGCTTCTAGCCGCGCCCGCGCGCCGCCCACGCGGTACGAGGGTTATATGATAATCATATCACAGGACTTAAACGCGTTAATTAGTTAATGGCGTACTCCGATCGAGCTCGTGGTCTGCCCGTGACCACGGCCGGTGCGACCCAGTCGTGAGCGGTGTTTAGTCACCTACGAATTCTTGCGTTTAAATCCCGTAGTGTCATTATTGTGTAATATTATAGAATGCGAAAATTCAAAAAGTTATGGTACACGTGTTGTGTATACCGTTTGGTAAAGAGCTTTCACATTCGAGTGGAGATTAGTAGTTTGGTAAAGGGACATCTATTAATTACGTGAACTGTTTTTCTCATAATGTGGACGCCTCCCTTGGTAAAGTTTAGTGAGATTTACCCTGCAGTTGTTAAAAACAATACAAAAGTTCAGGTACTCTCGAAGTAAATGTTATTTATAAATGAGATTTTTTGAGCAGGCAAAATGGGTCTTACAAAGGAAACAAAATAAAAATTTAATATTTTTTTTTATTACCTGCATATGTTCACGTGAGATTTTCAATTAAATGAGATTTTTACCCCCCCTTTTTTTAAACCCCCCTCCCCCTTTTAAGCTCACTTAATCAATAGATTTCCCCTGAGACGTTTCCTTCACTCGCTTCAATGCTGTAGATCGGGATCAGTAGTTTGGTAATATGCTTCATTTCTATGAAATCATTTTGTAGTTAGGTGTGCAATGTCGCTTAGCTAAGGATCGCGGTTTTGTAATTTGGAGATACGCTTCCAAACTTTAGATTTCCATTTAGTAGTGAAGCTTATCACTAAAGATCGTTGTTTTGTAGTTTAGTTACACGCGTTTGGTTTTGTTTGTCTGACAGTTTTGTTTTTCTTTTGAGTTATCTTGTTTTTCATATTTTTTATTGTTTTAGTGTTTTTTTTTATATGACCATTATTGCGATTGAATAATTCCAAAATTGTTACTAATCACAATCAAATTTTACACAGATTATAAATATTTCAATTCGGTTTACCGCCATTGGTCTAAATAACCATATTAGGAATGATTATCAGATCTATACAAGACTTGTATAAAAGACCACACAAGCATCAATTTTCATGGTGATATCTCACCATTATATTAGCGAATGATCACTAGCACGATGATAATGAATCATCAACAAAATATAACAGGCTTTTCTTCTCTACATACACTCGTTATTATAAACACGCCATATTTTTTTTTATTTTTACATTTTCATTTGGGTTGAAGTATCGCTTTACAACGGTATTCGGGCAAGCTTGAAGTAGACGGACGGACTGATAGAAGTACAATTTGTACTAAATTGCTATTATATTGTATAACACATGTGTATTTCATAATAAAATTTAATTGGAAAAGTTTGGATTTAGAGATACTCCAAGAGATGAGTTCGAAATGTTCATTTGGCTATTAAAACAAATAACCTGCATTTCGAAACAATTGTCTCCTGGACTATATATAACAGTGTAGTGGATTTGTAATTATTAACGCTGAATATTAATATTGTAGTATATTATGCACGATATAGACTGCGATGTTTTGTATAGTTTTAATAAATGTGAATGGATAATAGAGCAAATTAAAACCAACTGCCTTTACTAGCGGTGTAGCTTGTGTTGATTCGGATTAAAATAGGGTCTGGTTTCAAAGAGATATGACAACATGTTTTATTTATGATAATAATAATACTTTAATGGAGGACCCTCAAGAGTTTGAGCTTGGATAATCAAATAGTAAAAAGTTCTTGAGAGAAAATCAAAATAACTATAGGAAGTACAATATACAATTATGAGTTTCTGCCATAAAAAACTGAAAAAAAATAGAAGTAATTTAATCAGTGTGATGTTAAAATGAACTAAATACAATAATAATAATAATAAACATATTTTAAAGAAAAATTAGTCAATCTGTACTATACATGTACGGTGATATACACATATTTAGTTTATTTTAACATTTTCTCCATATTGTCATATCTATATAACATAAACCAGACTATGTATGGTTAATGATATATTTAAATTATAATAACTGTATGAAATGTATGGAATAAGATTTATATTTTAAATCTAAATAAAGCTAAATGATGAGTGTTAAAAAGTAAATATAACGGAATTTTGTGTAAAATTTAAAATTTTGTGTATTTGATGAAATAATTTTGTTCAATTGTTATTCATTAGCAGTATTTAGAATTTTGTTAGTATATGTGTATAGGGTCGGCTTTATTTAGCATAATCAAGTCAATTTATATGTTAAGTACAAATAGTTAGACCATTAAGTGGGAATTAGCACAAGAATCAGAGTTGTTTTAACTATATACTCTCATTTTTTTCATACACTTTGATCTCTTACTCATCAACCATCGATCAAAAAAATATTAGATACACAAAGATGTCCTCACCGAATGAACGTTCATTTGAACATTTGAGCGCGTTTAATAATTTTTTTGTGAAAGCAACTTTAAGCATTGCATTTAAGGTTCAATTTACATTGTTATATATTTATTACAACTACCATAATTACCTAAACACAATTCGTGACAGTTTTAAGAGAACTTTTGCATGGGATTGTGTACTTAGTACCATTTTGATCGATGTCATCAACAGACAAAAATATTGTGTAAGTTTTAAATAGGAAGAGAATGTTAATTTACTATGGATTAGCTTTCCATGATTTAAATTATTTATTGATTTTTTGTCTATATATTATGTTTTGTCATTATGGAATTGTGATATTTCGTTTGAAGTTATTTTTAATATCGTTCATTTCATTCATTCCCTGTTAGTTGATCGTTAGACCTTTGCGATTTAAAAAAAAACATTGTTTTTTTTTAAGTATAACTTTTTTTAGATTATGTATGTTGAATGCACGTAGCATAAGTTGACAAATTTTAGAAATAAAAAACACGAAATTGAAAGTTTCATCAAAATCTGTCCAATATCTGCTTAAGAATAGAATTTTAAATGTATTATAATTTTATAGAAGTAGATTTTAATACTTTTAATATTTAGGACAGCTACACACTGTACATTTTGTTGAGAGTAATTTAAGAAATCATTAATTTGATCAATACAATCAATTTAGTGTGTAATCCTCCTTAACAATTTTAACGCTAACAATGTATCCTTTAAACAATGAATAGATTATACATAAGTTTTTGTAGGTCGATTCGTTAAAGGATTATGAGATATTCGCATTTATTGATTTATATATAATTGTACTTATACTTTATGTTTTGGCGTTAAGTTAAAAGGATAAAGTCGCATCGTTTATGGTCTAGGGCACAATAACTGAATTATTTATCCATATTTTGTATTTAAGTAACAAATTAAACTATTTTCATTTGTAAATATTACTTCATTATATAGGTTTGGGAAGTTTTGTTATTTATGAATTATGTTTTGAATGTTTGTTTGCGATTTCTTTGATGAAAACAATTTGTGATTTTTGAATCTTAACGTGTGTATGTGTAGACGGCACTTTGTTTAGTATTGTTATATTATTATATTATGATATAATATACGATACTGTTTATATATTAAATAAAAATGACTATTATTTTTAATTTTAAACTAAAATTAAATAAAAATCTTAATGGACATGCATGAAGGTATTTAGTAATTATAATACTTCTAAAGAGAATATTACGTGATCAAATATTTAACGAGCTTTGATTTATTACGTTTTAGATTTTAGATGTTCGAAAAATAAATGGTAACTGGTACTGGTAGTTATAAAAATTAACTACACGTATAATTCAAGCAAAACTTAATGCGTCTGTGAAGTTAGCTGTAAGTGACGACACAACATGCGTCATAACATCTCTCTGCTCATTTCCCAGTCATTTGAGGTCGGCGTAGTACATCTTCCATATTGGGATTTGGCAAAAAATTTACGACCGGCCACCTGCCTGACATCAACCCTCTTTGATAATATATGAGTGTAATATAAAATATTGAAAGGTATAGCAGGTACTCAAGAGTAATGAATTATATAGACGCCAAAATATATATAAAAGTCAAAAATAGTAGCGAGATTTGTTGTTTATGCTATTCTCGATATCGCCGTACAGTTGTTACTTTCTTTAAAGAATATGAGGTTTTGTTGGGTTTTGCTCAAATCTTGCAACTGAATTTTAAAGCAGTTATCCTCAAACGATCGAGCTGAAATTTTGTATCCACGTTTAGTTTGGATGACAGTGCATGCTTAGACGTGACGTTTTTATAAATCCAATATGGCGGACTTCAAAAGATGGTGGACTATGTTTTTTTTATTCACCCCCATGATATGGATATTAAAAAATTATAAACGAATAGTAAAAAAACATTTTTTTAAATAAGCTTTTATTGAAATGCTCTAAAAAGAAGAAAATAAACTTCAAATTAAATCAAACCCATCAATTTATTACATTTTACAATATTTTACAATGTATATAGTATAAAGGCTGATTGTATTTAAAGCTGATTGAGTGTAGATAAACAAGAATATAATATGTAACTTGGTCTTGACATTTAAAGTACCTAATTCTAAGAAAAAAAAAAGTTTTTATATTAAAGTCGTTGTAATAAAAAGAACTAAAATACTTATTTAAGCTGAGCAAGAATAGAGTAAATTAGTAGAAAAGTTAAATTGCATATGCAATTCTATATAGATAAAGCTCTACATCATTGAAACAAACTTTAAGACCAACATTAAAAACAAAACGATTTTAAAAGCTACATAAAATTAGTATTGGTTTTAGATTAGGCTTTCAATGATACTTATAGATAGTGTATTAAGATTTAACAAGGTGCAAGTTAAGTGATGTGTGTCGCTGGCAGTTTCTATATTACATATTTATTACAAGTTTGTGTTTTATTGATCTTACTGATATTTATAGCATGGACTTCATTTCAACCATGGAGGTTAGAGAGAAGGAGAACGGTTGCAGTACAGAAATGTGACATATTTGTGGAGAACTAGTGGTTCCGCCTTGGCCATACTCGGGTATAATAACATACAGACATGTCATATTATATATCTAAGTTACTTTATTATTATTATTCTATATTAGTTAAATATATAAAAACTGTTTTTTAATAGTTCGCACACTATTTAGTTATATAAATTCTTCTAAGATATTGGAGACGACAACAAAACTGTTGGCTAAAAAAATATTTTTAAAACGCGGATCCTTTGTCAGCAGCATATGACGATCGTTCTCTTTGCTCTCTAACTTCCATGTTATACTTTCTGTTATATATGACAAAAGAAAATATTTTTTTCAATTAATAACATCTTACCTATTCTTACTTACTTTTCTGTCAACTTACCATCAGTGTTCTAAATAATAATGTATACTTTTACAGGACGCGCGAGGACAGTCCCGAGTTATGACCTGTTGTAGGGTGGCAATAAAATAACATGTTTTGTTGTTTATTTTCTTTTAATTTACTTCTCTATTATGTTTGACATGATAAAAAAAGTTTTTAATCGTAATTACGATAATTAAATATAATTTTACTACATCTAAATACTAGTCTCTACATAGTCTGTGTTTCTTAAACATTTTAATTGAGACTCGAGTTTTATCACAGCCGTAAAGCTAAGTTTTATTAGAGGTGTAACGGCTCTAACAGTTTGTGGTAAACTTCTACTTGAAGCGGTACATTTCTTCATTACTCACTAATTTTCTTATATAATTTATTTACGTACATATATATGTTTTTTTTTTGCCCTGTCTTATTTAGGAAAGACCAGATTATACTATTGAATTTGACTGGCAAAAGCGTCAGCTCCATTCCTCCTGTTCATCCCCATTTTCACCCCCTTAAGAGATGATTTCCAGTATATAAACTATCCTATGCCATACCCAGGTCCTTCTCAAACTATCTTAACAAATTTCATCTAAATCGGTTTAGTAGTTTCGGAACTTATTCGGGACAAACAAACAAAACTTTCCTCTTTATAATATTAGTATAGATTTTGTAATCGCTAAGAAAGGTATTTTAAGTAAACCCCATAATTTTATTAATGTCAATTTATATGTATTTTTATTAATGTCAAAAATTATCTTTAGAAATTATATATAAATAATATTTTATTACTTAATTTAAACTATGCATAAATTTTGAATTTTTCTACCATATTTAATTAAGTAGGAAACAAATTTTATTTGATCAAATTAGTTCCCGCTTGCAATTTCATTTAAGCATTCGAACGGAAGAATGTAAAATATATAAAATATTTTTACTAAAAATAATTTAACAAATTAAATTAAAAGAGTATTTTCTTTACGTATTTCTTGTAGACTCAATTCTTCAATCAAATATATTACATAAAATTCATTCAAATATTATAGTGAACAGAATAATATGTGGAAGCAATGACGCTACATTTCACATTATATATTATGTATTTACCATATTATGTATGTATTATATATTATGTATATACTGGATACTTTTGAATTGTAAAAAAAATTAGAACAAGTCAATATGAGCAAACATCATATTATAATCCTAAATAAATAGCTTCCGTTAGCCCCTTACATTGTCCAGCACATTTAAATTTATATGAACAACATACAGCTAATATAATATGTTACTTTCGTTTCTATAGAAATCTTAAGAACTAACACCGGGTAAAATAGAGAGCTTATGCAATCATTTATGTAAAATACAACCATAATAACAAAATATTAAACGAAAAACAACCGAACTTCTCTTTACATAAAAGTAACTTTAGATGTGAAATCACACTTGGTATTGTATTTAAATTCTTGCACAGAGAGCTTATTTTAACCATTAATATAAAACACAAACATAAAAAATATAAACAAAAAAAACAACTCAGTTCTCTTTACATAAAAGTAAATATATATATATATATATATATATATATATATATATATATATATATATATATATATATCTTAAGATGTGAAATCACAATTTGGTATTGTATTTAAGTTCTTGACTTGTAGCAATACCACAGTCTACTAATCCATACAGTCGTAACGGAGACGGAACGGGTAACGGAGGCATCTAGACAAGGGAAATAGTGCGGGACGAGTATTAGTGTAGGTATATCAAATAGTTAATATAACATATATTATTGTTTATTTCTGTGATTGTAAGTCTCAAGGAACACCAAAATAATAATTATTTTATTTTTTTAAAAGGGTTGTAATTCTAAAATCTAAAAAAATATATGTAATATGCTCTCAAAGGTTAGCTAAGTTCTTAAAATTAATGTGCGATTGCCTACTGTATGGATTTTTATACTGTGACAATACTATTAACACAAAAAATACTCGTTAGATGCTTTTATGTATCACCTATAATATACATAAAATTTAATACTAAATTTATATATTGAAATCATGTAATTAATAATAGAAATTTAAAATTAATGTGGCAAGATATACATTTTTAGCACTATCTAGTACTCATATAATATGTACAAAGTATCAGAATTTTATACATCTCTTTCTTACTTGTGATTTTCATATGATTGCACTAATTGATGTAAAATTGTAATACCTACTAATTATTGCATTGAAACATGAAAAATATTAATTATTGGCAGCAAACGCAACTACTGACGTTACGTTACCAATTACAATCGTTGCCTATCACCAAAACTTCAATCATTGCTCAGAACCGTAGTAATATAATCGATGACTCTCTTATCCTGTAAGATCTTTAGATGTTCCGCAGATTTTAGGGGTAGGGTTTTGATCGGTCGTCCGTTCAGTGTGTATTTGTGTATGTTATTATCTACGCTGTTGTCGACGTCGTACCTGTCGTACAAGTAGCGGGCGTAGCGCGGCGCGGGCGCGGCCCAGCGCGCGCAGGCGCTGAGCGAGCGCAGGTTGACGGTGCCGTCGCCGTCGCCCGCCGCCAGCGCCGGCGTGCCGTCCAGCCACGTGCCCGGCTTGTACACCAACCTGCGTATATAACTATCGAGTTACATTTGTATCATTGCTAGCGACTTAGACCGCTTTTCTCGAGGGCGTCCCTAGTTTTTGGTTAACGTATGAAAATTGGGATTGTGTTTACGCATTCCATCTGCATATATACCGGTGGTTATATGGAGTACTACTCACTAAAACCCAATGAAAACCTTCCCGGTCATATTGGGGCGCCGAGGATCACGACGGCTGCTTGCCAAGGAAGACCTGCTTCCGACGACCGTACGTACCTGAACGTACTTGTAGTTACTAGCAGTAACTTGTGTTATTATTATTATTTATGTTGGGTGTGGTGCCAAGGTCGGCCCTAGCTACGTCGACTAGTTTTGGTCCATTGTAGCTCATGCGCATTGTGTTACTCCAGGTCATGGTCTATCTGGGTACTAAACATTCAACTATTCAGTCGTTCAGCATTCAGAAATAACAATACACACATACATACAAACTTCCACATCAAGTAACAAATTATACCGATTGTAAACCTAAATGTATTTAATTATCCTATCCTGAAAAGTTACATTTCCTCTTAAAACTTTTATGAAAATCATTTAAGTCAGTTTACAATTGGCGATGACATCACGAAAACGATACAAGTACATATATGATGGTACGGAACCCTTCGTGTGCGAATTCGACTCGCACTTGTTGAAAGACGATCAGAACTAAGCGAGCAACAGTTAACCGAGAAATTCTCACCGGAATCAAGACAAGTGAAGACCTCACCTTTCCACGGTGGAAATGTTGTATCCATAGATGCAGTGCAGCTCGACGCCGGGGGCGTTGAAGTCCTGCGAGTACTTCAGTGTGTCCTTGCGCATCTCCCACGCGTTTGGCACTTCCATGTCACTGTAATAAAACAAGAGATTGGGGATAGAGTTTTGTACCGGTTATTGTTGGATTAACAATATGAAATATTTGGAATTTTTGTCCGGTTTTAAGTTAGATTGTATAAATGTAAAGAAAATAATTCATATAGTATGTATATAATTAATATAGTAATTTAATTATATAACGTGTGCTATACATAATAAAGACTATTGTATGAAGGCATAATATGTAAAAAAACGTTGGACTCATGTTATAACTTATCTAATCCTGTTTTCTTTGCATATGTGATATATATATATATATATATATATATATATATATATATATATATATATATATACATAGTAGTAACATAGTGAACGATACGAAATACGATTCGCATTTCTTAATCAAGGTTTTATTTTCCTTCAATTGTTCCTTCAAAACGTTGTACTTATAGTGATTCACCACTTTGCGCTGTGATGGACTGTTCGTACTAGATCGAACTAGGTACTATTTTAAATGAAAATATTTGTATGTGTGTGTTTGTTTGTTATTTCCCTCACGATGAAACGCATGAACGGATTTGGAGATAGTTACAAAAAAGTAGCGGTGCCTACATGGGATTATCCATTTATATTAATATTATAAATGCGAAAGTTTGGTTAGATGTTTGTTACTTAATCACGCCAGAACGGATCTAAATGAAATTTAGCATACAGATAGATTGCAGCCTGGAATAGCACATAGATTGTTTTTTATCCCGGAAAAATGTACGATTCCCGTTGGATAGATTTGTTTTTCACTAGGGACGAACCCGAGCGAAGTGAGGGTGAGATGCTAGTATTATTTATACAAAGGCACCTAGGGATGCACCCGAACGAAGGGGGATAATTTGCTAGTTGTTTATTGTAGCTTGTATAATTCAAACATACGTATAACTTTACGTAATATCCATTGCGCCATTGCGGGGTAAACAAAGTGAGCGTAGGCACTTATGCATAATACCTAGACTTAGATTATTATATCGACTACAACGAGCAGCTTGTAACGGTAGAGTAAATATTATTACATAAATACGATTTTTATAAGAATATGCTATTTTTAATTATTCCTCAGAAAGTGCTTTACAGCAATCACGCTTCCGGGAGAGACTCAGCATTCGAAACGTCGAAAACAAAAAATCTTAAATAAATCGCGAAATAATCCGAAAGGATAGATTATTTACTATGTTTCAGTTTAATTCATAATCAGTGTCGTATCTAGGGCGGGGCCCAGACACAGGGCGTAAACCCTAGAAGGGCGGAAAAGCGACCAGACCAGAATCATGTTTTGAGTCATGCATGGTAGTCAGTAACATACTTACTAGTTTAGTTAAAATTTAGTTTTTGGACAATCAATCTTTTTTATAGACATTGTCCATTTTATTGCTAGAGCCGCGTACGATTAGAACATTTTTCAAGGGTGCAGTTATAGAAGCTCGCACCAGGCGTATGAAGGGTGCTAATTACGGCATTATTTTTAATTAACAGTATAAAATTTGACCGCAATGTAGGAAAAAAATATAAGAAAAATGGAATACTATAGTATTAAATAATTAGGATTTATAAAAAATACAAAGATTTCGATTATTAAAATATTATGGATGCCAAAGCAAATAAGCATCACACAAAACTATATTAATCTTATAAAGGCTAGTGCGTTATTTTATTTCATTAATAGGTACATGTCTCCGACTACATAATATATTCCTTCGTCAACTTATTCTTATCTTTTTAGGTCGCTTTTTACGTAGTCGGTTTTTTTTTTATTTTTCTAAATTATTTTTTTTGTATATGAAGGGATAATATTATAAGGAATACTACATACATATATAGTATATACAATACTTACGTAAACAATTTCTGCAGATCATTAATTGTATAGTTGAACTTGTCCGTCTGCACCAACACCTCTGAGGGCTTCCAGAAGTTGGGCGAGGGCAGCAGCCACGCGAGCGACGGGCACGTGATCTGCTCTGCGCGCAGCGTGCTCTGGCTCAACATTAGAGAGCCCAAGTCGTCGCCTAAAGTTAAAAATAATAGTAATAAAACCCTTTATTGTACAATGTACACCGTAAAACAAAAAAATATATACAAAAATAATTTGTCTGTAACAAGTATATAACGCCTTTGAGATGTCTAAAGCCTTAGTGTCTCCCGTGACCATGACCGATGAGCATTTCATACGTCGGGAACCAAAAATCAAAATAAATCCGTGAAATAATCCAAAAAGATAGTTTTATTTAAAATGTCAAACATTTGCGTAAATCTAAGAAAGTATTAGGTATAAACTATATAGGTATGTACATAAAAACAAGACATAAGAAGAGACTAAACCTAGGAATATAAAAAATATTTTCCTTTTAATACTAAGAATGCTGCGTCATTATGACTTAAAGATTCATAATTCTAGTTTTACAAGGAAAAATTCTGAGTAATGTTTTTTACAGGCAAATAGGTAGTTCAACTTAAAAGAAAACAATAAGTCATATAATACGGGATGGTGTCTTGGTTCATTAAAATTATTTTTACAGCCATATAATACGAGTATAACCACTTGAACAACTTATTCAGTTATATGCGTAACTTATCTTTGTCATGTTATTTTAATTGTCCTTTTTATATCTTAATTGATACAGAATAAAATTAAAATGGTATTCTTGAGAAAAATATAACAGCATATGTTTATTAATATAAGATAAAGTCCTATTTGAACATTGAAGTTGTCTCTAAGATCAAGAATGCTAATGAAGGACATTAAATCTGATAAATATTAAATAATAATAGTATTATTATTTCAGACTAGCAGCGAAAAGCACTTTTCTGGGATGAAAAGTATCTAAAATGTTGGTACCACCATGCAAAATTTTATTCGAATCGGTCCAACAATTTCGAAAATTACCCCGTACAAACACACAGAGAAACAAGAATTTTCTAAAAAATCTGGATTTGTTCTATTTATCTTCTTACATATCCTCCTGACTCAGTTTTTAGCATTTTTTTCTATGTACAGACATTCAACTTCTACAGTTTTATTATATGTATAGATAACTAAACCTTAATGGCAGATAAGATGTTTTGATTGTCTTTGACATATATTTTTGTAACTAAGTTGTGTTTATAAACAAAGTTTAGTATGATGCAAAGGCATGAAATATTTAAAGGCCAATTTTTTTTTTCATTGCATACTGTTTGTTATAGAATATTGTATTATGTATTTGTTTTTGTTGCACATATTTTGTACCAAGTTGATTGTAATAAGTAATATAATAGCTATCAACCAATCCCTCCTCTAAGCTGTTCGTAACTTTTTATTTAAATATGTATAACAAAATGACTTACCAATAGCAAAAACTTTAAGGGCTTTCATAGCTCCTCCCCAAGGGGTAGATAGAGAAATCATGCGTCTTATATACTGGTCCTTCCAAGCCTGACTTTGCAGCCCAAGGAAATGTTGACCCATTTTCCCCCCCATACTGTGCACTAAAAGTGTTACCGCTGACTTATTATTCATGATATAAGTCTCTTCTACAAGAGATTTTAACTTAACAAAAAACTCTGCATTTTCATCTGAAATAAAGATTTAATATTATTACACCTTACAACTTATTTTAAATTCTTTGTTTTTCGTTTGGATCTTTAAATCATGTTATACAATAAAACAAACACTTACTTGGTGCTCTTCTAAAATCATATGGGGCCCCTCTTAGTGATATATTTCTAACATATCCTATTTTGACCAGAGCATCACCTATAGTGTTGAAATATGCTCCAGCAGAGTCATGAGAAGGGTCCAACCATTCCACAGGTTCTGGACTGCCCCACCCTGGCACTCTAATTTCAACTCCAGCAGGATATTTAGTTGTTCTTGTAACATTGTCATATTCCAGCTTCAGATTGTCAACCCAACAATCAATAACAAAAGGTACTAATAGTTCCAAATTTAGCCATATATTATAAAAGTCCTGTGATGTTTTCTCACATATATAATGCACTACACTTGTTTTATTAATTTTTGCCTCCAATTGACTTCCACCATCACCCGGAACTGTTGAGTTTTTAAGATAAAATAATAAATTTAGCATTCACAAATAAATATACTCATATAAATTAGAGTATAAAGTAAAAATTATAAAATACTTAATAGTTTATTAATCAAAATATTAAAAATATATTATGTAAGATTAGTACTCTTACATTGCACTTTTTGTATTTTTTCTCAGAAATGATACATTTTCCCGCGGTAAAAAGTATCCTATATGTTGACCCGGATGACTAGCTATCACCATACCAAATTTCATCAAATTCCCTCTAGTGAGTTTTCCGTGATGCAGTAACAGACAGACACAAAAATTCTAAAAACTATAGATTCGGCCTCTGTATCGATAATAATGTTTATTTCAATAAGATTTTCCAAAAAATAAGTATTTAATGTACAGATTCGGCTTAGTTACAATCTTTTTATAGGTATAGAAAATAAACTTAATAATTGTACTGCTTTTTTTTCACTAACTATTACATTCTAGAACAGTTGTGGCTAATAATAACAGTAGTTTAATGCAATTAGTACTTACTAAAAATAACCGGCGATAATCCCAAGGAGTTTTGAGCTACTAAATTGAAGGCTAACACTATTAAAAAATAGCTTTTAATATGTGACATACTTAATAATTTTTTTAATATAAATAATTTATATAGTTACAGCACGCGTCTGCCCTGCGCAAAGAATAAACTTTATTTACGACGATTTCCGCTTTTTTACGCAATATTTAATAATAACATCTTTACTGCAGTGACGTTAATATCGTACGATTTATAAATAATAATTAATAACATGAGTCGACTCGTGAGGCTTAAAATGATAACAGCCGCGAGCTTCGGGCAATCAGCTGAGAAATATGTTTACAATTATTACAAAGTTGTTTTGGTTTTATTTAAAAACTACTTTTAATGCTTGAGCGATAAATAGTTAATAGAATGAATTGCTCTTCTACCGTTCCGTTTTAGCTATACATTTTTTTTATTTTAATATATTTTCAAATCATTTCACTATGGTTAGAAGATATTTTTAGTAGAGTAAAGAGTTGTCAAATAAAAATTTAAAGAGCAGACTGCAGAAGCATGCATGGCATGCAGGCCTATAATAGTTTATTAATTATTTTTAATAATGCTGTTATTTTGGCCGACGGCCGTATAATTTTTATTTGTCATCCATGCGTATAATGGAGTGTACTTCTAAGGCCATTGACATTTTGCGTTCTGAAGTAATCAAATAAATAACAATAAATTGTTTTCACTTAGCTTAATAAATACTATCTTAAATTTTTTGCTATTATTTATTATAGAAGTTTATTTTATTTACCAATTTGATAGTTATTTATAAACAATTATAATTATTGATTTTATTAGTTTATGCTAGCAATACAGACGAAAAATGCGCGCAAGCGCGATAGTTTTCAAATAAGTCAAAAATGAAAAAATAGGCTAGGGTTTTATTATTTTTTATCTTAAATAATTTAGATTTAAGTAGGAGTTGAATAAATAAAAAGGTAAAATGTTAGGTAATAAATCTAACAGGGGATCAAAAAGAGGCGAATTTTGCCTACTTGGTAAAAATTGAAATGTTTTTGCAGGTATGAATTATAAATATAATCGATACTTTAGAAAGACTTGTTTTTCATTTTTGTCTTTTTTATTTGTAGGGTCGTGTTATAATTGTTTGGTTGTCTTGGCTTATTGGAGGTATTTGTGGCGTTGTTATTTTGTTGATTATTATATGTTACTGCCGCCTAATGCCGCGCCACCAGAAATCTTTCGGTAAGCTCTTTATTTTTATAGTTTATTATCAGTAAGACAACAATTAACTCAACAATAACTATTTTTTTAGATGAACAATATCTTAAAGAACATTACACTATAAAAGAAGGTCATGGATATACAAATCAAGAAAATTATAGAATAAAACACACAGAGGTACAATTTTAATATTTGTCTGTCATAAAATTATTATTTATATTTATAAAAATATTTAATATTTAACTCAAAAAATGAATGGCAATGGTAGCTCAGTAATAACATGCTTGCTTGGGAAACCGAGTGAACGGGTTCAAATCCCTGCATTTCTAGCAAGATGATATGTGAGAGTCTAGCAAGTTTTCCAAAGAAGCGTAAAATCCGCCAACCCGCACTTGGCCAGCGTGGTGGACTATGGTCAGAACAGAGGTGGACAATGGTTGCGATTTGATAAAAAAACGTATGACATCGTGCCTTGTGAAAGAGACAGAGCTGACCCATGCGCCATTGCAAACCGCTAGTTATAGATAAAACACATTTTTGGGTTTTATAAAGTAAAATGTGTATTTTATACCAATAGAATTGACATTTAAAAGTCAATAATTCTGTATTAAAAATTCTTTCGATAAATTGGTCGTTTGAATAAACAAGCCCGATAGGCAAAGGTTGTTTATACGGTGAACGTGATGGACGTAGGTGCAAGTGCAGCGGCACGCGCGGCCGGCCAGCTACGCGGGCGACGCGGAGTGCCGGCCGCCGCCGCGCGCGCACGGCTACGTCAACCGCGTGCCCGACGCGCCGCGCGACGCGCAGCTGCAGTACGCCTCCAGTGGCAGTCAGTGTATACATATTATGTCATACTTTAGCTTATACTACACTTCGTCCCTACTTACGTTTTAACAATTAGTATAGATTACCTACTCAGAGATAAGATATTATCGCGCACTAAAAAGTATTCTATATATTGCCCCGGATAACCAGCTATCGTTATACCAAAATTTCATAAAAATCCTTCCAGTGGTTTTACCGTGATGCGGTCACAGACTAACAGACACAAAAACTCTAAAAACTATAGATTCGGCCTCTGTATCGATAATAATAGGTATCTATTTCAATAAGATTTTCCAAAATATATTTATTGTACAGATTCGGCTTGGTTACAATTTGATTACAACTAGCTACTTACCCTCAGTTCAATCAAATGCGTTCCTAAGCTTTAATTGTTTAGTAACGCATAAAAAACAAATGTCCAAAGAAAAAATCATTATTTTTAATACCAGGAACCTTCACATATACAGGATGACCCACCAGAGTTTCATCACAATCGGATCTATGGTTTAGGAACGCATATTAGACAAACATACGAATATTCATTTTTTATTTATATGTATAGATAATCCATTTTATGTGTCTAATTACCACTCAAATAAATTGCCACTTAGACTCAATATGCTATCAAAATTTGATTAGTGAGTGATGAATGGAGCAAGAACTGATAAACTAGTAGATAATTGAGATTAATTAAGATAAAAAATATCTTGATTTTTACCAAATCGTATTGGATTTCGTTAAAACGACATAAATAAGTTCAAATTTGATTTGAATTGGACTATAAACCTAATTGGCTTTATCATCGGATCAACTCGATATTATCATTTTGTTTGTAATCTATTGATAGCTTATTTGTTTTTGAAATATGTAGTAACTAGAAATAAATGTTTTTATGAATTTAAATTTTTATATGGTATCTTTATAGAAGTATTTAGTGTTAGTAAAAATCTTATTAATATTATAAATGCGATAGTTTGGATGTTCGTTACTCTATCACGTCAGAACGGCTGAACGGATCTGGATGCAACGCACAGAAATAAATTTGTCTGGAATAGGAATAGGTTACTTTTTATCCCGGAAAAATGTAGGGTTCCCGTGGGATATATTTCTTTTTGTCATTCACCAGGGACGACCCCGAGCGAAGCGAGGGTGAATCGCTAGTATGAAATAAATTGCTCTACTGGGTCTCTATACGAATTTGACTAAACTTACATACTAAACAATAAACAACGTTTCTTATTTGTGTATATGTACGTATAATTTATATATAAAGTAAATCTATACATATAATAAAATTGTAACTAACCTGAATCTGTACATTAAATATTTTTTGGAAAATCTTATTGAAATAAACATTATTATCGGTACAGAGGCCGAATCTATAGTTTTTAGAATTTTTGTCTGTCTGTCTATCTGTCTGTCTGTTACCGCATCACAGGAAAACCACTGGAGGAATTTTGATGAAATTTGGTATGATGATAGCTGGTTATCCGGGTCAACATATAGGATACCTTTTACCGCGGTAAAATGTCTCATTTCTGAGGAAAAATATAAAAACTGCAATGTAAGAGTAAAGGTAAGTAGGTACTAATATGAGAAACAAGAATTTGGTTTTTGGTCATCTGAACGCGGGCGGAGCCGCGGGCAATGCTAGTAATATATAAGTGAATTACATATCTTCCACCTTAAATATAATAGTTACAAAAATATATATTGTAAAACTTAATCTATTAATAATAATTGTCAGTTTCGCTAGAGTTTGTATTTATAATATTACTTTTAACTGCATAAATACTTTTATAAATATTATTCAGTTATATTTTTTTAATTATAAATAATAAATTAAAATAAATAAATTATATTTGTTTTATAATGTACTTATATATTGTACTGTTTCTGTTGAAAAGCTAATAAATAAATAAATGTGTATGTAAATCAGTGCTGGACGAGATGGAGGGCGCGGCGAGCATCGACGCGCTGAAGACGCGGTCGCTGCCCGCCTTCCTGCGGCCCAAGCCGCGCCCGCTCTCCACCGAGGACGACCTGCACCAGCTGTACGCTAAAGTATGTGCTCATATTTGTATTGTAAAGTATCCATTTTGAAATTTATTCGATAAGTTTAAAATATTAACAGTACTTAACAGTAAACAAATGTATACAGGTGGTATGCGTAAATACATTTCCAAAAGGGGTTTTCCAAAAAAGATATTATTTATATATTATGAATAAAAAAAACACATATAATCACTTAATAAATGAAATAATCGGCCAGGTAAATTTAAGCAAGAAGTACAAGAACCGCATGCGCAGCGAGCACGCCGCCATCATCGCGCTGAGCAAGTCGCACAGCCAGTTCCTCGACGCCGACGCCGTCATCGTGTACGACCAGCGCACCGCGCTCTGAGCTCACGGTGACCTATATAAGTCTGTATGTATTTTTTCGTGTATAATATGTTTTCTCACAAACGTGGTTTGACCGATTTTGTTTTTTTGAATTGTGGTTACTTAACGTTCTTGTTGTAGGTAGTTTGTTTTACGATGTTTGTGTCTTTCGGGATTTTCGTTCTTTAATTTTTTTATAAGTATAAGCGAGTTAATGCTGAGTATGTAACTAATGCCGCGTTTTCATCTAGTTAGATTGTCGAGGAATAACTGCTATTTCAGAAATTGACAATATTAAAGTTTGATACCAGCTTTAGCGATCATCTATATTAGAACTCTTACTGAATTCATCTGAGTGTTATCCGCTATAATAATAGTATAATTAAGTATTATCAATTGGCAACTAATATTAGCGGATTGCCCCGGTGGATACCATATTCTCTACCATGTAATATGACATAGTTGTAATATATTTCGTCGGTCTAATTCGTTAACCTACTAAGTGTACTTCTGCATAATTTACAAAAAAAATTTAATTGTATTGTTTCATTTTAAGAAATTAAAATTATGAAAATACTTACCGTTGGCCCCTACTTCTTTCCTTGATATATTTCTAACCTTTTTATATTGATATCGTCGTTATTCATGTCATCGTTTGAACTTTTTGACCGGCATAAAAGGTAAAATTGCTCAAAAACGGACTTGGCAAGTTAACGAATTAGTCCAACGATTTGCCGCCTTGATCTAATATAGTTCCCTTAAAGCTTCTTCACGCTTTAATGGAAGGAAAAAACCCGCGGATATTTTTAAATATTGAGACTGTGCACGACTTATTTGGAAAATAAGCGTCATCCTAATCGCTTGCCTAATCTTAATGTTGTTGTAAATTCGGGGTGTGATCTCGAAAGCTCGTCGGTGTGTGAAATAAAGACCAAATAAGATAAATTTTGGGAGAATTTTAAATATATACAGAGGACCAAATTATTGGGCAATGAAAAATGGGTCACTCGTATACTAACGGAACTAAAACATTTTAAAGCTTATATATAAAATTTAATATTTTTTATGAAAAATAACGAAAATGGTGTAATGTTCTAGAAAAGACGTTTGATAAGTTTTTAATAATATAATGGATATTATGATAAATATATCAAGCATTCGCCTGATGACAATATAAAAGTGAATTGTTTACTGTAGAGCTAGTTAGTTGAAGTCCTTCCATAGCATCTTCCTGTCTTATAATACTATATACTTGAATATCTGTAGATCGTTGAGGATCATTACAATATAGCATCTCAACAACATATCAGTTTAGATTTGTAATATGTAACTGTCAGTCTGTCTGTCACGATAACGCACATTTAAAATAATGCCATAGAAAATTTAGACGGTAATATTTTTTTTAAGAGAAATTGTGAAAATTGGCAATGATGTGATTGTTGATCATGTGATATAATTTAATAACGAAATTGTGGCCTAATTCAAATGTTTATAGGATTTTCGTGTACGATCGCGTACAGTCGTTAGCGTAATTGTAAAGCAAATGTTAACATGATGGCAAAATTTTGACATTAAATGGTAAATAACTAAAAAAAGAAACTTAAAAGCAAAGATAATAATAATATTAATAAAGCTAGAATCAAAGAATTGTCAGTCGTGTTACTTTGTCTGTTTTTAAAGCTAATCAATTTTAGTATTTATTGTAATAGATGTAAAGCATATAATAGTTAGTCGAAATGTAAGGTTTTGAGAAGGTTTACTCGTCCCTGCACAGTCAGAGTGACGTTTAGTATCGAATTTTGAAATATATTAAGCGCTTAGTTAAATATTAAATGTTGCCATGTTGTCGGAATATTATAGTGTGTACGCGACTGTACCGTGCGTCCCTCTAGCATAGGGCTTGACTCGTAGCGTAGACTTTTACGTGCAGCCATTTTAATATACATTCTTAAATAGATTTTTATAACATAGTTTATAATCGTTGATGTCTTTTAATGGAACGCATTAAAGGTTAGTGCTGAGCCTCTGAATGGTTGCACTGATCATCGATCAAAAAAGTACTAGATACACAATCAGCGACAAAAAAGTCCTCATACAATGTGCGCTCATTTGACATTTGAGCGCGGTTTTAATAATTTTTTTTTATGAAAACAACTTTTAAAATTGCATTTAAGGTTCTATTTACATTGTTGTATATTTATTTCAACTAGAATAATTACCTAAACACAATTGGTGACAATTTTAAGAGAAATTTTAAATGGCATTATGTATCTTGTATTTTTTTGATCGATGGCGCTGATAGATACTTCGTCGCTGTTGTGTATTCAAAATATATGTTGTTGTTCTCCACTTGGCTCTTTATATTTGGTATAGATATATAGATAATTTTAATATTTTAAGGTTTTCAAGCCAGTCTTACATACCTTCTATTTTTGGTAAATAGGCGTCATGCAAGAATGGTTTTAAAACGAGCGTATAGCTCTCTTAGTAACAGTACACGCTCAACTATGGATACAGATCAAATCTAACATTTTAAGCTCAACAGCCAGCTCCATACTAGTTTTGTTAGCCACTAGTTATTTTGCTCTATCTTGACGAATTTTATCTATGTACATGTTTTTTGTAATGAAATAAAAATTTTCATATTAAAAAAAAACTTTTATTTTACTAATAATTAACCTAAGAATTTTTATAATCAATAATCATCACTATCAGTTCTCTAAAAAAGTTAAAATTAAATATACTTCTTATTTCGCTTTTGAAAGAAACAAAATATTCATTATATGTGGTGAGGCTACTGTATACATACACGTGACATGACTCACTACTTTTAAGTACTACGAGTGCTAAGCAACATTTATTATCAGTTATCACATTTGAAGCGGTAAAATGATTAATTACTACACTACTTTCGACGACACGTTGGCTCAGTTTGTAGTAACCCTACTTGTTGTGCCAACGGTCGTGGGTTCGAGTCCCGCCTGGGGCATTCATTTGTGTGATGAACACGAATGTTCGTACTCCAGTCATGGGTGTTAATATTTATAATATGTATGTATTTAAAGTTATATGTATGTAGTGTATCAACTATCTGGTATCCATAACACAAGCCTCGTAGCTTACCATGGAACTAGATGGTGCTGTGTATTAATGTCCCAACATATTATTATTACTTAAAGATATATCCATGGGTGTCCGGAATCGGGGAAGCGAAAAACTCGAAATTCGAACCTTTGAGATTTTCAATTTTGAATCTCAATTCTAACTTATAATATGGTAAAGAAAAATATCTTTATTGAATCCTGACAGAATCGAACTAGTTTTCAAGCCCACAGCTCCACAAACCCACATTTGCTTTACGGGCCTACGGTCGAGGACTTTGGCTTAAAAGGCCCTTGTCAAACAGACAATTTATTATTAAATATTTACATTTATTATTACGATCTAAATAAAAGTGAAGACAAGCAAAACATCAATATATGAATGAAACCTAACATTAGGCTAGGTAATAGTTCGGAAGCTGGCTAGCGTGGGGTAGGTCTTCAGCCGCAGCAGCTCGAGCTCGGTCTGCAGCAGCACCACGCGCGTGTGGTTGCTCTGCACCTCGCGGATCAGCTGGCTGCGCTGTACGAGAGTCTCCATGCTGTTTGAGTAGACGATGATGTTAGTATGTTATAATAATTTACTTTTATGTTATAACTTAATAATGCCACGGCGGCCAATCTCATTGAGTCTAGCCATCTGCGCAGGAGTTATTATAGTGCAGCGCGTGTACCCGCAGACACAACGTGCACTCTCTCATACTCCGGTGGGACGACACGAGACACGATCGGTGAGAGTTAAAGCGCAGGACCGACGACTTTACGTGCTTTCGGCACTGACACGGGGGTGAAACACTCCAACTTCCCAACTCGAGGCTGTTACTGAGAATTTCTAAACAGAAGAACTCAATATCTGTACTTGGCTCAACCCAGAACCTATGAATCTGCGGCCATACATGGTAACTACTAGACTTCGAGGCAGTTAAAGTTATTAATTATATTAGTTTTTGAATCGACAGAGATAGCGGCTTCAATTTCTCATACGCACATGTAAATTTTAAAATTAATACAAACAAAGAAAATTTCACATCATCAAATTCAATTAATTTGTTAATGTTTTCAAAGTGTGCCAATTGAGCACAGATTACTTCGCGAATGTCACGTAGAATGGCGAAGGCACAAGAAATGTCATATGTCACTATCTACTTGGTGTAATGCACAAGGAAATAGCCAATTAAAATGAGAATTCACAATTTTGTACATGGAATATTTTATTAAATAGAGATATAATCGAGGGTACATACCGCTTCTTGAAGATGCGTCTGATTCGGATCGGTTCCAGTGGGTCTTCGTTAAGCTTCTTTTCCGATACTTTAACATTGAGCGCTACTATTAACTTCTCCAGCTGTTGCGCTTGCGCTTCTAATTCGTTCATTTTCAACTGAACATAAAGTTTATATGATACTTAAGCCATATAAATACCAATTTTAAAAAGCTGAAGGATTTCTAAGTCCGCCAGATGCTAATTCTTTGCATTTTAGCCTATTAATTGAGCAAAGTCAGGCTACGAGTATATGGACATTAAGAGAAAAGAAATGACACAAATAAACTAGACGAAAGAAGATGCGGGTAAAAGCTAGCTAGCAATACAGTTAAGCATACCTCCAGCTCCTCAACTTGGCGTATTTGTTCATTAAGGATCTTGTTGACTGATATTTTTGATGCTTCCATTTCTTTCTCCATTTTAACATAATCTTGCTCATCGGTGTAACCAAGTTCCTTATTCTTAAGATAGCTTTGCAATTCTTTTGGTACCTAAGAAAATTTTTAGTTGGTTTATGAAACTTACATATACGAGTATGTTATTGTTAAAAAAATATTGATTATACCTTTAGTCTTTGATAAGAGTACAGCTCTTGTTCCATATGACGCAATTTCATTTTCATCTGCGCATGTTCCCATTCTTTTGATAGGATTCCTTTACGGAACTCTATCTGCTTTTTCATCATTTTCAGTTTCCAATCACCTACTTTCTATATTTAATTGTACTCATTAGTGTAATATAGAAATATGTAAATACATAAAATGAGTTATCACTATGTTATAATTGTATTATCATACCAGTATGACATTATTAACTTTTTCTATCTCTTCGCGTAGTATAAGTGTGGCATCTTCATAATCCTCCATGTGGCCTGTCGTTATTATCTCCACTTGTCCCGCTGGCAGTACCAACTATAATATTGTTGAAAACGTATATTTATTTTCCATTTACTACTACGTAATACATCTTCCTACAGAGACTACTTGAAGTGCAATGTGAATGAGGTGCCCCCAATTCCCTATGTATTTTTAATGACATTCGGGAAACGGTTTAGTTAGTTAGTTAACAGGTACAACTGTAACTGGCCACGAGATGGTACTGCGACGCTTTAACTTCGAAACCGGTTGTTTAATTGTTATTTGGTATTTTTGACGATCCTGGCATTCGGTGGGATTTCTCTTAAGATTAAAAGCCTTAGCCTATTAATTGATTTAATTTCATAAATGTACTGCGATATCAGTAAGGGTTTCAAAAACCTGAATAGTATTGTTCCGAGCAGTCAATTCAACTTGTTCCCGGTGTTGCGCGACGAGGTCGGTGGCGCGCGCCAGGCGCTGCCTTCGCGCGGCGGCGGCGGCGCGCCACGTGGCCGCCGCGCACTCCACGTATGACATCTCCTGTGCTATCGCCCGCATCTATACATTAAAATGTACAACAGAAAAGTTATAATGGATATTAACTAGTAATAGGTAAATATAAGTAGCTCACTTAATCGCCATTAGATTGCCTTATGGAGAAACCGTATCAGATGTGATACAGTGCCTCAATAAGGCAATACAGAGCCTGATATGGTACAGATATCATATCAGGCTCTGTTCCGTCTCATATGAGGTCATTGTGGGATTATATGTAGGGCATATTAGAGCCGTGTAAAGTTTTGCGAAGCTTTATGAAGCTGCCGAATTTATGGACACCGGCGTGACAGATACTCTTATATAAAGTTAGCTTTAAAAAAGTTTAAAGTCAGCTCTGAAACAAATAATGATGAGGAAAGGTAACATAAATAATAACTCAAATGATTACCCTTATTTCGTTCTCAATTTTAGCACGTCGAAGTTTACACATCGTTATCCAGAGTCCTTCATCCATTACAGGTGGCATGTTGCTCATTTGATCCAACACTTCAACCCTATTTGAATAATAAATAATTAAAATCTATTTAGGTACACTAATCCTTGAGGTGTAAGTTTATAGTTTAGTTCTATATATTAGCTCTATTATCTATATGAATGAAATTTGTTAAAGAATATATAGGTTCATCAACGACGACGACGATCTTGTGAAATAATACGAATCCTACGAGACAGGGAATGTAAGTTTGTTTATTAAATTAACTATTTTGGTGTATGTAAAGTGTAGGATTAATGACAATTTACCCCTTAAAGAACTCCACACAGTCTGTATGTAGAAGCGGTGGACGGACACCGGTAAGTACGGCATTCGCTAAATCGTAGAGAACCACCGGAATCATTGTGGCACGTTGGTGCCATTTTGGTCTTTTCCTATATAAAAGAGTAAAATATATTTATAAGCTCTAACTCGATTGAAAAGCACCTTGACGTAAGTAATGAAATGTTTTTTGGAACTTACTTAAAAAATTTATAACATTGATCCACAATAATCGGCGAGAGATCAGCAAAGTGATTCTTAAAGGTACGATCTAGGTACTTGTCCTTTTGCGTAAGACTATCATAAGTCGCCTGACACTCTTCGCTTTGCTCTTGTATTAAATGGAGTTCTTTTTGTAATATTTCCACTTCTCCTTCATATTTTTTTATATCATCCCTAAAATATGCAATGAATTAAAAAGAACAGGCACCATTTTCTAAATATAAAGCTTTGATACGTATAATAATTTCTTATAAATAGTTGTATATAGGCCTAATATATTTTGTTATAATATATTCATGGTATACTTTACCTCATTTCTTCTAATTTTTCTGCCATCTCAACACGGTCTAAATTGGTTCTGCGTAAACGCATTAAATTTAGATTTTCTTGACCAATCACTGAGTCAACTTTTAATTTTGTTAACCACATTTCTTTCACCTGAGAACCAAAAAATATAGTAAAAGTACATGGTAAAAACCTTATACTTATTTTTTAATAATTAGAGTTTTTAAGTTAAAGGCTTACTTTTTGATTAAATTTTACAACTCCTTCATTAAGAACTTGTGACAGCTTCGCGTATTCTGCATGGAGCATTTTGCGATATTTGTCTCTCTCTTCATTTCTGGCAGCGACTTTTGCTTCATACTCAAATACCAGCCGTAAGTCATCTTCATTAAAGTGTTCGGGATCTTTCTCCAACTGGCGGTATAATTAGAATAATTTACACGCAATAAAATGTACCTACCTATTGCTTGTTTTCCACTTTTGGCATTCAGAATTAAATGATAATTGATAAATATTTGTTCTTTTTTACTATTTTATATTTAGAATTAATTAACAAGTGATATGGAATATAATTTAATATTTAACACATGCTTCTTACTGTTCCCCGAATAGAATAAGTTGGATAAGGATAGGTACTGATGAAAACTGTATATTTTGTTTTATGCTCACCATACAAAGTGGCATTGGTATAGGCTTTTTTATCTCCTCGTGCCAGAGTTTCTCTAGTACGCCGTCCATCATGTACATGAGCGCTCGCTCGCGGAAATCATCCTTGGGTTTGGGCTCCGGCGGCGGGATCACCACTTGGCTTGGACTCACGTATGGCTCGATGCTACACTGTATATTATATTACATACAATTTTTTGCTAAAGTAACGGTTATACCTTATAGTACAATATTAAACCATTTTTATAAAAAAAAAATTAAAAGAATTTCCTACTTTACTGCTAACTGATTTTTACCCGCAATTGAGTCACATGTTTGAAATGTATTTACGTTCTTTATTTATATAATTAATACATTAACATGTTTTATATACCTCTTCAGGATCAACTTTAATTAGTTTTTGTGGTTGCTCCTCCTGTCGCCAGTCGGGACTACGGATCTCTATAGCTAGATGATGAAAGCTTCCACGTAAATCCGAGAGTTTGTTCAATTCTAAATAACATGTAAAATATTAAATAAGAATGTGTTAAACTATACATCCAAAAAATACCTTGGTAATAAAACACAACTTTACCATCTATTATGAAACGAAGGCGAGCATTTCTCTCCTCTACGAGACCAACCTCTCGTTTTTTCTGACCCATCAAATCGTCAAATTGCTTGTTAAACCATAGTCTCATATTTTGAACCTTTAACTGTAACAGAACATCATTTTTAATACTTTGTGCGATGGATAGGTAAATAATAATAATTCCATTCCACATACAAAAATAACATATTACTTTAACAATATGCTGCAACCAGTTCATCTGCAGAAAGCTAAATGCCATAGTCTGCGGGATCATGAACGTTGGTATCTCGATGAAGCGATGTGCATTAGAGCCTGCAAGAACGTAGGGTTCTCCTTCCACTGAATCATCTTGCTCCAACACTTCCGCCATCATTTGACTCTCCAAACTTTTGCGGACTTCCTTTAATGATATTGATGACGCCGGCCCGATTCTATAATAAATATAATATTAAAATGTACAATATGTTTGTGAGAGGGAGCTTAATAACTTTTAGGAATGCGGAAAAATTTAGTGACTATTCGCCACTCTATGTATAGTTAGTTTATTCTTTATGCAAAGCCCAAAATCGTTAAATAATTATTTTCGTCTACTTTTCCTTGAAATCAATTTAAGCAAAACCTTAAAGATAATTATAGGCTTGTTTTCACCACGGAAAGAGGAAAGAAATCCAATGTTTACGGTGACAGCAATATTGATAGTTTTGCCACGGTGTGTAGTGACGATCGAAGCATAGCGAGGAGTAACTCTAGGAGGTTTTAAAAAAAGTTAATTTTTCATTTATGCACCATTTCCGCTGTTTTCTTATATTTTCTGTATCCTTTGGTTCTATCGGTTGCCTGTAAGAGATATCTTACAGTGATAAGGCCGCCTTTGCACATTTTTTAATTATGTCTTTTTTCGTGCGTACATGCTGTGCAATATGCATTTTACTATGCAATGAAGTGATTAAATAGAAATAAAAAATCATATTACTTTATTGAAGTCTCCTCCACACTCTGTCGTTCAACAGGCTCCTCCCACGGCCGGAACACGTCAGCAGCGTTTTCCATTTCAACGCTACGCAGAGCCTCTATCTGCTGCAACTCTGGCCACTTGTCGCGTTGAGTCGGCAATACCGCGTAGTTCTCTACCTGTATTATTTATATACATATGTACGTATAGTACTAATCCATCTGACAGGATTTAAATAGTGAAAATAACACGTTTAATCTCAGGATGCTTATTTCTTCCACATCTACAATATAAAAATACAAAATTAGACGGATGTGCAAGTACTCAGCAATTCTTTGTACGATACTAAAATACAAACCTCAAATATAAAAAATTAGTCATGATAAAACTGTAAAAAATAGTGTCGTTTGATTTTATTACCCCCTAAACTACGGAATAGTTAGTGTGAATTGAATGGGACTTTCTCCGGTGGATACAAGATTTTGAGAATAATATGAGTGAATCAAATGTATAATCAGAGTATGAATCAAAAGCGGTTTGGTATATTAAAGAATAACAGCTTATCATACGTTAATGGAATTATACTGCAGGTTAGAATACTCAGGTAGTTGGAGAAGAACTAAGACATAATAATAGTGAATAAGAATATAGGTACCTGATAATGACTGAATATGGCAAACAGTTTAACTCGTGGGGAGAGCATTGTGTCCCAGCACTGGCTTTTTATCCACGCCGTCACTTTATCCTGCGCACGGATACGAGCTTCGGTTTCGAGACGAATTTGTTCACGTTCTTTCTCCGCCTAATAAATTATTATTTTTTTATTATGTCATAGCTCTTCGATCAATGAAATAAACATACTAGATATCTCTTAATCAAATTAAAATGTTACCAAATCAAAACATTAACTTCGTTTGTTCTATAATTTGTGGAAAAGTACTAAATATAGTGCTTAAATTGTACACATATCTTAAATACCTACGATACATAAATAAAATGTTCAAAAGTTCATTATAAAACATAATTTTTCATTGTCCGTTTGTACATTTATAACTAAAGCTACCTACTAAAGAATACCTACGGTAGTTAAATCTAAAACGGGTAGCAAACAGGAAAAAGAACGTATTCTATGATTTTTTTTCCTGTTTGTTACCCCGTTTTTAACTGTATCCTTTGCTCCATGATTCATAGAGCGTAGTCTATACTAATATTAAAAAAAGCAGATTTGTTTGTACCGGATAGGCTCCGAAACTACTGAAATGATTTAGATGTTTGGTAAGAAGATAGTTTGAGACCCTGGGAAGGACATAGGATAGTTTTTATACCCTAAATTATCCCTTTAGAGGTTGAAAATGGGGATAAAAGTTTGTATGGGGACGCAACCCAGGGTCGCTAGAAGCGAGGGTGAGTTGCTAGTTTCTAATAACTTAACAATCATCTTTAATAACCTGTTTAATTCGTTCTTTCTTATGTTCAACATGAAGGTTGAATTCAGACAGGGAAAGCTGGTGAAGCGGACATTCAGCGAGATTTTCTTCGAGTAAGTGAACTACTCGGGACTGTATCGACTCTAATGATTTTACAAGTTCATCACGTTGTTTCTTATAATCCATAGCTTCTTCTTTAACTTTCTTATCTTCTTGCAGGTCCAAATAGTTTTCTGTTTCGATAAAGTATATATAATTTTATATTATTTTTAAAAATACATATTTACAACATAAAATATTTATTATATGCAAAAATTCCCTTTATATTTTTTTGTTTACAAAATAATACACATATTACGCATTTCTTAGCCAATACATTTTTTTTGAAGACAAGATAATATCAAAAAACATGTTATTAAAAAAGATAAAGATAAAAAACTGATTATTTTTGTATTATTCAGGTTATAACAGTAACGAAAATAGTAACAATAATAGAAAAATAGCTCACTATCATTTTCGCCGATGATGGTAATAATATTAGTGCTTTTATTGAAAAGGCTTAGGTGTACAGGCGTGTGCTGCAGCTCGCGACGTTGTGATTTTTCTTCATGCAAGAAATGAACAGCTAAGGCCTTATTATTCGCGAGAGAAACAATGTAACGGTTATCTGCGTCGATTACTGCCTGTTTTACGCCACTTTCGTATCTATGCGTCACGATAAGTTGAAGCTCTGAGAAAATATGAAAGAAATTATTATATTAATATAAGTTATGACAATCATCATTCATTTCATAGCAATGATAAGTAATTGTCGTGGCGTACTAATACTTAAGTCCTGTGCATCATTTTGCACTTTTCCTTCGCTTAAGACCAATTAGGTAAGAATTGTAATGAACATTGTTGCTCGCGATGTCTTAAATAAATGAAGAATAAATTACAAGTCATATTATTCTTTCTTACCAATGGAACAATGGACAGGGATATTTTTTCGCAAAAATATACCTATGCAAAAAATATCATAGCGACCAAAGTCCAAAGCGAGGGTGGGTCACTATTTTTTTATAAAGTAAAAGAAATTTGAGTTATAAAAAAAAATATCTTTTCGGATTTTTTGGTTCCCTTCTTGATTCCCTTTTAGTGTGGGGGAACTAAAAATCTAAATAAATTCGCGAAAAAGTCGGAAAAGATAGTTTTTTTTAAATGTCAAATATTCGCGTCAATCTAAGAAAGTATTAAGAAATTTGAGTATTAAATGCATCGTTACCGTATTCGTCAGGTGCAGTAGGTTCTCGTAAGATGACTGTTCCATCAGCGCCATATGTTAGCAAAGCTCCGGTGTTGATAAATGCAATAAATTGCTTGAGGTGATGCCCCGTCTCTATTATCGGGCCCATTTTTACGGAAACTGTTATACCTTTCTGTTACAAAATAGAAAGTTTTAAATTCAATACAAAATTTCTTTAGAATTCTTTAATCTGAATTTAAATATAATAGGTTTTTAAGTAAATATAAAGAGTTAACCTCCCCAGAGAGTTTCAGCACGTGCATCTGTGAGGTGAGATGTGGTACTGCGAGAGCTGTATCACGAGTCTTCAAAGGAACCAACTGTGCATAAGGACCAGCCATTTTTCCTGCAAACTTATTATCCTTGCCCGTCTCCGCATTCATGCAGATTATACGTTCACCTTTATAAAAACACCAAACGAATGTTTATAGTAGCTCTTTTAGGTATTATATTATTTTTAAATATATATAACAAAGTAACCTATAGCATATTTATCCGAGAATAGCACCAGGCTAAATGCTCTGATTGATTCTCCTACTTTCATCAGGAAACAATCTGCAAGACCACGTCCTAATTCCGTGTATCTAATTAAGCTAAGTGAATAATTTTCTGACAACTGTAAAATGATAATAAATTATAAAAAGTTAAGCAAACGTAACAACACTTTGATTCCGAATAGTAATTAGAACTTATACAGACCTTCAAGATAAATATATGGCCAGCTGACATAGCAGCAGCAACTAATTCCCTTCCTGTTGGTGAGAATACCACACGAGACACGATTTGGTGGGTAAGACACATGCTGCCAACTTTTTCTAAGCCCGTCTTTAAACTAAAGGTATACAGAGCAATTCCGTAGTTATTGCCTACTTCTCCAAAAATAACTATTAAAGGGTCTACTGGGCTTGTTTCAAAGGAAACATCGTCTCCGCTGATATATTTCACAAGTACCTAAAAAAATCTTGTAAATAGAGTTTCGAAAAAGAAATAATGACTACATGTCATAAAATAAAGTCCCTCCTCCGCGTCTGTCTGTTTGTCTGAATGCGATATTCTCAAAAACTCCGAACAGAATTTAACACAGCTTTCACCAATAGAGTGCCGAGTGATTCATTAGGTAGGTTTAGGTGTACAATTTATTAAGGTTTGTGTAAATTGGCTGAAAACGACGATGATTGTTGGAGATGTCGGAAAAATCATGCCGACTTGGAGCTTTATTGGTGTAAGCCGCGTAAACCAGTAGAGATATATGAAAACAATGTGTGGAATTATTCTTCTTAAAAAGATATACTAACTGTAGCAATGGAATATGTACGTACCTAGAGACGCACCCGAGAAAAACGAGGGTAAGTCACTAGTCCTATATAATTTAAAAACTCACAATAATTTGTCCTTACCAATTCTGCAGTTATTGCCTCGTAAATACATAAAACGCCTGAATCATTCATTGCGGCGATGTACGTATGTTCTGGGGCAATTAATCGAATATTTATAATATTTCTGGAAGAAAAATAAGACTTGTTAGGTTCTCGTATTTCAATTTTAACTAAATAGGTATATAGTATTTTATTCGAATTATTAATTAACCTTTGCTTTAAACTAAATAGCTTCACTTCAATGTTTTCCTCGGATTCACCGATTATTTTATATACAAAGCCTTTCTTCGTCCACATGACGGCCATGTCTGATGTCGAATTCGACACTAGGCGTTCCACGTCGTCTTCTGGTGTGTATTTCCAAACAACTTGCCACTTGTGTTCTGCCTTTTTGAGAGACTAACGAATAGCAAACGTATAAAATCAATAAATAGGTAATATTAAGATTTTTCATCTTAATATTTTACAGTTTTATTTTATACTAGCATTGCCCGCGGCTCCGCCCGAGTTCAGATGACCAAAAATCAAATTCTTAGGTTTTACATATTAGTATACTCTTACATTGCAGTTTTTGCATTTTTTCTCAGAAATGAGATATTTTCCCGTGGTAAAAAGTATCCTATACGTTGACCCGGATAACCAGCTATCACCATACCAAATTTCATCAAAATCCCTCTTGTGGCTTATCTGTGATGCGGTAACAGACAGACAGTCAAAACGACGAAAATTCTAAAAACTATAGATTCGGCCTCTGTATCGATAATAATATTTATTTCAATAAGATTTTCCAAAAAATATTTCATGTACAGATTCGGATTAGTTACAATTTTATTATATGTATAGATTATTAGCTCTTTCATCGGCCGTGGCGATCCCGCCGTCGTAACTTAAATCGGCAAAGTGACATTATTTATAAAATTACTATAATAAATACCCGTATACATTTATCAGGACCGTAGATCAAGATGCCATTACTGAAAGAACACATGCATGGCATTCGAGTACCTTTAAGGTTGTCCGACCAGTCCAAATTAGATACCATGCCTATACCATCGGACAGCAACTGGTAATTAATAAAATGTTATTTTATTATAACTATACTATATATTAAACATCTGAAGCCACTGCCTACATTGTAATATAGGAGTACGCACACTATACAGGTTAGCTTTTTCATCAATAGCATACAACTGTCCTTCGTTGCTCCAGCATGTTCCTACGAGTTTAGGTTCTGACACTGCCCATCCCGTAACTTCTTCCTTGGTACGTTTCATTACGAAGCAACGTTTGTAGCATTGCGCTACTTCCCAAATTGTAATACCTTCTCCCCAACATTGACATATCATCATATGAGTACGGCTCGCCCTAAAATTAGGCAATATATGTATTATAAATAAAAATATCGTAGAATTTTTCAAAGGTTTTATTTAGATTTTTGGATCCCGACATTTCGAATTGTTTTCAGCAATCATGGTCACGGAAGAGACCCGTAGTAAAGATAATTTTATATAAAATATCAAACTTTCGCCTAAATCTAACAAGCAAAGAATAAATGTTTTATTCATTGGCAGAAAAGTGTACCTACTTCATCTATCTACTAAATAGAGTTGCTGATTTGATATGAACTTGATATAATTACTTATCTTAATTTAATAATGAGATATGAAAATAAATTAAGGGCATCTTACATATAAATCTGCTTGCGACGAATCACATCTGTAGAAATGGAGATAAGCCTTTGGTGTGTTCGCCAGCTCCACACAGACATGAGGTAATTAGGAAATCCGCTGAAACCAGCTATAAGGTCGGATTCCATCATGCACAGCCCCTTGTAACGATTAACATCTGGATCTATTTGAGAACTTTAAAATTACAATTATATTCTAATAATAATTAATTCTATAATTCAATATCTATTAGGTACCTGTCAATTCAGCTAAAATAAGAAATGTCGGGTAGCTGACAATAAAAATTCGAGGATGTTTTTTCTTTTCCGCAAACGCAAATAAATGGGAGCGATGACCTAAAATTTTTAAATTAAAGTTGAAATAAGGATAAAGTATGGTGTCATTGGGTATAGTATTTCTGTATAAATGTGAGGAGACGAAAAGAAAAGACGGAAAAGACGTAGAAGATTAATGCACGTTATAAAGATACCTGCAATCACATCAACACCGTCTCCTTTGTCATCGCTATTAGCCGTATACACGAGCTCAGTATTTGTTTTAAAATTGAAAAATATTATATAAATATCAAAAGCTACAGCGCATACGTCCTTCCCAACAAAAGTTAAGTTATCCAGTTTTTGCGGTATAGCCCATCTGTAATAAAATCATTATTTATTATCAGTCTAACAGATTAATCTGCCGGCTTAAAAATATTCTACCATGGGTCTTATACTAAAGTCAAATAAGATCTGAAATCAAAATGTTGGCACTCAACTTTGCATTTTTGATATAATGTAGTTTTAATGACACAAAAACAATGTGTAAAGGTTTTAGTGTCCGCAACCCATGGCAAGGGTTTAAAAAAAATAGTCAAAATTATTTTTCGCAACTACTCGAAAACATAAAGAAATAAAAAATATGTAGAGCTTAGAATTTTATATCAAAAAGGTCTTATGACTTTTTTTCCTCCGGTCAACATTAACCAAGTTAGGGAGGTTTTGAGTTTAAGGGATGAACGTAAATTAAAAAAAATCGTAGGTAGTTGAAAAAGAAGCCAATTTTTTTATATGCTTAAAAAAATCTAATCTTTAATTTTAGAGATAAAAAAATAATTATTATAAAAAAATATATAGCAATATTTATATTTAGATACTGATTATAATTAGATAATGCCTGATGACCACTATACTCAGCCACTAAGAGATCAGCATGCAATATTTCTATATTACATTCGATATCAATTCGATGTAATACTCAACCTGTATCTTCATTCTTATCTAACCGATTGAAATGAAATGTATACATATAAAACCCGTCAGACTTTTTATGCAGTGACAAACAGATACACTACAATTTAAAAGCCGAATTGATTTCTATTACATCCATCAGAAAATGTTATATAAATTACTATATATACCAAGACGCTGAAATACCTGACGTTAGGCTTATAAGCTTCTTCTGTATGTATATTATCATTTTCAGAAACGCCTTCTACCATGTTAATCTAAAAGAAGTATTGTAGTTATTAAATAGGCACAGAATCTAAGCAAAATATTATGACAGCCTTCAGTTAACAATAAGTCGCTAAGCAACGACAATACTGCTGTAAAATCCCAGGAAGGTATTATAAACCAACAGACATCTAGAATGAAAAAAAATCTTTTAACATCTTATTTTCAACCGACTTCAAAAAGGAGGAGGTTCTCAATTCGACTGTATGTTTTTAGTATTATACAGAAGTCACAATATGAGAATCCACGCTAATATTATAAATGTGAATGTAAGAGTTAGAGTTAATTTTTTCTAGTCTGTCTGTCTGTTACACGTGTGTTTTCACGATTAAACTAATGAACTGATTTCGATGTTTGGACAGGATCTAGATAAGAGTGCATGCTGGGGGATGTGGATGGACATAGGTTAACGGTAACTATGAGTAATAACTAAGTGTACATTTGTTTTGTATATATACTAGCGGACCCGACAGACGTTGTCCTGTCTACACGTCTTTAATTTGAAAATTTCAAACTTCTTTTAATAATTTTTTTGATGAAAATTATTATTCAAATTGTGAATCTAAACCATTCCCAGATCCCCTTGAACACACACAAAAAATTTCATCAAAATCGGTCCAGTCGTTTGAGAGAAGTTCAATGACACACAGAAGAATTATATATATAAAGATAATTAAGTATATTTGTAATTTTCTTTATTGTAAATTAATACTACGAGTAAGTTTATAAGAATGGATGTATGTTTGTTACAATAATATACTTTAACATTTATAATATTAATATGGATATAAAAATACTAGCGACTCACCCTCGCTTTGCTCGGGTTCGTCCCTACTTACGTTTTAACGTTTAGTATCGATTTCTCAGAGATGAGATATTTTCCCGCTGTAAAAAGTATTCTTTAAGTTGACCCGGATAACCACATCATACCAAATTTTATCAAAATCCCTCCAGTGGTTTTCCGTGATGCGGTAACAGACAGATAGACAGACAGACAGACAAAAATTTCAAAATCTATTGATTCGGCCTCAGTATCGATAATAGATATACGGTACATACTTCATTTGACGCTTAATGCTGATAGCTATAAATATTTGATTATAAAATAATATTATGTTTTAAGAATTTATATTAACTTCTGTAGTTATAAAAGTAGTGTAGGTGAAAAATATCACAATGGTGCTGAAACTTATGACTGTAAATACAAAAATTTTTGCTTAGAATTTTTAGTGATATTAGATAATAATATAACCAACTGTCAAAACCAAACCGGACTGTCTGGAACGGAACGTTGTAGGCGAGATCTATAGATCTGTCAAAACTAAGCAATGGCAGTGATTGCAAATAAATTGATAAGAAACAATTGTTAGAAATGTTAGTGTGCAAAGTATATAAGATTTCTTTTTATTATAAACCATGTGAGATTTATCAGTGAGCAAAACTACTCATAATGTAAGACTGCAATTGCGTTCTTATGTTTGTGTATTATATCTTTGATGACACATAAAGAGTTTATTGTTGTGTTGTGTATTGTAGGAATTACACCGGACTAAATCCGGTGGCGGAGAGATGGAACTCCTCGTCAATAGACTTCGCGGAGATCACCATGGACCGCAATTTTGCGCTCTTGCTCGTGTCGCTAATATCATCTATACTATGGGTAGTTTATATAACTTACTACAATAGTCGTGTTCTCGGCTACATACTAACAAGGCTGATTAACAAATTTTATTTCCAAGATGAAAATTTTAAAATTGGTAAGTAAAATCTTGAACAATAGTACAACTAATCTACCAACTGAAAATAAGCAAAATATATCTAACACTAAGTTAAAACCTTTAGCTGTGATGGAAAAATTATGATAGTTTAATAATATATGTATATATATTTAATATTTATCATTACACAAATTTATGTTTGGTACCTAAATGTTAATATATGATAATTTGAAAGATTATGGCACTGTGTTTGAGCATTAATCAAAGAAATTATTAATCAAAGCGGCCTTGTTGACCATGGTTAATAATGATAGAAGTGAAGGTCTTGGAAATTTTTCATTTTAGTTTTTTATTTGACTTTAATAATGACTTTAATTTTGTTTTATAATTATAAAAAAAATATAGGTATAAAAAACTATAGTTGTTTGTAGTAAGTATAGAATATATATACTTATTGTACATGTTAATAATTTTTAAGAAGAAATATTTGTAATATAACTATGATTTTTTTACTACCATATATGTATTTCAATGAAGTGGCTGTTGTATTTTATGTTAACAATAATAATTATTGTACTTTTTATAATGAAATAGCTTTAAGCAAATGAAGTGATGTGAAGGAGCACACTTTTCAAAGACTTACCCATTAAAATTAGTCATATGTTATCCATATTTATTAATACGTCTTTTTATTTAGAACATTATAAATTATTTATTATTAAATAAGTTTATTATTTTGCTTAATAATTAACTATTGCTTTTGCAGGTTCATTTACACTTAATGCTCTCTCAGGAAAAATTATGTTCCGTGACATTGTTTATATTAATTATGATTATACACTACGTATTCAAGATGGCTATCTGATATTCAGATGGTGGCGTTCATATGTTCCCAAAGATGTTGCTGAAGGTAATGTAAGAGTTGTATAGGGTATTTGCTAATAGCAAACAGTTTATATTTACATGATTTCATATTTTCAGATTTATCTCATTCAGACACCCGTCTCTCCATAATGTTAAATGGATTTGAATTGCATTTCTACAACCGATGTGATATGTATGCCGAACTAGAAAAGATTTTTGGACTTGATCCTATTATCAAACAACAACATGATGAGGATGATTCCGCCGACCACGACAAAGCAATGAACGACGCGAACGAAAAACGACGAAGAGCTCAAGATACTGTACGCTCAGAAGCAGCTATGGCAAGGACCTGGCGCGACCTCATTCCCGTCATAAAAATCGATGTTTGCACTGGTCGAGTTGTTTTTGGCAATCGATTAGTACCAACAACATTATCCATTAGTGTTGAAGAAGCTCACTTGATGTACAGCACCAAACCTCCTGCCTCAAGCTTAGATCATCTAATGCATTTTGTTAAAGCAAAAGCCGAGAATTGCAAAGTAATGTTAGCTCCTAGTCCAAATTACACAGCTATGGTCGATGAACCACCAAGATATATGGGAGAAGGATTTGTTATTATGAGTTCTAACTACATCGAAGTTTACTTTTATATGGATGAGCCAGGCTTAGTTCCAGAACAACCTGTATTACTTCAGTTAGCCAACGGCGATATAGTAGAATCCGCTCCACCGATTTGGGGTGTAGATATTAAGTGCGGTAAGGGAACAGATTTCAGCTATGGACCTTGGGCAGATCGACAGAGGGATCATCTATTCAAATTCTTTTTTCCCCCCAACTATAAAAGCTTAGAAGTAACTCAACAGCCAAAACCAGGAGATAGAAGACAGATGCAATCTTTTGACATTCGATTGTCAACACTGAATGAGGCTACAATAGATATTTTATTTACAAAAGTTAAAGAAACCAATGCAGTCCACATAAACATCGGCGCTGGTTCTTACCTCGAAGTAACATTACCATGGATTGTGCTTCAAGATGGGTATACAACAAAAATAACTGGCCAGTTGCTACATTTAGAAGCCACCACAAGTCTTCAGTATAGAAGTTTAGCAGAGAGTGAAACATTGGAATACACAGTAAAATGCCACTATCCGCTGGTGTGGAACCATCATCAGTGTTGGCAACTGTCTCTGACAGGATGCAAAGCTACAGCACACTTTGTATATACTCACATAAATTTTTTTCAAGATCTTACAAACGATTGGGCTAGTAAGGCGCGTCCCGACATCCTTCATTTCGTACCATATACATGGAAAATATCATTGCTTTTAAAAGAGTGTGAAGTCGTAACAGTTAGCAATCAGTACAATTGGATTGACTGCAGCTCAACTAACCAAGAAAACAATCATGTAGCTTTTTGCGGTGACTTACTTGATGTGTCTTTTGATTTGCCTTTTATTGATTTCTTGCCAGATGTCATTCCTCTCAAAATTTGGGTACAAGGTGAGGCTGTTGATATGAGTCTGTACTTACCAGAGGTCAACATTTCTAGATTGCTTCTTTTGTCAATTGATAAAAATATGAAGCTTGTTCCCTGCAGACTGAAATCGTCAAAATGGCGAAGAAAATGTGTGAAAACCCAAGGTTGGGTAGACTGTTGGTCTGTTCCAATAGTAGCTCTAAGTGTGAGGTATAACTACCATCCTATACCACCTCTAGGACCAGAACCACAAGCGGACATTACCACTCCAGAAAAGGAAGAAATTTTACTCTCTCCAATGAGAATACCAAGAATTAGAAAACAGCCACAAATGAATTGGGGCATAGATGGCAACAATTTCGACCGAACCACCCTTGCCCCTGATAAAGTTAGCGTGGAACTTGAGGTGGGACCTTCTATTCTTCTCGCTTATGGGACTATTATTACTAGTTTTATAAATCTGTTAGAAAATATATTTGGTGAAGATCAAATATTTACTGATATGCAGAAGAACCCTAATGTCGAGACGTATTTTTGGTCAAGTGAGAGCAATCCAACTAAACTAAATGATAGAAGTAGTATCAATCAGCATACTGAAATTTCCATTGATGACTCAACTGATTCTAGTAAGGGGCCTTTTGATCCACGTCGTTGTCGGCCTTTAGATGTGAATGTATCCATCATTATCCACGACATTCAGGCACATTTAGTTAAAAATTGCAGTGAAAATGAGCCTCCCTGCCCTGTAATACTAATTGAAAGATTTGGTTTCGAAATGGACAAGGGCTTTAGGGATACTAAACTTCAACTTCTTTTAAGTCCATCGATATTAGTGTCTTCAAATAGTCCATCTCGGTCAAATTCAAATGGTGTGAATACTTCAAGTACTCTTCAACAAGGCCACTTAATGCTGTCATCATTTCAACTAAGAGGTAATGGTTTCTTCAGCGACACTAATCGATCAGTCGAAGAAGAAACAATAGAGTATGCCTGGATGATGGAACTTCAATTAGGTCAATTGACAGGTCGTTTAACTTTACCTCAATTGTATCAAATAATATCATCATTAGAAACGTTTTTACTTCTTATATGTGACAATGAAAATGAACTGACACCGCCAAACACGACTAAACAATGTCATCATGGACTTAACAATGTTCTATGCCCTGAAACAGACCTTACCTTAAAATACCGATGTCCTACGCCTAATGAAATTAAATATCGAATGATTCGTGTGGCCATCGATCTTATCGATTTGTATATTGCGGATACAAATACAACGTTGCAGTCGTGGATATCGCCGATAAGATTATCGTTTTGTAATTTGCATGGGTCTGGATTTGGAACAGGAATAACTGGATTGTTGCCAAATATCAAACTCGCTCTCTATACGCAAACTAACATGCAAACAAATACTCATCATCATTCTAGTGGAAGTAATGGAAGTCAAAATAAAGTACCTGACACTGATAATTGGGTTGGTGTGGGCTCGATGTCCTTAGGTCCGCTGCTCTTAGAAGCAGCATCCTCATTACCACAAAGTCCAAAAAATTTGCATCTAGTACAGCAGAAATTTTTGAAGTTACATGACGAGAAATTTAAAAGATTATGGTTTCTGTGGCCAAACGAAGGCAAAGGCACACAGTGCGGTTGCACAGGTGGATGCGCATTCTTTGGTTCTAATCGAAATGGAGCAAACTTTTTAAAACCGAGTCCCTCAGATTTACACGAGGGTATTAATATAGCAATATTCAATGTAATAGAAACCTCTCCTGGTGAATATGGTTACGGCCAAAGTTTACTTCATTCTGGACAATTGGTCTTCCATACTCCACCGTATAATAGTTTGAATGTCTGCTTGCAACCGACAAATGTATCTACTTTGACACCCTCTCCTCTACCACAAAACCTTAGTAAATCTCCACAAAGTGTCGAAAGGAAAAGTCTGACAAGAAGATTTTCTTACACAAGTATGAGTAAGGGAAGTAACAATGTTTTAGTATCTAGTACTAAAAGTGACGTTCCTTACGCCCGTCTAGTAGACTCGTCCATTCCGCTTGGCAGTTCAAAAATTGATAGCGATTCCAAACTAAACAAAACCATTTTAAATATACCCCAAATGGAAAGTAGCGTATCTGATTCCAAACTGGCTCTTAGTTGTGGTATCAAAGATGCTACGAATATAAACGTTAAAAAACCGATACCGCCTGAAAATGAACAGTTTGTCGCGCCCAAAGTACCGCCGAGAAGCGTTGCGGTGTCAGATTCTCATTACTCGTTGAATTCTCAACCGCCACTAGAAGAAGCTGTAATACATGAAGTTCAGCGCACTATTTCCATAACGAGTGAAAACCATTCGGAAGCATTCTTTTCGGCTGATGAAGACATGTTTCCAAGTCGGTCATCAAGTTTGAAGCACTCCTTCGGCAGCCGTCGCAGCAATCCCAAAGAACCACCTTCATATGCAATGGGTGACGGTAATAACGAAAAATGGTTAAATGTTGTACCAAGATCGGAGGTAATTGATGCACCCGATACAATAAGCAATCTAAGTGTCGGTGCCCAGCCCGACTCTGAGAGCGGCTCAGTGTCATCCACTTCATTTATATCTGCTATTTCTTCTCAAGAAGATATGACTCTTGTAAACCTTCATATGCAGACCAATAAACCAATAGTAGACTCTCCATTGCTTATGTCTAGTTATATTAATAATTTACCACAATACAAATGCTGCAATTGGTCAACTTGCTCTCTACCAACTGGTAGTGACGTGTTTACGTTACCTCTATTTAGAAGAGCTGATGATGGATCTTTGGTATATGTCGGACAAAAATATTTGCCATCTTTCGAACCTTCTGGAAAAGTACAAACTCTAAAATTGATTTCAAAGAAAGATGGTCACTCTGGTCAAAATCAGCATGGCCCTTACTCAAACCTTACCCCACATTTCAATTCACAAATCAAAGCTCATCCATATCCACAAGCGTGGTGGGACTTGCAGCAGAATGTGCAAGACAATCAAGAGAATACTACAGACAAGAGTTCGACTTCTACTGTCACAACGACCAGCGATACCAAGAATGGTTTATTCGTGAAGCTACGTGGTGAAATTGATGTAATGCTGACGCCACTTGTTTTAGAAAGCACCCAAAAGTTTGTAGAGTCCTTAACTCCAGTATTAGCCAACATTCATCCTATAACCGTGATTAACCATTTGCGTTTACTCTGTATATCATCAGTCCAGTCTGCGAACATATTAAAACAAAAGCAGTATGTATTGAACTGGTTGCCCCAGATGCAAGCTCGTAACGAATCGAGCATCATCATTGAAAAAGATGATAAGTGCAAGCTTGCTACAATACCTCATTCGAATATATATGAAGAAACAATTTGTGATCAACTCCAGGCCACTGTTAATGTGCCTAAAGTAAATATAGTGTTTATTCAATCATCTGTCGTGGAAGATATGATTTCGTTTTCTGCCCTGGACAATATTCAAGACTTGACCTGTGTGTCTTTGTTTGGAGTTTCTGTGGAAAATATCGTAGCCAAATACACGAGCTCTAAAAAAACTTTGGAATCAGTACAACTTTATTACCGTCCCACTCTTCGAGCTTTAGGTAGTAAAAAATCATTTGGAATCATGAAGGGTCCTCGGGCGCTGATATCAGCTCAGTCTTCCGCATCAGGTCGAAAACGAGGACCTGAAAAAGGAGAGCCAGTATACATAGAAGCGGCACAACAGCAGTGTGAAGATACGACAATCGTCTTAAATATTGGTATGTTAATTAACATTATTATATATAGATTCATTAAAATATGTATGTAATTAATGGTTTTATCTTGTTTATTGTAGGAAAAGTTCACGGGCAATTAAGAAGGATACGTAATGAGTCCTCTCAATTAAAGGATGCTACCATAACTGGTATTCCTTGTCAACATTCCAAAGTCTCGTTCAAATTTATAAGAACTGACCCTTGTCCCAAAGGATGTGACACTATGGTTAGTTATTAACGTTTGAAAGATATTCTTTTTAAATATTAATTGCTTTATAATCGTTTATTCTTCGGATATTTTCTAGGGTTGTCAAAATGGAACTACAGAGGGACAGAAAGAGAACAGCATTGGATACATTATGTTTGAATGTGGTATCGAAGGTGTGTCTATTAAAGTATCTAAACATTCCCAATCACACAAACCGAATGATGAAAAGAAACCCATACGCCCCGATAGCGAAAGTTGTAGGGAGTCGGTAAAGTCAGCTGAAGAACTGAAACCTGATAAGGAAAAAACAAAAGGCATAAGGACTTCGGGTATCGAAGATCTGTTTAGGAAGAGGGAATCTACTTCTAAACCAAGTACGCCCAATCTAGGTAGTGCTCAGCCCCCGCCTGTGCCTCCAGAACCTACTACCCCTGGACCAGATGAGCCTTCAAATGATAGCACTGCGACTGTAGTGCCCGTGAAAGATACCGGAAACACGTCATCATGTTCAATTGACTTGAAAGTTGTTTGGTTCAATTTCGCTGCGCCTCCTCGGACACCTATTACAAAGAAAATCGATTATACCAGGTAGTTATATTTTATTATGTTTATTATAAGTAATTTACTTTAAGCGTATTGTATTTTTCTGATATAAGAATGATGACTGTAACTAGAAAAGATAATGATATGGAATTTTTTTATTATTTTCGTAATAGTTTCTTTTTTTACTTAAAATATTTAGTTTAGTCTTAAAACTTTTACAGTCTTATATTTTGATTTTTAACCTAAATTATTTTAGTTCAAAATCAAAAAGATTTTGCAGTACCAATAACTTCTAAAGGTAAGGTATTAAATAATAAATGACGTAAAACCATTTGAAGACTGGACTGGAACCTGCTGAGCACGGCGTCGCCCGCCATCAACGCGTGGATGAACCCGTGCAACCGGCTGGGCATCCGCGTGGTGGCGCTGTACCGCGCGCGTGCGCGCCGCCTCGCCGCCACCGCCGCCAGCCTCATGGCCTCCGCACTGGATAGAGCACCTACTCACTCTTTACCGAAGGTGCGTTTGGTTTTATTTGTATTGCAATAGAGGTCTTATGAAACACTATACAATATAGTAGATTTTGTCGACCCTAGACTAGATGAGCCGTCATATTACTGCACCAATAAATAGGCTTCAAAGTGCCAGTTAAGCACATATTACTCTTCGACAATGTCATGTAGAATGGCGAAGACAGAAGGAAGATTGGTCTTTAAAAGTAACTGAATAGTCGACACAAATAACCAACAATTCCAAGATAGCCCTGAAAACCCATTTAATTTTACATTATCCCTAAAATTAGGTGTTTAGTTGCTTTGAAAGTAATAAATGGTCAATTGAGTTTGTAAGTAAGTAAAGTGACGATAGCTATCGCTCGTTACAGAGTCGCTACGGGCGGCACACGCCCATGGCCAAGCAGCTGCGCGAGGAGCCGTCGCTGCAGCTGTGCGCCGTGCTGCTGCGCTACGCGCTGCAGGCCGACGCCGCCGCCGTGCAGGCGGACCTCGCCGAGAGGCATCTGCCTTCGCTCTCTACGCTCAGACAGGTCATTGTTTATACGTATTCGGCCCTTTTTAACGTCCCACTAACTAACCACCACATACTGAGCACGGCTGTGGCTGAATTTGCTCACATCACAATAATATTCGGCACGAATAGCAATAACAAAAAATAATGTTATTACATTTTCTTTTAAATTGGACCTGTTACCTGCACAGTAAAAAATACCATGTAGTAACCGTAGATTTATTTTATTCTTGCAGGGCGTTATCGTGCTAACTCGACAATGGAAAAACATTCTCTACACTCCCCTACTATTGGAGCACAACTATAAGAGCAAAGTTATGAAGCCTCTTAATGTGACTTTCGCTTTGCCAGATCTACTAGAGGTATACAATTAATGTACTTTAAAATGGTTTTCTATAATAATATATAATAGAATTTTGTATGATGTTTATACATATAATAAAAATTAATATCATTTTGAATACATCAACGGTAAGTTTATTTACTAGGTATTGACCACGGTTCCGCTTGCATGGTACGAGCTGAGCGGGTTGTTAAAAATATATATAATATAAGCTATCTCGCATATGAATTTCATCTAAACTTATTGTGCTATTACAAGGAAAAAATGTAACCACCATACCTCAGATTAAGGAATAATATAGACAGAATGTCATAGAACTAAACTGAAGCCAAACAATAATGTTTCAAAATAACCTCAATAATATATAATGTTTTAGAATTGTATACAAATATTAAAAGAATACTAAATAATAAATTATAATAAAGAAAAAAATTAATAAGTTAATATTATGCTATCTCTCTTTTAAGAGAGAGAGGAGAAATAATGCTTCAAATATACAAAAACATATAATTTTTTTTTTAATTTTTATTATATTTTTTATATCTATATAAAATTGAATTATTCATTAAAGAAAATAAACGTCTGTATAGCAAAGTCGAGAATACTAGCATGAACAGCAAATCACGCTACTTTTTATGACATGACATTTTTTTGACGATTCTCTTAAATAAGTAATTCTTTAGTCTAAGCATCGTACACACTATTCGCATTTATAATATAAATGTATTTTAAATAAAATAAAACTATCTTTTCTCTCTTATCGATATTTAGTTCTATGTATATGTGACTATGATTGTTGTAAAGCATTCGAAACATCGAGAAACAATAATCAAAATAAATACGCAAAAAATTCGAAAAGGTAGTTTTATATTATTTAGAAAAAGGCAGTGGTAGCCCAGTGGTAACGCGCTCGCTTGAGAAACCGAGTGAAGCGGGTTCAAATCCCGGGTCTCGCACCTCTGATATTTTCATGTGCGAATCATTTCTAACATGATTACCACTTGCCTTACGGTGAAGGAAAACATCGTGAGGAAACCTGCATGTCTGAGAGAACTTAGCAAGTTTTCTTAAGACATGTGAAGTCCGCCAACCCGCACTTGGCCAGCGTGGTGGACTATGGCCTGATTCCCCTCGTACTGAAGGGAGGCCCGTGCCCAGCAGTGGGACGATAAAAAGGGCTGAATACATATTATTTAGAATGTCAAATATTCACGTAAATCTAAGAAAGTATTAATTAATATAAGTTGCACTTAATATGATTAAAGCAGGACTCAGTGGAGGGATGGCAAGAATATCAGTTCGATAACGAAGCGCTCGATGAGAACTGCCTCCTTTTAAACATGGACGTTGACAAACTAAACACAACAACTACAATACCGAGTAAGTTTTTTTATAATATATATATATATATATTATATATATATATATTATATATATATATATATATATATATATATATATATATATATATATAATACAAATTAACCTCAATATATACAAAAGTAAGGGTGTTTAAAGAAATAATGAATTTATGTTACTCGTAGTTCAATCGTTCTGGTATGGTATTGTCTTTGTCCAAATATTGGATTATGTAATGTATGTATGTATGTATTGTTTTTAGGTCAGTATATATATTTAAATCGTAAATAGATATAATGTTCAAAATTTTCTCTACAGCATAAACAAGCTACTTCGGTATTTACAAATTATGTGAAAGTTATTTAATTTAATTGTATATCTTATCTACAATCTGCCTGGTTAGGCCAAAAGACACTATAAAAAACCTTGTAGACGCTTATTTACTGTTAATGTTTGTATTATAAAATGAATTTCATTATTATCACAAATCTATTACCGAACAAAACCAGCTGTTTAGGTTAGATTTTATATTTCTATTCTACACAACTGATACTATGGTGGTTTACAAAGCAAACGAGGCGACTGTGACGTCGCGGCCGCACTCGTACCCGTCGACGCCGCCGTCCGGTTCGTACGCACTCGCTATGCGTTATGACCTCTATGTGCTTGTCATAAGTGTTGTTTTGCCATGCTCGGATTTGCTTGGTTTGCACGTTTTGCGTTCCCTGTGCTCCTTATCATGTAAAGCTTCGAGGCTAAAACTATGAGACAATTTAGCTGTCTTTATACGAGAGGAATGTTAGACTTAATATATGCATATTCTGTAACTACATATATGTATGTATATTAGTGATGTAACGAATATCCGATTTTTCACATTCGCGAATGCGAATATTCATCTCCAATATTCGCGAATACGAATGCGAATGTTGATTTTCAAACATAGCGCGCGCAAAATGTCAAACAGACAGGTTTGACATTTCGTGTCGGCCATGTTTAAACCGAACATAGCCAAGCCGATACAGGTTAAATGAACGGAGTTAGTCACATAGAGTTCGTTCGAAAAGATTTGTTGTGATGTGAGGTTAGTTTAGTATTATTGCATTTGTCAAATTTAAGTAATACCTAGTCAAATTGACAAAGTGATACAAAAACATGAGTAAAGCCCAGTTGTATTTTCATTCGTCCGTTAATTCCTTATATAATTTACTTTTTGTTTGTCAAATAAATTCGCCAAGAATTCGCATCGTTTCTTGCGAATACGAACGCGAACGTCAAAAAATATGCGAATATTCGCGAATGCGAATATTTGTTACATCACTAATGTATATAAATGTATATGAAAAAATATATTACAACAATAATGATTATTATATAAGATTAGCCTATTTATTAATTTTAAATTTTAAACACGGTTGTCCTTTTATTGTTTTATTGAAAAAATTATTAAGTGTTTTAGGTGCTTAAAGAAAGTTTTACAATTTAAAAAATACTTGCATGACATAAAGTATTGATAGTTCTATATTTTATTCTTATTAGTTTGGTGTTTTCTTTTCCTCGTACTTTAAATAAAAATTGCACTTTTATTTTAATGTTTGCACATTTATATCAGTTATTATTTATTTAGTTGATTTCATACATATTGCACTATATCATCGATAAAAAAGTACTAGATACATAATCAGCGACAGAAAACGTCCTCACCGAATGAGCGTTAATTTGAGCGCGCTTTTAATTTTTTTTGTGAAAACAACTTTAAGAATTGCATTTAAGGATTAATTTACATTGTTGTATATTTATTTTAACTAGAACAATTACCTAAACACAATTCGTGACAGTTTTTGAAAGAACTTTAGCATGGGATTGTGCATCTAAGTACATACTTTTTTGATCGATGCAATATATTAAAAAAAGCTGATTAGAAGGCTATTTTTGTGTTTTTGTTTAATTTTCTTTTTATTTTCACTTATTCTGATTATATTATTTTATATACTTATTTTTTTATTTATTACGTGTACACTGCACATTTTGAATTTCTTTAAAGATTTATTTCTAACTATAGTTTTGTTTGGATTTATTTTTATTCTGTTCTAATGTGTTTGTTTGATAATTTAAAATATTATCATAATCTATCATCGACAATTTTTTCTTATTTAACCAATAACTTAAAAGTTTGATTATTTTGATGCTGTGTTGTTAATGTATGTCTGTACCAATGAACAGTGAGAGCCGCGCAGAACAGTCGCGCGAGCCTCGTGTTCCCTTCGCTACCCTTCTCAACCAGGAAGACTCCTTTCCAGGACGATGCCACTGCTAGTGAGTTTTATTACTCTTTAAAGTTTTTGGTTAGCTTATTATGAGTGTAGATCGTAAGGCCTAGGTTCGAGTCCTGGGTAGGATCAAAAATTAGGTTTTATTTCAAGAAATATCAGTAGCAGTGAATAAAGAAGTCAGTGATATTACTATATTCGGTCTTGTGCTTGTGCAATTGTAGAACAAATACGTAGCTAGACTTGAATCAAGGATAAAATATGTATGTCTGTATAGATATAGAGAGAAACACAAAAAAAATTAACAACTATTTTTTGGGGTCTATATTCTTTACACAGATACAGATTTCGCAATTATTATTTTATAATATTTATAGATTACTCGTTATTTTTGAAGTTATACTTCTTTTGGCACGTTTAGAAAAAAATTTACGATGTGCGCGTACACCGACACCGACCAAAAAAGGACATGATGAAGTTCGCTGTATTTCTTTTACAAACAGAGAGTTGTGACATACGGGATGAAATCTATTTTTGTTCTGTTACGCGAAAGAAGTATAACTTCTTACGTGCGTACATAAGTACACACACACACGTATTTATTAATTTTTGATTAGATTATATATAATGGTAATATTTATTTGTTATTGTGTCAATATACTATTTATTACCAATTTAACGTGATCAGATTACGGCACGCTGAAGGAGGACCTGCCCACGGTGGGCTCCAACCCGTCGCTGTACTCGCAGAGCAGCGACCACCTGCCCAGCGAGCGCGCGCGCGAGGACCTCTACCAGTGGATGGCCAAGCAGGAGCCCATGAAGATGGTGCGTGTTAGCTTTTTTAAATTACTTTTTAATTGTTTTGCTCTAGGCCTTTTGTTTTCGGCTGTAATCGATAAGTCGTTAATAAGTGTTTAAATCCATAATAATATCGTTATTCTTAGGGTTTTAGATGAGATAGTGTCGTTTTGTCAACATTTTTGTGAATTGTTTAGTAAAATGTGATTTGGTAGAAATAGCGTTAACATACATGGAGTAATAGTTATAGTAGCATAGTTGTAATATTGACTTACGGATTTACATATTGATATTTAATTTAAATTACAAAGGAGGCCAAGAGCAAGAAGCCGCTGATCCCGGCGGCCAAGGCCAACCCGCTGGCTGCGTGCAGCCTGTACCCGCTGCAGGGCTCGCTGATGCTGCTGGACGCGCACCTCGTGTTCCAGCCGCTGCTGGCGGCGCTGGGCGTGTCGCCGCACCAGGTCGCGCACGGTACGACACCACACACCTCGTCTTATACAACGCTACCTGGGCCACTGACATTTTCTCGGCCTTTAATAATATCGTGTTTTTATGGACATGATGTAAAAAAAATATTTTTTTAGAAAATACACCTTGAACAGATACCTAATCAGATATTTTCGAAGTCGGTGCTAGCCGATGCAAAGCAAATCTAATATATTTCGATACGTAAAATACATATTTACCTATTAGATATTCATATCTTAAAATATTGTAGACTGGCACAGAGTTCGAAAATATCTGATTAGATATCTATTCTAAATGAAAACCTCCGTTTAGTTATTTTTTACATTTTAGTGCCTGGAAGTCGGTTTTTATTATTGTTAAAAAGTTTTTATTTTTCCAATTTTAGTGTAGACATAATAAGCAGGTAATTCGTAAGAAGAAAATTTTTAATAATATATTCGATTAAACAATTTATTTAAAAAAAATATATTTATTGTTAATGTTTTTAAAAACCGGTCGATCGATTTCGATAAAACTTATATGGGACCACTTGAGAAGTATACACTTTAAAACAAAAAAAAATGTTCCAAATCGGTTCAGGCGTCTTCGAGTAATCGGTGACCATACATAAAAAAAAAATATTCCGACGAATTGAGAACCTCCTCCTTTTTGGAATTAGAAGTCGGCTAAAAATGTCAACTCTTTGTGTAAATCTAAGAAAGTATTATACGTGAATATTTATAGGTGAATCGAAAGTGAAAGGAGTGGGAGCAGAAGCGGGGTCCGGGCTGGAGTCGCTGGGCTCCAAGCTGTCGCTGCTGGCGTGGGTGGACACCTTCCGCATCGACATCGTGGTGGGCGAGCTGGCGCGCGACCGCCGGCACCAGCCTGGCAAGGGCAAACGTAATGTGGACAGTTTTTATTGAATTCATTATCTGTTCTTTTATTGTTTTTTTTTATAGCTATCATTGAAATTTTTATTTTAATATTTTTTTTGTAAATTCAACTCCATCGTCAAAATTATGTATTAATCGAAAAAAAATTGTACCAATATCCAGTTTTGAACGTATTTATTTCGTTAAAGCCATATGTTGACACTTTTAGTGTTATGATAAGCAAGATATATTTAATTAATATCGATTTTAAAATTTATTTTGTTCTTAATATAATTCGTATTCATATTTCAAGATCACCAGCAAATATAGTACAAGCCAAATTACCTTCCAGCGAACTCCCATGCGGATATCCCGTCGGAGACGCCGGCGTTCCTCTGTGAGAAGGTGTCCATCGACGTGGACCTGAAGAAGGTGGCGGACATGGCGGTGGACGACCTCATCCAGCGCCAGAACGTGCTGTACATCTCGCGAGGGCAGCTCAAGAAGCACATCAGCACTATGCTCAACTTTAATATAAGCATTCGGTTCATTTCGCAACAGGTGATTAGGTTTTACATAATAATTTTGTAGTGTTTTATATTTGCATTTACGAAGGAGTTAGTTTATAGCTGCCTCGGTGGTGTAGTGGCTAGTAGGTACGGCCGTAAGTCCGGTGGTCCCGGGTTGTAGGTTCCATGCCGGGTTAAGTAGGTTTTTTTGTTAAGAAATTCTTAGTAACAGCCCGGAGCGGGGAAGTTGGCGGTGTTTTACCGCCGTGCCGAGGAAGAGCAGTCGGTTCTGCGCAACTCGCACTGGTCGTATCGAATTATTATCCCATCGCACTTGGAGAATATCTGAGCGTATACTTGTGCACTATAATATCTTCTGCGCACTTGGCTAGCCTCAGTGAGATTAGTCATCACGGCAGGAATCGATCAAATATCAAAATTATTTTTAGCAGTGTAACTAATGTAATTATAACTATACAAATGCAATTATCCGTCCAGGTGAACATGCCGTTGCTGCGGCTGCTGCATCAGATCAGCAACATGTACCAGAACGTGAAGGACACGCAGAGCGAGCTGCGCACGCAGACCAGCTCCTCGCGCCGCCACAACAAACATCCTTCCGGTAACTAACTATATTTGGATATTGGCCGAAATTGGAAGTGCAAATCTATAATACTTATGTACGTTATTTCTCGTTAGTTTAAGTTACTTCACTTCAGTATAGCTACCCTGTACGCATACAGAATAAGGGTTCTTAGGTTTGACTCCTAGGTCAGGCCAACATAGTTACTGGATTTTTCTTGTAGAACAACTCGGTAACCGCTTAGTATTGGTAGGTTATTGGTGTTTATACCTTTTTGCCTCAGAAAGCACGTTAAACTGTAAAGCTAGCCGTGTTGAATTTTCATTCTACCGGTAATGCTCTTATATTCTGATATAGAAGGTAGTAAGATATTAAAAGGAATATAAAGTGTACATGTGATTGCTCATACGTTTGTACACTGTAATATGTGAGCTGGTTAGTCTCGTAGAAACTTCCATACTATATTATAAATATGAATGTGTGTTTGTTTGTTTGTTCTTCTTTCATGTCGAAACACAGTGACAGATTGGCGTGTTTTTTATGTTGAAAATAGCTGGAGGGCTGGAGAATGATATAGACTATTTTTAATGCGGGATTTTATCTTATTCCCACGGGAAATCACGTCAAAATGCAACCCACAACAACTCTCATATAGTCTTTATATAATATACAGTCTATTCCATACTTACCGTTCCTAATGACAAAGTCGCCAGTAACTAATAAATCGATCGATGTTTGATTATTTTGTCTGTCTGTAATCGGAACGCGTGTAACGTGTACGTGTGTTGTGTGGTGGCAGAGTGCGAGTTCCGCGAGACGGTGGCGAGCATGTCGTCGCTGGCGGCGGACAGCGCGTACGCGGCGCTGGCGGCGCTGGAGCCCCGCGGGCAGCCGCCGCCGCCCGCGCCGCGCCCGCGCCCGCAGTCCTTCGCGCAGAAGCTGCGCTCCACCGGCAAGACCGTCAAGGGGAAGCTGGGTCGGTATCTTACTTCGACACTCGTTCTACTGATGCTATTTTATTAAGCAATGCAAAACAGACCAGTAGTCTATACATCTATACAGATAAACAAAATTGAAGTGTCTGTTTATAATGTCAAAATAAAAGCGTTTTACTAAATGCATATGAAATTATATATGGTACTTATAAGAAAAACACATTTTTTAAAATTTTTGTTTATCTGTCTGTATGTTTGTTCCGGATAATCTCTGAAACGACTGGACTGATTTTACCGAAAATTTCACTGGAAAAAAGTTGATGATATAGGCAGTAAGATAGAGTATTTTTATTTTAGAAAAGGAATTAGGGTTGCGCTCAAAAAAATTAAAACGTACCCAGGGACGAACCCGAGACTAGCGAGGGCGAGTCGCTAGTATTTAATAAATTTACTTAATATGGTTAGTAAACGCCACGACAGAAACTTAAAACAATGAGGAGCAGAGTTACTTGTGAGGTTAATTATTATTAGATGATGCTATGTGTAGCATTATAAAGTTCAAGAGTCTATTCTTTCTTTCTTTCTTTCTTTGTCTATTATTTCTACAATATTTACCACAGATTACAACACAAGTAAATCACGTCGTTGTATTTTTGTAAAGTTAATGGAAATGATTCGGTAAATATGACCAAGAAGCGTAATGCCAGTAAAGGCTTATGCACGCGATTCATAAACGAGTTCACGTCGCATGATTGTGAATATACGTCGTTAGACTTGCGTTTATCACACAGCACAGTTTTTTTATGTCATCTAAAAGTTTTTTAATTATTTCTTTTTCAAATGAAATATTGTATGTAAAATATAATTCAACAATGTGTTTAGTATTTGCTTTCTATATGCGTAACAAGTTATTTATTGAAACAAAAACTGAAGTTGTTGCTCTGAAAGAGTACATTTTATTTAATTACAAAAACTAGTTTAAAATTAATACATTTTTTAACCTTAATTATAATAACTCACCTGAAAGAGAAACAACATTCAAAGCTATTGTTTCACCGTTCTTAATCAGTACTATTTAATTAATATTCAAATTACAGTAAAACTTTTATAAACTAATTCGCAATGCGGTATCAATACGTCAAAGGTCAATCTGACATACAGCTCCATAGTTATTGTTTTTAAAATTTATCCCCAATAGGGAAATGCAAAGGACTATAGTCCATACAGCCTATTCAAATTTACAGCTCCATAGAATAGAAACTTCAAACTACCAAGTTCACTCACAGATTTAAACATACTTAAATAAAGTGTCAAGCACTTTGTTTACATATGCATTACCAATCATTTTATACAAATTTTACTGTTGAAATATAAATTAAGAAGTAATAATACTAGATTGTACGTGTATTTATTGAAATACCCGCTATATTTCAATAAAATCCAGTAAGATTTCTTATAAATTGAACAAATATTTATTTCGAATAGAAACATAACATTACTTATACATCGTTGATTGTTGACATTAGATAGAACATAAGCGCCACGCACGGCCAGGAAACGAACAGTCGTCAGTATATAAAGATACTTACATATTTAGTTAATGTATATAGACGTGTTTAAGTTTATTTACTAAACAGTATTTGTATATTTATGACGTTCAGGCTACAGCTCGCTGAACGAGGGCGCGCACACGCCGATGTTCAGCGCGGCGGGCGCTGCGGCCGCGGCGGGCGCGGCGCCGGCCGAGGAGGCGCCGGCGCTGGCGCCGCGCTGCTGGCGCACCGTGTACCTGCTGCTCGACCTCTACGCCAACATGCCCGACGCCGACACCATCACGCACAGGTACCCCGCACCCTACACGCTACACGCTACACCCTGCACTCTGGTGTAGTGATCGGATCTGTTCACGCGTACACGTGTTTTATCAGTTCTGTGGGATGTTTATTCGATATCAACATTGGTGTTTGTAAATGAATGTTATGAAAAAATTACTATTATTTATATTACAAGTCTCTATTAGTAATTATTCTATCTATTGATATGATTTTTTAAAATTTATATGGAATCATCCTGAAAGTCGTCTAAGCTTAATTTTGAATCTTTTGAGCACCTCTTTCTGTTTATGAAATGAATCTGAAATATGGTTATTGTTACAAGAATATGTATGTTTTTATATAAATTAGGTTCTCCGTGTCGACGGAGCTGCCGGAGGCGTACCGCGGGCGCGCGCGGCCCAGCTCCCGCGAGCAGAACGCCAGCAACTCCTCCTCCAGCAACGCCGGCATGGGCATCGTCGTCGTGGGAGTCGCCAGGCAAGTATTGTTTTTTATCGCACGTTATACTCGGCACACTTGGTGAATGAAAGCTAGGTAGAAACGAATGTAATGTTTTTACAGTCATGATATTTTTTTACCGAATTTCAAGAGGAGTTATTATTTACTAAAATCACTTATGTGACGTCATTGTTAGTATCAGAATACCATTAGTTGTAAGGAATGTATGTAATAAGTAGTTCGTATGCACTATATACATATGTATATAATGAGCATTCTTTTAGATTGGTGGTGGTGGTTGAAATTAAAGTGAGACATTTAAATACTAGCGGCTTATCATTTATTTCCTTATAGTCGAGAGTTTCAGGAAGAGATAATTGTGTGGTATGTTCGGTGCAGGATCCACCGCACGCGGCTGCTGGCGTCGCTGTCGGGGCTGAAGCTGGAGGCGGAGATCACGTCGCTGCAGGCGTCGCTGTCGGCGTCGCGCGCGCGCCAGTGGGCGCTGGGCGGCAACCTCGGCCGCACCGCCATCGTGCTGCTCGAGGGCGCCGCGCCCAACCACCAGTCAGTACACCACACACACACACACACACTATTACACTGTACTCATGAGAGACAAAAATTAAAAATAGTTTTTTTCTTATAAGTATCGTATATACTTTCATAAGCATTTAATCCTTCCACGACCGCGGACACGCCGGCGTTACAGTTAACATTAGATTTCTTAGAAATTTAATTAATTTCTTATAAATTGACCTGGAGGTGTTAATAAATTTCATTTATTTGTATAGAATAAAATATTATATTACTTTTGAAACTCTTTGTTAAACAAACTTGTCTTATAATTTTAACATGTATTTTTTTGTTATTATAGATATGTTACTTGGATTAATTTGGCACTGACAACTTTAATTTTTAATTTATTCATCTTTTAAAATTTAGTAGGTCAAGTGTTAACCTTAAAATATAATTCAGCATTTATAATAATCGATCACTTGCAGTTACAACCTATGTTTTAATTTTGCGTTATTATTTAAAAAAAAAGACATTCGATATTTTGATCTTTCGAACCGGATAACGAAGTCATAGAAAATAATAATTATAAAAAATATTATATAAAAGTGAGTCGTGTCCCGCCAGGACGGTGGTGCGCGTGAGCGTGGGCAAGTCGCAGGCGCTGTACTCGTGGGAGCCGGGCCGCGCGGGCGCCACGGCGCTGGCGGCCGTGGGCGGCGTGCGCGTGGACCTGCCGCAGCACCCCGTGGCGCTGCACGGCGTCATGACGCGCTCCAGCCGGCAGCTCTCCTCCACGCTCCAGGTCCTCACCGCGCCTCGTTTATTATGTTATCTCTATGGAAATTGTTCATGGAATATATGTCGAAATATTTTAGTGAATTCTTAAAGTTAATTTTTCATAGCCTGATTTAATAATTAAATTTAATAAATATATAAAGTAAATAAATAATAAAGTAAAAGCAAACATTAGATAAATGTATTGTGCAAATATACACCATTATATGTGTAAAGAAAATCATCTCACTCATATACGAGTGCATTCCTTGAGTTTTTATTTGTCGCATGGATACTCTTTGGTCGACTTTTACTTTTAATTATAGATTTTCCTTATATATAATAGTTCATATACATATTTTGTTAACATGTAAAAAGGCCTTAAACAAAGGCTTTCAATGTTGTTTCTTTTATATGTATATACACGTGAGCTAATATTTTGTTAATAGGTAATGTATGTACATGATTATTTCAATGTTGTAAGTCTTTTAGTGAAATAAATTTATGGTATTTACAGAGAAACGTAATTTCGTCTTTATTTTTTTATTCAAGAGAATATCATTATATATGTATGTATATATGTATGTGTTGTGCAACAGGAACTGGGTGTGACGCGGACGTCGTCGCGGCTGTCGCGCGGCGGCGGGCTGGGCGCCGCGGAGGAGGAGGAGGGCAGCCCGCCGCCCGCGCCGCGCCCGCCGCCCGCGCCGCCGCGCCCCGACCCGCTGCTGCAGCCGCTGCACCTGCAGTTCTCCATCGTGCTGCAGGTGGGCAAGAGGATATCTCTATACGACTAGTATTAGTTTCTTCTGTCTTTTTCAAACGAGAACTTTATATTAATCAGAATTTTAATGCGCTGTCGATGCGTTAGACTGATCGCAAGCAATTTGCTTCTATAAGTTTACCAGTAGAATACACAGATGAAACGTGTTCATATGTAGTACACGCGTCGTGGACGTGCGTCGCGCCTTAAAGGAAAGAATAATGCTACTTTTTTTTACTTTTATTTTGGAATATTATCGGATATTTTTATAAATTTATTTTGATTTCTGATTCCTGGTGGACTAGTGTATATTTTATATGCACATATCTGTATGTATGTCTCCCGCGCGCGCAGAGCCTGAGCGTGACGGCGGCGCTGCTGCCGTCGCTGCAGGCGCAGTACAAGATGGAGCGCGTGCACAGCGCCGGCGTGACGGCGGCGCGCGCGCACTTCACCGTGGACCTGCCGCACCACTCGCTCAGCTTCGTCACCAAGCTGCAGGTCACTATATAAATATCATATTCTTGGTATATTTTTAAGACATGAAGTATTAAGAGTTTTTTTTTAATATTATTTGTGTGTTTGTTTTATGATATATACATATTATGTAAGTACCCGAGTATTAAATATGACAAATACAAAAACACTTGCTAGTAGTATGAATGAAGTACATCGTACTGCGTATGATAGTCATCATATATTATTTATTACAATGGGTAATATGCGTGATTTTTTTTTTACTTTTTATACATTAGCTTACACCGTTATATAATTGGAAATGAATAGCCAGCTCCAAAATAAATAATTTTAGCGTATTTTTTTTTAAATATACAAACGCGTTGCGTTACAATTACTTTAAATTCCCCAACTATTCTTGCACTTCTCAATAATTATTTCCTTAATCAAAAAGATATTCCATTAAAACTATTGATATAGGTTTAATTCAAAAGCAATAAATTTAAAAAAAAAAATAATTTCATCTTTATTTAAGTCACACTTCTAATCCCTATTGCTCACTGCTTAATATGGTTACGGCTATGTATAGGTAACGGAGGCCAACATCCCAGCGGCGGCGTCGGTGGCGCTCCCCGCCGTGTCGTGCCGCGCGCGCGTGCTCGACTGCGAGCCCTCCCGCGCGCCCGACGCGGCCCGCGACCACGGCGACCACGACCACCGCGACCACGACCACCGCCGCGACCACGACCACGACTCTGACCCCGACGCTGCCAGGGGTGAGTTGTTTTGTGTGCAAGTATATACGAAATATATGAATATAAAGTAGAAGTCATAATAGTTTTAGCTTAGAACAAAAAACATATATATTTCATTAGCATTCGTTAATTACAAGTATAAACATACTCGCGTAATTATATATTTAAGTTTGTATGTGTGTCCAATACAGCGGAGCCGGAGGGCGTGGTGCTGCGCGCGGGGCGCTACCTGTCCGCCACGGCCGACATCGGCCTGTTCGAGCACACGCTGTCCACCGACCTGCTCAACCATCTCGTCTTCGTGCAGAAAGTATTCATGAAGGTCACTACAAAACTGCCATTGTATACATTATATCGATATTGATTTAGCTTAAAATATTATCCTCAATACATTTGTTTTTTGGAAATAAAGAAGAAGTTATTTTTTCGACCTCTTCAAATTCATTTACACAAAACCTTTATGAATTATATTGTACGCCTAAATCTTCCTCTTGAGTCACTCCGTCCATTGGTGAAAACCGAATGGATATCATTTTTTAAATATTTTTGAGTCTATCGCATTCGGACAGACAAACAGACATAGGATAACATTTTTTTTAAATGTAGAAAAGTTTTGTTTCATCAAGTAAATGATAAAGTTTTACATATACTTTTTTTATTTTTAGGAGGTTAATGAGGTAGTACAAAAAGTGTATGGCGGTGAAAAACCAGTGCCGCTGTGGAACGAAGAAGAGCTGTCGTCGTCGGCATTTAATAGAATACTTTTCTCTCTACTTATAAGAATCAAAGTAAGTTTATATGTTGAAATATTCAGCTGTTACAAGTACGTAAATGGCATTGCAGATTTTAAGATTATATACGAGCACTCTGTTTTATTGCCCCTCGTACTGAAGGGAGGCCCGTGCCCAGCAGTGGGACGATAAAAAGGGCTGAATACAATACAATACATACTCTGTTTTATATAGATTGTGCGAATATTTTGCTTATAATATAATTGAATAACTTATTCCATCTAAATGTTCTTTTTATTTACAATAAAAATCCTTTATTTAATTATGATGTTTCGATGATAATTTATTAGTAACCAGTTAAGTAGTAGGTATGTCGTTGCTATACTCGTGTGTGGTCGCACGCAGCGCATCCAGCTGACGGCGACGACGCCCAGCAACTCGGCGGTGCGGCTGGAGACGGGCGCCGTGGAGCTGGAGCTGAGCAACCGCGTGCAGAACGTGCCGCAGCCCGCGGGCCCGCACGGCCTGCGCCTGTTCGCGCGCGCGCAGGTGGACCTCAACCTCAGCCTGGGCCAGCTGCTGCGCAACGCCATGTTCGAGGAGGCCGAGCCCGAGTTCCAGCAGTACGCCTTCTTCAACACGCGCATATGTGAGTCACCATCGCTCACTCGTCAACAAGAACGAACACATTTATAATATTAGTGTGACAATATAATGTTATAAATGTGTCCATGTATTTGATGGATGATTTGATATTACTATATGAAGTCAGCCTAACTTTTATGTAATTGTGAATCTTTATGCCATAATAGCCTATGTCATCAATTCTCCACCTAATTTTTATGCCAGTGAATAAACTGTTATCTATGCATAGTTTTCCTACAATTTAATTTTTCACAAAAAAATTTTTATCTAAATCATAATTAAATCAAAATATATACAGATAAAATTTATTATTACACATTTTCCCATAAATATAATTGAACCTTTTCCTAAACAAAATTTAAATATTTTAAATTTCTCCAGCTATGCGCAACGCATTCCAAGACGAAATCGTATGCGAGGAGGACAAGGAGGTGGTGCTGATCACGTTGAAGCGGCCGCTCATATACATACAGCCCGTGGCCGTCGACAAGGCGATACTCGTGTGGCTCAACTACAAGAACGCGTACGAATACTGGAACGAGAAGAGGATGAGTCTGAACAAGGAGGTGCTAACTGCTACACAACAGGTCTTTGAAAAGGTACGTGTTCGTTGTTTAGAAGCATTGATATACAAAAACTTGAGTTATACAATTAACATCCCAAAAGTATCCTCAAAAAAATACGCACAATTCGAAATTTAAAAAAAAAAGTTTATGTGGTGTGTGTAAGTTAGAATTTGTGTTTAGACAATTAGAAGTTTCGATTTTTGAATTTTATTGTTTGATTTGATTTAACGTTTTACGTCGACGCCACTTTTTGAAGAAATATTTGTCAGGAAATTTATTATGTACTTAATTACTACTTACTTACTTACTACTACTGTATTTATTATGTATGTTATTTAAATTTACTTAGTATTATGTTTTTATGTGTCAATATTTAAAAGATTTGGATTTTATATCGTACGTAATTAAATATATCTTACACAAGCGCCTCACCCTCGCTTCGCTCGGGTTCGTCCCTAGGTTGTTTTCCCATACAAACTTTCATCCCCATTTTCACCCCCTTAAGGGATGATTTCCGGGATAACAACTATCCTGTGTCCTTCCCAGGGTCTCAAACTATCTTCATATCAAATTTCATCTGTATCGGTTCAGTAGATTCGGGGCCCATCCGAAACAAAAAACAATTTTTTCCTCTTTATAATATTAGAATAGATTATAAGAAATTTTAAAAAAATCTACTTTATCCCTACCAAATAATCACAATTAAAAAAAATGCTATTTGAAAATTTAAGTTCAAATTACTTTTGTAATTTCCGGTATAAATAATGTAATTATAAATGTAGTATATGCATTAAATTCGCCTTTTTAGGTACAATTGACGTCGAACATAACGACTCCACACCTGAGCACTCTATTCTTACAATTGAACGTAGACGATATTGGCATCTGTTTGCCACTAAATCAACCACCTTTGGTAAGTTTATCGTTTACTATTATACGTTAATTTTATAATAATATTTTATTTTTATTTTAATATGAAATAAATATTAAAAAAAAAACTAAACTATTATGTGTTTCCTGGATATGTTTTAAAATTACGTAATTACAATTCATACTGGGACTGCGACTGACTTAATTTTTAAATTAATGATAGTATGAATAATTAAAATGTAATAATTTTTAAATTGAAATTATTATTATTCTGGTTTTAATATCCATTGGCACTTAATTACATATGTATTTATATTTTTTATATATTTATATTTTTTATGTAGTTTATTTGTTAATCAAAACCCATGACGCTGCCCGTCTCCAGTCTGTCTGACTGCATCAACACGTCACATGCCACATGTGGCATGTCGGTGACGCGAACCCATACGCTTTGATCCTACCAAAAATCGCTCAACGCTACAAAAGAAGTTTCCACTTCAAAAAGTAGACGTCGTCGGTAGAGTGAATGTTAAAGCTGTAACACTGTTCGCCCGGGCAGACGTCGTGGACGCTGGCGCGTGGCGGGCTGGAGGCGGAGTCGCGCGGCGCCGTGGTGGTGACGCTGGAGAGCACCAGCATCTCGGCGTGCAGCTCGGGCGCGCTGGTCAGCAAGGGCCGCTTCGTGGGGCTGTGCCTGCGCTTCGCGGACGACTTCGAGGCCTCGCTGGACGACTGGAAGCCGCCCGCGCGCGCCGCCGTCAACGTCTGCTGCGTCTCCGAGGGCACCTACGAGGTGTGCAGCCGCACCACCGCCGCCAAGCATCGCGGTAATATATATACTATTGAACATTTCTTTGTTTGTTCTTTCATAAGACTGTTGAAGCCTCTGACTCCCAAACTTGATTAAACCAGTATGTCAGAGTCATATCATCTCATAATAATGATGCTCGCAGCCCGAAGGAGGGCAATGGAGCCCTATTACTAAGTCTCCGCTGTCCGTTCGTCAGCTGTCAGCGGGCTATCTCTGGGAATAGGCGGAGAGTTGAAATTTTCACAGAGTGTGTATTTCTATTGTCGCCTTATAAATAAATAATAAAAAATCATGATAGCGAATTTCAAAATGGACGCCATGCAAATTAAAAAAAAAATCGTTAGGTATATAGTGTTATATACATTGTACGATGGTGCGGAATCCTTCGTGTCCGAGTCGCGTACTTGATTTCAGTTTTATTATAAAAACATAATATTATGTCTTATTACTTCAAAATTTTAGTATTCTCACTAATATTACAAACACAAAAATTTGCTTATTGCAACGTATGGCAAAAAATTTGAATAAAGATCATAGAGTAACACTTAATAAAATATTAATGTAAGGCAAAAAGTTATTATTGACATATTGCAATTAAACAAGGAAAAGGCGGCTATTATGTTAGCAAATAAATATAATTTGTTTGACAGAAAATGCAAAATGGTTCCTCAACGTATCCTGGCAAATGGAAGGCGTGGACATTCACTTGGACGTGAACGTCGGCAAGCAGCTGTCCGCTCTGGGGCACACGTTGACCATGCTTACAGGTATATATAACACTAGCGGACCCGACAGACGTTGTCCTGTCTACACGTCTTTAATTTGAAAATTTCAAACTTTTTTTAATAATTTTTTTGATGAAAATTATTATTCAAATTGTGAATCTAAACCATTCCCAGATCCCCTTGAACACACACAAAAAATTTCATCAAAATCGGTCCAGTCGTTTGAGAGAAGTTCAGTGACATACACACTCACAGAAGAATTTATATATATAAAGATTACCGATTATATTACGAGAATGTTATAGAACGTCAATTATTATTATCAGTCCATCAGTTCCTCTTTTTCTTCTTTTTGTTTATTTTTTTATGTTGTGATGGCTATCAAACCAACGTTTTTTTTTTAATTTGTACAGTTTAAGAACGTATATATTTTACATTATAATGTTATTTATATAAGTGAATGCTTTACATTACTTTAGGCATACCACCACTTTTATGTAGTAATAGTAACATTCAAACACTATTTTTTTGAGTATTGTTTTACTATCAATGATGTAAGGCGACGTAAAAATTTATGGATGATGTATATTGTATTAAAAGCAATTTAAATTTTATTTTAATTTTCGCTATTTTCTTCTAGGATTTGAAGAAGAAGATCCCCTTAAAATGGACTGTGAAAGCGATTTAGATGACGAAGCCGATAATAGCAGGGATTCACAGGTATTATCAATATTTATTATACTTATTCAAAATTAAATAAAAATATGGAGGTATATACAAATCTTTTTTTTAGATTTTTTCGGATTCTGTCACGGTCTTGAGTTTTTATTTAGTTTTTGCTTTCTCTCTCGTGATCATTTTGCTGTAAAACATTCGAAATGTCGGGTATAAAACCTCAAAATAAAGTCGAAAAGTTAGTTTGATATCTCACCGTCGTGTCGTATTCGGCGCAGGAGAGCATAGTGTTCCGGCGCAAGTACACGGACCACCTGCCGCCGTTCGTGTTCGACAGCAGCATCGACGCCAAGCAGCGCTCCAAGCTCATCGAGAAGGAGATGACGGAGCAGGCCAAGATCATCAACGACCTGCGCGCGCTCGGCGCCAGCCACAGCACCGTGGAGTACGAGCTGCGCCGCCTGCACGACCTCGAGGCGCTCGTCTTCAAGGACTTCCGCAGGTCACTACACTGTTCCACAGCGGGAATTAACGATAAACTAAGAATACATATTCTATTTATAATATTGTGTATGTATATGTTTGTGTTTTATGTTTGTTGGTTTTGTTAAATTCGTGAGCGTTATTTGTTTTTTTTTTTACAATTTTTTGTTAGTAATTATAACCACTTTAAACGAATTCAATCTACGTATAAATTTTAGTTTTTAAGTACTACAATACTTTATATTTATATTTTTAAGTCAGACAATTTTCCCAATCGACCTAAGTGGAGGTTCCATACTCCAGATTATTATGTATTATTATATTATACTAAAGACTCACCGTCGCTCCGCTCGGGTTCGTCTTTAATTACGTTTTAAAGTTTAGTATAAATTTCTCAGAGATGAGATATTTTACTATAGTAAAAAGTATCCTGTATGTTGACCTGGATAACCAGCTATCATCATACCAAATTTCATCAAAATCTGTCCAGTGGTTTTCTTGTGATGCGATCACAGACAGACGACAGACAGACAAAAATTATAAAAACTATAGGTTTGGTCTCTGTATCGATTATAATGATTATTTAAATAAGATTTTCCAAAAAAAAAAATAATATTTAATGTACAGATTCGATTCAATTAGAATTTTATTATATGAATAGATAACAAACACAATGATTGATTTTTTGTGATACAGAGACATGATCCAGAAGCTGCGCCGGCAGAGCGTGCGCGCCAGCTCCATCACAAAGGGCAAGCTGGGGCTCGGCTCCAACCGCTCGCACTCCTTCGTGTCGCCGCCCGCGCACCAGGACCTGGACCAGTCTGTGTCTCATTACTATACTCTTCTATTTTTTATCTGTGACATTATTTTTAATACCTTTTAATAAGAATCATTGTCATCATTGTATGTATATATATCTATTCTTTAGATTTGCATTTTATTTTTAAAAGAAAAGAAAACAAAACAATGAAGTCATCGTTTACCTGTGTACATACTAAATTTCATTAAATAGCTCGCTTGAAAAACCGAGTAAGTTGGGTTCAAATGCCGGACGTTCCACGGTGCACCTCTAATATTTTCAAGTGCCGATCATTTCCAACATGATTACCTATATTACTATATTTGTCTTACGGTGAAGGAAGACATCGTAAAGAAACCTGCATGTTTAAAAGAACCTAGGAAGTTTTCGAAAGACATGTGAAGTCCACTAATCTGCACTTGGCTAGCGTAGTGGACTATGGCCTAATGACCCTCCCTCGTATTGAAGAGTGGCCCGTGCTCAGCTGTGGGATGTTGAGTAACAAAACCCACATACAAACATTTGCACGTATATAGTGTACTAGCGACTCGCACTCGCTACGCTCGGATTCGTCCTTAGCTTGATTCCGCTTTCAAATTTTTATCCCCATTTTCGCCCCCTTAAGGGATGATTTCTGGGATAAAAAGTCTTCTTCTAAAATTTCAACTAAATCGGTTCAGTAGGTCCAGGGATTACCCCCTACAAACTCACAAACTTTACCTCTTTATAATATTAGTATAGATTAGTTGTGTATCCGTGTGCAGGTACAGCGCGTACAGCGGGTACAGCGCGGGCTCGCCGCCGGGGTCGCTGGCGGGCGCGCGCGAGGCGGGCGCGTCGGGCGAGGCGCTGCTGCTGGCCGACGACGACGCGCGCCTCGCCGACATCATCGAGGGCGCCTCCTGGAGCTCCGCCGACAGCGACCCGCTCACCGGTCAGCCCGTCTCACTTTACATTTTGTTATGGAACGAAGTTTCGTATTGTATGTTATACTCGGCACACTTGGCAATTGGGAGCTAAACGGGAAAATGTAATATTTCGGCCGTCACGACACTTTTATTATTTACTAAGTGTACTCTGTGTGACGTCATTACAAGTACCGGGCGAGCATAAGTTTTAAGGAGTTTTGTGATCCGCTAGTACTCATGACAAACGTACCAAGGCTTTATTATTATAGTTTCCAGTTATTATTTAATTTAACATTTGTTTGTAGAATTTAATACATATTATCAACATTATGCCAATATATGTTGTAATTTTTTTTTCAAATCCTTTTTGGTGTTAATACTATTTTGTTATATTTTCGTATGTCGGTATTCTTGTTTATATATATTTTTTCATGTCATAATTTATTTCTTCAATAACATAAATCATAACTATTTTTCTTCAAAAGTAATCCACTTGTTCATATAGTAAATATTAATATCATAAATCAATAGTTTATTTTTTGTTTTAAATGACTACCATCGGCATGTTTATACTGAGCGACGTTTAACAAATATGATGTGTGCACAGTGACGGGGTGCGGCGGCGGTGCGGGCGCGGGCGCGGGCCCGTCGCGGTCGGCGTCGCTGCGCGGCGCGCGCGAGGCGGGCGAGGCGCGCGCGCGCGTCAGCTTCCAGGGCGGCGTGCAGCGCCAGAGCTCGCTGCCCGCGCCCTGGCCGCCCACGCTGCGCGCCGACCGCGACGACCGGGACCACGGGTACGCACGTAGCCCTGGACTGACGACATTAGAACAAATATTAGACACAAGATATCACATTTTATTGAAAAAAATTACGTCTCGTCAGAGAAAAACTATTTGTTTCTAAATTTAACCAATACATCTACGATCGTATTTTACACACATACGAAATAATTTTATATTTATTATTAATTTCTAAACGTTACCATTACATCTGAATTGATCAATTATTATGCAACTAATCATGAAATTATATGTGTCGCACTTCATTATTTACAAACTTTTTACTTACTTCATACTTAAATAAATACGAATAACAAAATACTTCCTTCTTTTTCAAGTCGGTCAATAATTATAACAATACAAACCCTTCCTGCCAACAGGTCGCCGCCCGAGCCGCCCGCGCCCAGCCCGCCGGAGAGCAAGCAGAGCAAGGCGAAGACTGCGGAGCCCAACATCGACTTCGAGCTGGACGTCAAAGTGCACATCAACAGCGGCAAGTGCGTGCTGCACACCAAGGACCCCGGCAGCCAGGAGGATATGAAGATGTGAGTGGTTTTTTTATTTGTTCTAATTCTTTCTATGGGAAGTTTTGAATGTAGGAAGATTGAGAATAATATATATTTTGTACATTTTTAAAAATATTTGTGACCACATAATATGTGCTTTTGTTTGGTATTTTTATATTGACCCCTAAATCATTTACATCCTTCATTATATTTGAGATATATCGTTTTACAATGTGTATGTAATTTTTTCTTTAATCGTACAAACACCTAAAAACAAGAATTAAACATACTCTGTCTATGTTATTGATCTTAATTTAAGAAATTTGAAAATGGCAAGAAACGGAATTGTTAGCTTTTGTTAAATCTGAATAAAAATGGTCAAATAATAAAAAAATATTTAATATACTAGCGACGCATTCTCGTTTCGCTCGGGTTCGTCCCTAGTTTGATTCCCCACGCAAACTTTCATCCCCATTTTCACCCTTTCTTACCAAATTTCATCTAAATCGGTTCAGTAGATCCAGAGAATACTCCCTACAACATCACAATCTCACAAACTCACAAATTCACAAACTCACAAATTCACAAGCTTACTTCTTTAAAATATTAGTATTTTGAAAATAGCTAAAAACGGAATTGTTAGCCTTTGTCAAATCTGAGTAGGCATGGTGAATAATAAATATAAATATGTAACATATTATGTTGTGTGGTGCAGGGGTGGGGGCGGGGGCCTGGGCGGGCGCGGCGAGGGCCGGCCGCGCGTGGGGCGCTCGGCGTCGGGCGGGCTGGACGCGCGGCGCGCGCGCCTGCCGCCGCCGCCCGACCTCACCGTGTTCCAGGTGCCCGGCCTGCAGCTCAAGGTACGGCTTAGCACGTCTTTTACACTTCTGACTGACTGACTGACTTTTATTGCACTTCATATTCATCTTTATCTGGGCGACAAGCTTTGCTCTGCTTTTATTTGCAAAAGATAAAAATTCTTTATTTGTTTTTAGAAAAAAAAACACCTCTATCAATAAATTTAAAAAGCAAAACATCTAAATACGAAACTTGATCCTAATCGTTAGTTTCCGAGATACAAGAAACAAATTTATGCATAACTATGTATACAAGAATTGCTCATTTGACATTTAAATAATATCTTAATGTTAAATTAAATTGTTTTGAATAAAATACCTTACTTATATTGGAGGCCGGTACAAATAGTGTTATACCGCTACAAACGTCAACGGCGCAGTATCAGGGCGCGAGTAACCGAGTTTCGCCGTCTGACAACCTAAATCACGCTACACGGTGTGAATCGACGTGAACAGTTTAGAATTATACAATATTTTGATAAAAACTTTTGAAACAGGTGCGCTACGAATCCAAGACTTTGCCAGAAGAATCGGTTTCCCCACAAACAATCCTAAACATACCACTTAATCCCGCACGTAAAGTGGGGACCAAGAAAGCGGCTCTCTTCGCCTGGATCACGCTGCAGAGTATACCTGAGGAGACCATCATCAGCCCACACATCCTGGAGTTTCTTGAACAGACATTGGAGCCTATACCCACGAAAATCTCCTTCTCAGCGCCTACCCCTGGTATGTTTAAAGTTGAATTTTCATTTTTGTATGAATCATAGATGTTTTAAGAATACAGAAAGTGTTTAAAGCCACTGTAAGGCTTCAAATGTATATTTCACAGTATAAAAAAATCTATTTTTTTTTAAGAATTTGTCTTAGATTTTATCAATTACAGTTAGTATAAAATGTTTTATTGATTTTATCATAAAAAATATTTTGCTTAGCTCAGCTCGTCGTTTTACTCCTCACCCTCTTCATATCACTGTAATAAAAATATATGAACATCGTTTTCCTACTAATAATATGTTCATGTATGTATATACGAATAACTTTCGCATTTATTTATATTATTTTATATTATTTTATCAATAACAGATTCGGAGACGGGGTCTCGCAGCCGCAGCAGCACGGGCGAGGGCGCGGCGGGCGCTGCGGGCGGCGCGGCGGGGGCGGGGGCGGGCGGCGCGGCGGGGGCGGGCGGCGCGGAGGGCGGCGACGCGTCGTACGGGCAGTACGTGTACGCGTCGTTCCCGGTGGACGTGATCGTGCACTTCCACACGCGGCCGTCCGCCTTCCGCTTCAGCTGCCTGCCGGCGTCGCGCGTGGAGTGCCTGCTGCAGCTGCCCAGCCTGCAGATCGTCTTTAGCTCCAAGCGCGCTACTGATGAGTTAGTACCACACTATTGTATGCTGGGGATAGGAGGTTCTTAATTCGTCGGAATCTTTTTTTTTAAATAGTAGTAGATTATGCAAATTTGTTTTATGGGATATTTTAAATGTAAAGAACATGAACCCTAGACGATGACATTATAACAATCCGCTGTCCGTCCAAATAAAAAAAAACCATGTAAATCGATAAATATTTTCAATACTTAAAACAGTTTATTTAAAAACTCAAAAAAATCGTAATTTTATGACTCATAATCATGAGAGACTACAAAAACATATAAAGTACTCGTAGTAGTAGTAGTATATACCACTGTTATTAGCTTTAAATGTTTTTTTTTGTATATACAGAGAAATGGCAGAACCAGCAATTGCCATGGGCGGACTCAGCGTGACGGGGTGCTTGGCGGACTTCTCCGTGTACATCTTCCACCCCTACGGCGGCAAGAAATCCAGCCTGAAGGAGGCGCAGTGGTCGCCGCTCGCAGACACCGAGAGGAAAGACTCATTGTCCATCAACGTGGAATTTGTCAAGTTCCACCTCTCGAGGTTCAGGAAGTTGGACTTCCAAAGTGATCAAGATCAGTCTAAGGCCACCGTTCGATTTTCTAGTAAGTTTAGTCTTTGTCGAGCTGGAAGAGCTGGACAATATATATTATAATATTATATAACTTCTCTTAATTATGAATTAGATGTTTGTTATTGAGGGAATTGAATTTAATTGCTTCGGTGGTCTTGTTGCTAGCATGTATGGCTAGTGGCTACAGATCCTAAAGTACAGGGTTCGAGTCCCGGTTCGGACCAAGTATAGACATGATCGAATTATAGTTCCTTCGGAATTTGATAGTGAAATAAAAGGATAGAAAATGCACTTGTGTTTTGTTAATATTTATACACTATAAATTATGATACGCTTAGTGAGATTGTTATCGTGGCGAAAATTGGTCATGACGACATTATTATTGTTAATGATTGAATGGTGATGGAGAACGATAAGGAGTCAAGTTTAAGTTAAAAATATATAATATTTTACAAATTTTAAATATAGATATAGGTTTGATGAAATTAAAAAAATCATACCTATATAAATATAGGTTTTTTTATAAATCTTAAATATAGATATAGGTTTGATGAAATTAAAAAAATCATAATAATATAGATATAGGTTTTCGAACTGGAATAATGTTCTGCATGCCAAGTATATATATATGAGAGTGTATGTCGCCCGCAGCGATCGTGGACGTGGGGTCGGCGTGGTTCAAGTACGACATGCGGCGCCTCAGCGAGATCCTGGCGTTCCCGCGCGCCTGGTACCGCCGCAGCATCGTGCGCCGCCTGTTCCTGGGCGACGTCAGCCTGCACCCCCACAACCACCCCCATCCCCACCCCCATCAATCGCAGCGCGACTCGGGATCGCACTTGTGAGTTCTGTTGCTTGTAGATTAAAAATTTTTTAATATTAAAAAATAATTCAACATTTTCTTTAATTTATCTATCTTTTTGGACTTTTTCGCTAATTTATTTTATTTTTGGTTCCCGATGGAGAGGCTAAGGTTTTAAACGTCTCAAAGGTATAGGTACTACAGACGATGCCTACCCACAAAATTATACATTAGTTTTATAGAAAAGAGAAATGGCAATATTTTGAATTATAATTTGAGTGGTAATATTTAAATTTTTGACATAATATACTGTTTTTTTTAAGCTCATCGGGCAACAACGTGCCAGTGTCGCCGGTGCTGCCACAACGAGAGAAAACTAAGACTGCTGAACAACAGAAACCTAAAGGTATACAAAATAAATTTATTGAATAACAAATATAATACATTCATTGAAAGCAAAATATTTAGAAAAAATATACTATATAATATAGCGAAAATTTATAAATAACTGAATTGATGAATGTGTGTGTTTGTTGCTTCCTTACACTGTAAACAGCTTAATGAATTTAAAGTAAAATTGGGAATATGGAATGCTCATGTCCTATACAATGTACATATTGGCTACTTTTGATGTATAAGTAAAATATTAGTGTTGTTACCAGAGAGCAAGGCGGGCGGCGCGGCGTGGGAGACGCTCGTGCTGTTCGCCGTCAACTTCGAGCGCCTCAACATGCACATGAACATGGGCAACGTCATGGGCAATGTCAGGTATGTTTGCTATGCAGTTATTTATTTAACACTAATTTGTTTTTTTTAAATGATTTTAAAATTTTTCGAATTATTTTTTTGGATTTCTTTCATTTTAGTATAAATTAAGTTCTCTACGCTCTCTAAACTTAAATATGTTTACTATCGACATAATTTATTTCTCGTTATTTTTATCTAAAACATTTTTTTTTAATTCAGTCAAAAACGTAAGAGAAATGATTATTTTAAAATATAATTTTATTCTGGTGTATTGCGTGTGTAGTATGTATGTGTATGTGTCGCAGCTGGCAGTCGCGGTCGCTGGGCGCGTGGGGGCGGCTGAGCATCGGCAGCGCGCGGCGGCGGCAGGTGGCGGGGCGCGTGGCGCTGGGCGGCGCGGCGCTGGAGGCGCGCGGCGGCATCGTGGGCGGCGCCATCGCGCTGGGCGGCGCGCGCCTGCACGCGCTGCTGCAGCAGGACCCGCCCGCCCACGTGGCGGCCGCGCGCCTCGCCGCGCTCGAGCTGCGCCTGGACTACATGGGCGCGCCCGCGCTGCTCGCGCGCCTCAGCCGCCCCAACGCCGTGCTGCGCGACCGCTGGCACCACCCGCCCAAACCCACGTCCGCATCCACTTCCAAGTTAGTTTCTACATGGTCTTACATTACTATGCGATGTAATTCTTTGAAGTTATACTTCTTTTAGCGCGTTATGAAAAATAAATAAATGATAAGAGTGATTTTTTTACGATGTGACAGATTTAGACTACAGTGTGAAGTTAGTCGTTAAACCTCCTTTCAAGTATAGTGTGATGTCTATATTCTAGATATTATTATTGATGAGCGAAACACAATAAGAAAAGTGACGTCATTGTAAATCCAAGATGGCGGACTCCCAAAGATTGTGGACTGCTTTTTTATGCACCTCCATGATATTGATATCAAATGAAAGAGTTTGCCGAGAAAAAATTATTTAAATATATATTTTATAAACAAACTTCGGTAACCTAAATGCGACACTCCTTAGCCGGCCGGCCACCATCCTGGCGCACGGCACGCTGAGCTGGCAGCAGCTGCAGATCCTGATGTCGCGCAGCACCACGCCCGACCTGCTCAAGATGCAGCTCAAGCTCGAGGAGTTCTTCTCGCACCAGTTCAAGTCCGGCAAGCGCGTGTTCTCCTCGCTGCACTCGCACCACAACGGGCAGGGATACTCCCACCGGGCGAAAGATAAGAAAGACCGTGAGTTTGCGTCGTTTTTGTATAACTTCTTATTGAGTTATATACGAAAAATTTGTCAGTGTAAAATTATGAAAAAAAATGTTTATTCAACATCTAACAATGTACCAAATTGGAAAGAAAATACCTCATTCCCGTAAAGATCTGACGATATACGTTAAGCATTTTTCTCTTTTTTTTTTTAAGAAAAAATTGAATATTACTTATTTAATTCCACAAATTCATTCATAAATGTTGCCTAGTTATATTAAAGACAAATACGGGGCTTATAATTATTTATTAATAAAAAAAATTGAGTTGAGTTCAACATCAGTTTATATGCAATTATTGTACCGAACAAACTTTAAGTTTTTTCAATTCATATTCATCTTATTCTTTAAGAATTCAAAATTTCCCAAATACACTCAACTTGAACACCTTCTCCTTTTTTGAAATTCAAGAAATTTCTATTCATTGACACCTATTTACAGTAAATTAATTTTTTAAACACGCTTTTTTGTCCCCAGAAGCGTCCGCGTCCGCGCCGAGCGAGGCGCCGGCGCCGGAGCTGCGCCACCACCGGCACTGGCAGCGCGTGCTGCGCCTCGTGGCCGCCGCGCCGCCGCTCTCCCGGCAGCCGCACGGTCGGTACACACGCCTTGTTGTAGTACATCTACATGACAGTTTGTCTGTGTGTGATTTGACTAATTTTCAAAGTATTCAGCCGACTGCTGGGCAAGGGCTTCCCTTCAATACGAGGGAAACAAGCTATAATCCACCATGCTGGACAAATGCGGGTTGTAAGATATACGCGTCTTTCAAAAAATTGCTAGGTTCTCTCAAACATGCAGGAAATATAAAAAGGTACTGGACCCGGGATTTGAACCCGTTTCACTCGGTTTCCCAAGTGAGCGTATTAGCACTGGACTACCACTGTCTGTATCATTATCATCAACTCCCTGCCCATTTCCCGATCACTTGGGGTCGGCGCAGTAATCTTCCGTACTGCTGATAGGATCTGGCAAAGGTTTTACGACCGGCCGCCTGACATCAACCCTACTTGGGAGTACTGTCTGTATAATGGTTTTAATATTTAAACATTGGCAAAATTACAGCTTTTAAAGAATTGTTTTAGAAATAAATAAATAATTTTTATATTGTAAATTTCTTATGCAGGCGGCACAGTCCTAGGAGGTACTCTGGAGCTGCAAGGCTCCAACATCTCGCTGGCGTGCTTCCACGGCAACAGTCTGAAGGCGAAGTCCTGGGCGCTGTTCAGCCTCAAGGATCCCTGCATCAGCTTTGCTACTGAGGCACAGCAGATTGAAAATGAAGAAGGTTCGATTTTGTTTTATATTTTTTAATGTAATAACAATATTGGAGTTACGACTTCGTGTATGTGTCTCATATACAGTATGTAATAAACCTTAGTCTTGGCCTTTATTTTGACTGCTTTAGACCAACCAAAAATTGACCAAGACACAAAAAAAAACATTTCATATATTTTTGGACGATCTAAACAATGCAGTTTAGGCAATTTACTGAATAATATTCTAAAATATATAGTTCGATCGTTGACGGAATACGCTGTCGGTCGCTGATGGTGACGAATTTTTACTCTAAATAAATGGAGAAAGTGGAAGTAGAGTGAGTGGTAGATGATTTATGAAGTGTTATTGTTCGACTGTCTCGGTGGTTTAGTGATTAGCATATGCTGCTGCAGATCAAGAGGTTCGAGTCCCGGATCTTGCCAACTTTAATTGGTGAGTTTTTCTGTTAAGAAATTATCAGTAACAGCCCGAAATTGGGAAGTTGGTGGTGTTTCACCGCCGTGCTTCAGAGAGCACGTAAGGCCGTCGGTCTTGCGCCTGATCTCTCAACGGTCCTGTAATTATCGTCCCACTGAAGTATGAGAGTGACACAATAGAGAACATTGTGTCTGAGTCTAGTCTTATTGACTGGCCGTCGTGGCTGAAATCTGTCGGTCGGACATAATGGCGTGTCGTGAAGTCGGTTAGGACATAATGATTAACGACGTGTCGTGTGTCGGTCGGCGTGCAGACAACCCCGAGGTGCACGCGGTGCAGACGCTGACGGCGAGCCTGGGCGGCGCGGCGGGGGCGGGGGCGGGCGCGGGGGCGGGCGCGGGGGCGGGCGGCGCCGCGCACCAGTCGCTGGCCACGGTGTGTCGCATGACGCGCACCGTGCTCTTCCCGCCGCAGTTCAAGACGCTGCACGAGTGGTTCCAGTACGCCTTCGCCGACAGCGAGATAGATGGTCAGTTATTCAATATTATGTTGCTTTTATGATGACGCTAAAGTGGAGTTAATGTTTCGTATGTCAGATATCAGTTTTTACATTAAACTAGTGACCATAAATACACTTAGCACTTATAATTTTATTTGTCATATCGGTAGATTTTTTCGCCATATGTTATATGTATAAATTATAAGCTATTCCTAAATAACCTCTCTTTGTAAGGGTGAGAATCTTACTAAAACCCGTTCAACAGTTTCTGAGATTAATCCGAACAAACATAAACTCTACCCGGCGAGAAACTTTAGGAACATATTTATAAAAAACTTTTTTTTCTTTAATAGAAAAGTAAGTAACTTAATCGTAAAGAACAAACATTGCTAAGTATTATTCGCGTATTTGATTTATAACATAACGTGTGACCACTAATTTCCCTCACAGCCATCGACCAGTTCCCGTCCCTGGAGCGCGAGAACACGGGCACCACGGGCAGCACGGGCAGCGCGGGGGCGGGCGGCGCGGCGGGCGGCGCGGGGGCGGGCGGCGCCGGCAAGGCGGGCGGCGGGCACGCGCGCGAGGTCATCTTCGCGCTGCCCGCCCTGCAGCTGCACCTGCGCACCAGCCACCACCAGCGGAAACATCCGCCTACTGAGAATGGTATGATAGGACTTTTACTATACAATAAATCGACCTGATATCAACACAATGAGATAGTGGCGACAGTAAATTGAACCAGACGACAATTAAAATTCTTTTCCACAGACATTTCTGTCACATCATGTGTTCGTGAACAATACAAACCAAATAATATTTAAACCACGTTAATATTTAAACCAAACCAAGTTAATATTTAAATTAAACATTTTATTTTATACTAGATGGCGTTAAGTTTCCTGAATAGCGCTATGGTTTGGTTCTCTCTTAAAGTATTTTAGAGATTATATTTGAAATACAACTTTGATTGCAACTACTTTTATTTGAACCAACACTTCCCGTATAACGCTCAATGTATAAGTCATGATAAAATAATAGAGAAAATTAATGCTGCTTCGAAAAATATATTAATTAAGCCTCTGTTAAAGACCCTGCCCTTCTTGTCGAAGTTAAATAAAAGCCTATCTTACCAGCAGTACGATAGTTTTGGTAGTTTTATTTCTTATCAGAAAATAGTTTAGTGCAAGGCTACCAGCTAAACTGATTCAACATTAGGATTTTTTTTTGTTAAAAAATTTATGTAGTACATTAAATCGCGTAGTATACATAAAAATAACAGAAAAACATTGAATTAGGTACCTTTTAGTTTTCGGATTTCAAAGAAGTTTAAAATATATTTTGGATTTACAGATGAGAAACCGATAGTGGAGTGCAGCTTTATAACAGAGTTCGAGGACCACATCTTCGTGTCGGTGGACGCTGAGGCGTTCCTGTTCCTGCACGATCTGATCTCCTCCTATATCAAGGAAAAAGAACGATTTGTAAGCACTATATTATACATTATTATTTTTTATTTATATTAATAACATATTTTTGAGCAATATGTTATGTTATAATAGGCAACTGACATACATATTTGTGTCTTCTGTTTTGCTCTACGCTTTACACGCGTGGAGTTGAGGGAGTCAGAAGATATAGGATGTAGGAGGATAGACGCGCTCGAGATGTAGAAATGCTGAGGAACCCAGAACACCATCTTTTCGGATTTTTCGCGGATTTATTTTGATGTTTGGTTCCCGACGTTTCGAATGCTTTACAGCAACCATGGTCACAAAAGAGACTAAGGTTTAAGACGTCTCTATAATGACCTTTGAAAGAAAGATAGTTTTATTTAAAATGTTAAATATTTGCGTCTATCTAAGAAAGTTAAGAAATGAATATGCCCTACTAAATGTAGTACGTGTGCGTTTGTCCAAGCAGATGCCGGGGCGCGCGAGCGCGGGCGCGGCGAGCGAGCCGCCGGCGCCGCCGCCGCAGGACTACCGCGACTACCGCTGCCTCACCTGGCACCTCGAGCCCACCGTCAGGTCGCCGTCTTTGTCATATATTCAAATATTATATAATGGCATTTTGCCATTTTTATTTATTTTTAAAATTTTCGGCGCATTGTGAAATTAGTATTTATAGATATGTCCTGAAATGTCACGTTTCTAAAATATTTGTAATAAAAAAAAAGGTGAAATGAGTCTTATATAATTGTTTTTTGCTTTATAATTTATAGTAAACGTCTCACCTTGGTCACGATATTGCTAATGTCAACTTCTATAGAAAAATACTTGAACCCCTTGAAAAGTGGTTTTCAAATTAAGCGTTTATTTCTCATTACTTTTATGTTAGTTGATTTTGTTTTAAATATTATTCAGTTAAACATTCAACAATATTTTTCTACCCAAAACCATCAAAACCAAAATATACTGTATATTTCCAAATGCATAACGAAACGTTCCGTTTAACAGACTGCTCTCGTGGGCGGGCAAGTCCATCGAGCCGTACGGCGTGGACTACATCCTGCAGAAGCTGGGCTTCAGCCACGCGCGCACCACCATCCCCAAGTGGCTGCAGCGCGGCACCCTCGACCCCGTGGACCGCCTGCTGGCGCTCGTGCTGCTGCGCCTCGTCACCCTCGTGCCGCACAAGTGACCGGCCTCGCCCGCTAGCCGTGCACCTGTGGGGTGCGAGGGACCCACCACCGACCGTTCACGGGTCAGCTAGCGACAAGATCTAACAACACCTGCATGGGACAATATTGTACGACTCGCTCGGTATAGGGGTAATTAAAAAAGTCTTATTTTTAAAGTTTATATTTTAATTTCTCACGTATCGTAGTACGTTCAAAGTTGTTTGCAAAATTGAGTTACAATGTAGTTTTTTTGTATAAATCGTTATGATAGTATACTAGCATGGCGCACTCTTGCCTCGTGAATTTGAGAGGAAAAAAATATATAATAGGAGACTTAATACATTGTTTGTTTGCAAATTTCATCGAATTTGAATTAAATATTGATCGAGTTTTTCAAACATATTAAAATACTTTCACGTTTCTAATATAATTGATAATTACGAAATGTGAATGGTTAGTTATCTCTATAATGACTTGTACTGTCTATTGTGCGTATAGAAAATAATAAGATATAGAACTGTTAGCTCTTGTACTATGTAGCATACCTATATTATTTGTACCATTAAATATTGAAATTATGTATTAATTGAGGCTCCTCATACTATTTTTACTTACTAAGGGCTCGTCGACCTTATTCTGATATAACTAAGAGCTATTTTTATTTGTCATATTATTGGTATTTGGTACCATTTCTAAAGTGGTTATGGTAAATGGTAATTAGGTTGAATGTTCATAAATAAATAGTAACATATAGTCGAATAAATGTATTATTCAACTATATGTTACTATTAAATGAAATATAATTGTAATCACGACAAAAAAGCCCACCTAATTTACTTAAAGAATGTCGACCTTATTGCTGTGGACTAAGGTGCAGTTTAAGTCTCGTTATATATATAAAAAGAAATTATAATATTATCCCAATTTTGAAGAATATAACGTGTTAAACAAATAGCGAATGTCTCAATAAACACGTCAGTGTTACAAACGTGGTAAACAAAATAAACCTTATTTGATATTACCTTTAGGTGCTGTATATCTTGAGCGTTATTATTATTTATTAATTTATATTTTTTTTATATTCTTAGCCAGATTTGAGATAAATGTGGTGAAACTTTTTTATTTAAATTATAAAATGTCATAAAGGTTTTATAGCTAATGTAGAGTGTAGCATTTTTAAATATTAAAAAAGCAATGTAATATCACAAATAATAGTTACATAATCAAATTCTATGAATATGCATAGTTTCTAAGAAACTTTAAATAAGACAGTTTTTCAAATGTAATCTCTTATACTATAGTGTATAGCTACTGTATATCTCCATCTCCTTCCAACGTTTTTATTAATATCTGTTTTTTTTTTAATTTTTGAAATTTAATTTGGGTTTTATTCAAGTACAAAAGTGTAAGGTGTAGTGTATTTATTATATTATTTATATTCGTATACAGTCAGAGTGCTATACACATATAATGCATTTCATTCGTCTTTTGTACATTATATTTCATTATTTGATTTAAGGTTTATTTTTAAAGTTATACTTCTTTTGGGACGTTTGGAAAGAAATATGAGTAATTACTTCTTTTGGGACGTTTGGAAAGAAATATGAGTAATTAATTTTTACGATGCGCCGACACCGACAGCCAAAAACCGACATGATGCAGATGAAGTTAGCTGCATTCCTTTTACAAACAAAAAGTTGTGACATACGGGATGAAATCTTTAGCTATTTTTGATCTGTTACGCCAAAGAAGTATAACTACATATATACACACGTTATATTTTTAAATAACTTGAAAAGATTAGTTTTTTTGTTTCATTTAAAGTGAAATCTTTATGTTCGCTCAATCTTACAATATTGACATTTGATAATTTCACAAAAAACAATTAATTTATCAAATTAGTTTTACATCAATTTCTAATACTGTCATTCTGTCAGTCTGTTGGCATTTTAAGCGGATATTATTACTAATTAGTATTTTTTTTTGTATATTGAGATAATACTATTATTCAACCATCATATTTGGCTCTGACTGGATATTTGTATTTTTGAAATGTATAATTTTGTAGAAATGCTTTCATTGTGATGATATCGACTGTTAGATTAGATTTTATCTGTTGTAGGATAGTGTGGTTGAGGCCTATTTAGCGTATTCCAATACAGGGCCACTGTGCGGTAGGCGGTAGACACTAGTGTAGCAGTGGATTGGTTAACCAAAATTAATTATAGATAAATCATTCTCTAAACTCCATATTGGTGTCAATTCATCTTCAAACTCAAAAAACAATAGCGTCTCACGTTTTAATATATTGTCGCCTTAGTGCTTATTTCTTTAAACGACCAATATTTGTTGTATTTTAAAGTATAATTTCGTTCATCTATTTTAGAAATGAAGGTTTATTTCTAAGGTATTATATTATTAATATAGACAAAATATATGTTTTCGACTTTTTTAAAGTATTCCATTAGAATTATATAATATAATATTTAAAAAACTCTTTTGGTAAATTGGTTGTCCGGACAAATAAGCACTGAAGCGAGGACATTTTAATTTTAAGATAGTAGTAAATAAATAATGAATGATTATCAATATCATGAATGTGGTTAACCAACCCTTTCTGTGGGCTAGACATAGGTTACGTTTATTAAATTTATTCAAACCACAAATATTATGATGCAATATTTGTAATTAATTTATTATAATTAAATATAAGTAAATAAATTGTTATCGAAAGTGACCAAAAATTTATAATTATCACATACTGTTTGTGCTCATTTTTTTTAGTGAAAATTGCTTTTATGTGGGAATTTGTTTAATTTTCAATTGAATGATTATTATTGGTTTTTATTTTTGAATGCAGCTGTATTACATAAATATCTGTACACTTTATCTTGAAGTTGTTAGTAGTATAGGAAAAGGAAGTAGGTTCGAAGCGCTAGTGCTGGGGCTTCTATACGGTGTATGATATATTTTATTACGGAATGTGATTTGTACATAATGAATGTGATATCAATAAAATTTATTAATACAATTATTATTGTGTTTTCTAAGTTATATTTGCATTATACAGACTCAACTACTATGATAAAATTATGACAAAGAAGATTATATCGCGGATATAATTTTAATTATAATTGAATATGGAAAATTATTATTTAATTTTTGCTATTATTTATATAATTATTACAATTTTAAATATTAACTAGTAATCTATATTTAGTGTTGCCATTATTATATTTATAGAAAAATAGAAAGTATCATGAATCGAATTTTTAAAGTTATATTTGGTTTGGTGTTTTTTTATATATTTCTTTATAGTTTAGGCATTGTAGTTTGAGTTTAAACAATTAAATAAAATACATAGCTGCAAAATAATTTATTTCAAGAGAAACGAACAAGAAACAAATGCAAATATAACAATTATTACCACATTCTTATTTGCCTTACACATATTGAATGCTGTTGATTATAATAAATTATTTTTTTGTTTGAGATTTTACTTTTATATTCTCTTATATTTGGATACAAACACCAGATGTCATTTCAAACTTAATATTTAAAGCACTATAATCCCTAACATAAATGTTGAGCGAAAATATACATGTCCTTTTATATATGTTAACGGCCAAATTAGATTTCAGGCCAAACTGGTTTGTCCTAGGCCAAACCGGTTCACCCAATGTGTCAGAATATACTAGTTTAACCCTGACAAAATACTAAATAATTTAGGCTTAACTATTTTGGCCTAGGCCAAACTGTCTTTCAGGTATTATTCGGCTGTAGTATATGGAACACGGCATCTGGAGGAGTACGTGGTATTACTATGTGACAGGCCCGACTTGGATAATAGTGCTATGTTATTTCAATCAGGCCTAGGGAAAACTAGATCGTTCTGGGCTAAACTAGTGTCCTGACACACTGGGTGTACCGGTTTAGCCTAGGACAAACCAGTTTGGCCTGAAATTTAGTTTGGCCGGTAACATACAAATTATAACACATGAGCTATAATTGTACGCTTAACCTACTTTTCATTGACTGCATAAAAACAACGATTAAATGTAGAAATACACTGTAAATGACATTCAATATGCACAAGACAAATGAAAAAGACTGCGATGACGATTCAATACTCTTTTTACATAAAGACAATAATGAAACGTTCGCAAAAGCTAGCCTAAATACAAAGTAGAGATATATCACTTAATTATATACTTTATAAAAATTAAGCTAATTGAACTTTAATTATACATTTTTTTATATAAAAAAATAAACAATCACTGGAACTGTCCTGGCAAATGTAACGCAACACCAGTGATGATCCAAGAGACCGCTGCAGATTTGTACATTGAAAGATTTATATATTCTTGATAACAGGCAATAAACGGCTATGTAGTGCAAAAATACTTTTTAAAATCGAATTAGTAGTTCCCGAGATTAGCGCGTTCATAATATTAGTATAGATTATAACGTGAATGTTAGAAGGCAGGAGTATAATTTGTATATTATCTACTCCGTAATTTCCCATGAATCTTATAATGCATTTGTTAACCATGTGGCTGTAAGCAAACTTCAAAGCTAGTTCATAATGAGTATTAGTTGCAAACACATTGTTGCATTGGAACATTTTTTTTTTCAATTTTTATATGATTTGTTTTTTCTATTATCTAACCTCCATGGCCGAATGTTAGATTTTTCTTATTACACTTTTTGTCCATTAAATAAAAATTACTTTATTTGTGTAAGAACGACCAATAATATCATTTAGGAAAAATTACAAAATATGCATGTTATGCAGCTCTCTTGTCTAAATACATTTAAAAGAAAGAATATTCGTTTATTTGTTACAATTAAGGTCTAAAATAATATTTCATTAAAAACAAATATTATTCTCTTGGTTTAAATACAAAATAACAAAAATAAAACTTCAAGTACCTTCTCACCAGTGAACTCGCTACATGCTTTACTGTCACTTAGATATTGAAAAATATATTTCCATACTATTAAATTTTTATGACAATGTCATAAAAAAATATTTTATTTAGGTTAGAAAATATATATTAGTTAAGATATATATTTTTTTTCATATCAACTGCATATACCATATGTAGTTGATAGATCAGTCCTGCAAGTTCGTAAAGTTCATTATAATCCTCAAGAGACCTAAGCGGCTAAAACAAAACAAAATATTTTCTATCCTTTACTATAAGCTTTCAGGAAATTCTTGGCGAAGTGATAACGGGCATTGTGCTTTTACAATTTGATTATTTCTAAAATAAGTGGCAAAATTATGGCAAAAGTATTGATTTTTAAGAATATTATCTTAAATAATTGTACTTGTATGTATATGTAACAGGTATAAAAAATGGAAAGGTTTATTGAATAATGTTTTCTAGGTTGGATAAACTGGATTGGTTTTATTGATCACGTTTTAAGTAGTGTTCATGATATGAACAAATTTTGAATTTAATACATGGTAAAAAATGATCAAAATAACTCACAAACTTGTTAAAAACTTATCAATATAATATTACTGTACTCATGCTTGTCCACTATGTTTATTTAAAAATATATATGTATCCAACTAGCAACGCACCCACGCTTTGGTCGGGTTCGTTCCTAGTGAAAAGCAAAAACAAATCTTTCCCACGGAACCCATACATTTTTCCGGGATAAAAAGTAACCTATGTGCTATTCCAGACTATAATCTATCCCTGTGCCAAATTTCATCCAGATCCGTTCAGCCGTTTCGGCATGATTCAGTAACAAACATCCATCCAAACTTTCGCATTTATGATATTATTTTATGGGATTTCTAGTACAAAATAATTATAACAAATATAAGCTACTAATTTGGCAAAGCATCACTCCGCACACAATATTAAATACCACGTTTTAAAAACTACGTACAAACATACATAGAATATAACATGAATCCTTTCCATGTATGTGAAGATCTTATATAATAAAAAAAAAACTTAAAATTACATATACATTAAAATGTGTAAAATGCTCGATTTGGGGGAAAACCCACGTGAGATAGCTTGTGGATATTGACTCAAATATAAATGTAGATTAAGTATTAATATATTAGTTCATAGAAACATTCTGTGTGAAGTCATACTCGACTGTGGGTATGACCGTCTGCACAAACTTGAGAAACACTATGAGGTACGAGTGCACTCCGAGCTCTCCTCCACTCTCCGTCACTGTCTCTATAATTTTCTTCATTACTTCTGCATGTCTGAAAAAGGAAAAATATTATTTTAATATATTATATACTTTAGCACTTTTTACAGTTTATGACAAACATAAAAACACTGCACTTTACATAAATTATACTAATTTAGTTTCGTTCATAGTTTTCGACATGAATATAGAAAAAGTATTTTATTATTTCTTTTGGAAACAAATTGTACAATATTTCATAAATAATAAGTAGTAACAAGCCACCACGTAAACCAATCAAGTTATCATTAACAACTAATACAGATAAAAACTAAAACAGAAAGCTAATAGCAATACATATATAATGACGACACATTTGGCTCAGTTTGTAGTGACCCTACTTAGTGTGCCAGCGGTCGCGGGTTCAAATTATGTTTATAATTGTAATACATGAGAATTCCATGGAAAAGGAACGGTTATATACCTGCAGGGGTGAACAGAGGCCATGCTGGGCCCGGACACGTGGGGGTGCGCCTCCATGGTGACCGTCTTCTTGGCGTGGTCCTGCGACACGTCCTCGTACATCGCGTCCACGCTCAGCAGGTGACGGTCCTGCGTATTGATATGAAATTAACACGAAATTGGCCAACTTTAAGACAATTGTATGAAAAATTGAATGCATCTATCGTGTATGTTAAAGTTAAAACGCAGAGTTCTTTTTTAAATATAGATTAATTTTTGAATAAAATAACAGAATACTTAATAATAATTACACTACAATGTAGTTATGCAGTTATAAGAATACCAATAGTGCTGTACACTATGTGAGCTAAAATTTATTATGTACTGAAATTGAATATAGAGTAAACCTTACTTATAGGTTTTTCATTTTCATCCCCACTAATGTCATATTTGGTATATGTATGATTGAGTATAATGTGTATTTTGCTATACCACTATGATTCATTATGTTTATAAATTAATAAGTATGATGTTCTCCTGACCGATTCCGGCCACGGCGGCCAATCTCATTGAGACTAGCCAACTGCGCAGGAGATATTATAGTGCTCAAGTGTACGCGCAGACACAAGTGCACTCTCTATTCCTATCACTCTCATACTCCGGTGGGACGACCACTCGACACGACCAGTGAGAGTGTCGGCGCAGGACCGACGGCTTTACGTGCTCTCCGAGGCACGGGGGTGAAACACCGCCAACTTCCCAACTCCGGGCTGTTACTGAGACTTACTATACAGAAAGACTCAATAACTAAACCTGGACCGACCCGGGACTCGAACCCAGGACCTCCGGGTGTGCAGCCGTACATGCTAGCCATTACACCACCGAGGCAGTTAAGTATATTTGTTACTTCGCAATGTATATCAGTTATTTAACACTATTTCCCACATGCATGGGTTGACTGGAAGAGATCTCTTATAGAGATATATTTTTTATAATTTATTTGTGCAATAAGGAATATATTATATCAGTTCAAAAGTCAATTTCAAAATGGTAATAGCTTAAATTATAGAGTACTAGAAAACTCCGTTCGTCGATTTGTTAAGCAAATGATAACAACTGATGAAGTACAATTTAAACAATTGTTTTTACACTCAAATTTATTAGTTAGATTATTTCCTACTAGCAACACACCTCTCACCTCACACTCCGATTCGTCTTTAGATACATTTTAATGGTTAGCATGGAATAAATAGACTATATATGTATGTATATATACAAGGGTATGAGTTTTATATCGCTTACTTGAGAAATGATAGTTTCCCCATACAAACTTTCATCACCTTTTTCACCCTCTTATGGGATGATTTCCCGAATAAAAATTATCCTATGTCCTTTTCAGGGTCTCAAACTATCCTCATACCAAATTCCATCTAAATCGGTTCAACAGATTTTTATTCATTACAAACAAACATACAAACATACATTTTTCTCTTTATATTATTAGCATAGATTATTTACATCTTATTACTCTCACCTCGTCATAGCCGATGAGCCAGAGGCGCGGGGTTTGGTAGTACTTGTCGTAGGTGATGTGAAGGTCGTAGGTTCGAGTGCGGACGATCTCATCGCCATCCTTCTGCCGCTTCTCCTTCGCGGGCTCCTTGCGCGTGGTGAGCGCTGTCGACTGTTTGTTTATTTAACGCTATAGACAATTATTGTTAGGTATTTACTATATAATATCTTTTTATGTGGCTTTCAATTCATTTCATTAAAAACATACCCTAAAAAGACATTCTAAAATGGAATAGTAAGTTAAATGCTAAGAATTAATTCTGAAGTGAAACTTCTTTAGAATCGTTGTGATTTGAAACTCGATAAAACAATAATGCGACACTAGAAAGAGATAAAAACATATAGGATTAAGCGGGCGAGAGAATGAAATAGAATATATTGCCATGTTGCCATGGTAACCGTTGTTATTGTCTACAAATATATTATATTATATTCTTTCTGTATATGATATTCTATGACTATATGAGTGTAATATGTCTAATATGCCTTATTTAATTATTGATTTGTTTTAATTTAATCGCGATATTTGCCACAAAAGTTGTACTTCAACCGCGCATAAAGGTAACACGCACCCATTTTTTTTATGAAAAACAAAAATCTGTGTAAAACAAGAAACGCATGAAAACGAAATTGTTTGCAACAATAATTATTTGATTAAAAATATTTTTTTATTAAAAGGTTATCTATAGGAACAGTGAATCATTTATATATACAAAGTCATAATAACTCACTGGATCCACTTCATCAAGCAGCCCAGACTCTTGAAAGTGTTCCATATCTTCAGCTTCCCCGTCATCATCTCCATCATCATCATCATGGTCTCCGCCACCTTCGCCCTCACTGTCTCCAGTTTCTGCTGCTTCCAGTGTCATTTCACATACCTGAAGTTTTTAAATAAAATTCTTGTAATGAATACCTATTAATCCTGGAAGATTTATTATTTTTACAATACATCATAAGTTAATCCACTAAGCAAGATGTACAGCAATAAAAGTGTTTTAAATGTAAAAATGGGTTGTACGAGTATGTATGCTTAAATAATCATTTAACTTATTTTTATAATGTAGTTTAAAGACTTTCACTAACATTATTATATATAATTTATTGTTTTATATCATGCAAAAGTTAAAACATAAATTGTATTTACACTACATCTTTCCTTTTAATTTTCTTCCTTCAAAAAAAGTAAGTTATGAGATTAGAACAAAAATGTTTTGTTAACAGCATTTCTGTATTATTTAATTCCATTTTTTCATCAAATGATTTATTTAATGAGGTGTAACCCATCTAGATAAGTGCAAAGCGAATATATCAGAGGGCCTTTAAGGTAGCCTAATAGCTGAAAAACCATCGGATACATAAACTCCTAAATATCCCCGATTGCCTGCGAGGAAAAGAACAACCACATGCCACCTGGTGGTCAAATATGTATAAAGAGATCTAGAGAGAAAATCTGAGTACACAGACAAGCCAGAGTAAAATTTTCTTGCACAATCATACAGGGAGACCCAACCCCAGCTAAACTGGGTGGACAAAGAAGAAGATTTCACATGTCAAAAGATTTTACTAAACAAATGACATGAATTTGCTCTTCAACATAATTTGGGATAAGAAAATTCACTATTTTAAATTCGAACTTCATTCATTTCTATTGTACATTTTTATAGATACAAACAACCCGAGTTCAAATCTATTGTTTGTATTCAATAAATGATCAAGGTTATTTCCCTATGTGAATGAACTCTTGTGACATGATTCTTTATCAAATATGTTATTGTACTTTATATTTAACATTTTTTGATAACAATATAACAAAAAATTCAATCTGGTTGAATATTTATTATAGAGACAAAGTACTTATATTCAGTTCATATATATTAATTTTAAAATAAAAAATATATATTTTTTTAAAAGGTGTATTTAAGGCACAAATTCAGGGCGGGCTCAAGCGCATCCAAGGTCCGTAAGGCTGGCACATCTGTGCCAACGGACTCTGAGGCGTCGGCGTCTGAGGCGCCGGCTCCGAGAGATCCGGCCGAGCTGACGGCCGATGAATTAAGGGCGCTCGCCAGCAGCAGCGTGGCAGCAGTGTACGAGGTGGCCCAGAAATCGGGCAATTTAAAGGGCACAATGGTCAAGATGCTCAAGGAGTCTGCCGCCACGCTGCAAAAGGTGGTGGAAGCCCTAGCGGGGCGCACGGTGGCGGAGGAGGTCCACCACCTCCAGAAGGACAACGCTCGCCTTCGTCGTGAGACGGAGGCTTTGAAGGCGGAGTTGAAGGCGCACCGCAGGGAGTTCTGTGAACTCAGGAAGGAGTTGTCGGGTAGGATGGTGGAGGTACGGGTATTTAATTTTGCTGTTTCTCAATTATTATAGAAGAAGAAAATTATCATAAATTATAGAAGTAAGAAAATAAGAAATAGAAATTTTATTGTTATTTTAAAGCAACCAGTAGATTTTTTATGAAGATGTACTTTTATACATACCTTTTCTTCAACAGCAGGTGAGCCGGGAGACTCGTAGTGGTGCGTGTCTACCCAGCCTCCATCTTCATCTGTCTCATCTTCTATGACTTTTTCATTATCTTCACAGTATTCTATCTACAAATAAATATGAATACCTATGAAACTTGACAAGACACTTCAAAGTAATGAGCAGTATATGTTTAATTACTACTATTTTTAAATAGGTACATAATTTTGCATTTCTATTAAATTTCTGTATATTATAATTATTAAATAAGTAAAATACTTAATTGATTATACAAATTGCTATAAATCTATCTTAAAATATTTATAACTAATAATTTTATCTTACTTGTTTGCACCTCCTATAACAAGGTACATTTCTAGTGATCAGGAACTGCTTATCTGGTGGTAGATAGGGCCTAATTTTAGATTCTTCACCCTTAGCCCATTGCCAGGTAGGGCAGTGGTGAACCAAGTGGTCTCCAGCAGCAACAAACTCTTCTGGAGTTAATACTCCAGTTTCATGAAACTTTGACTCCTATTTATAAAATCAGAAAATATCACAATTGGTTATATCCACTTACATAGCTTTTAATAATTTTAATTGTAATGATATTAGACCTTATTCCTTATAAAAGTTTCATAAACGATCAAAGTTACAAAGAAGACACTTTGTAATTAATGTTATTGCTCTTGACCTTATAATATACTATATATAATTAATTAAATATAGAAATTTACATAGATAAACACTATACCTACCTTAAGCACAGGAGTCAAGTATCCCGCAACCCCGAGGGCGGTTCCTTTTACAGTGTTTATAACACTTTGCATGTTGAAAAAATAATTCTACATAAAACAATAAAAAATAGTTTTACATAAAATAATACTGATTGGGTGAAATTTATATAATAACAATGATCTTTCAAAAAGTCGGACAAAGCAATTGTATCATTCAGAACGATCTAACTTCAGCGGATTCCCAGTTTATAACTATACTCTTTGTCAGCGGAGTTCAGCGCACTGAGTTCAACACAAATCACAACTGTCAAGTGTCAACTGTGTCAACTTCGAAGTTCGAACATGACTTTTTACTTTTTAGAAAATAGAATTTTAACGGCTCAGCGATAAACATAAATGTCAAGATCAATAGAAAGCTAAGTCCACACTTGATACTTCCTTAGATTATTGTCTATGGGCATTTTCCAATGAGGGAGAGTTTTACCTTTTTTCCCGCCAGATGGCACAATAACTATGAGCCTCACTATATTGTATAGCGTGGATGGATTTTTTTCATTTTATTAAAAATTTAATTAAAATGACAAATTGTGCAGTACCAGGATTCAAATATAATGGATATCATTTGTTCCTTAAAGGCATAAACTAAAAAAATTGTGTGTAAGAAACAATCTTTATATTTAAGGCTATGAGGACATCATTTTGAAGAATGTGATTTTAAAACTCTTAAATCTTCTACAAGTGAATATTCTTTTTTTATTATTTATGCTTTTTTATATACTATTTATTGAATTTCATACAAACTTTCATCCCCCATTTTACTCCTTATGAGATTAAATTTCGAAAAATGCTAAAATAAGTATCTACTTAATTGTATTGAAGGGTTTTAAATAAAACTATCTTTTCGGATTTTGTCGCGGATTTATTTTAATATTTAAGAAAGTATTATGTATTGAAGGGTATTAACACCAAGTTTCAAGTAATTCTGATCACAAATAATTCTTTGCCCATATAAACTTTATTACCCCCTCCCCCCCCCCTTAACCCTTAATATTATCATAGATGAATAAAATGAATTATCAATATTTAATATACTGTCAACTGTCAAGTGTCATTTGTCAACAGTCAAAGTCAATTTCTTTGTGGATACCGACAATTTCGTAATTTGGATTTTTATTTCAAGTGGTTTAAACATTTTATAATGATATTTGGTTTTCTCGTAATAAATTTCGAGTGCAAGATTTAATTATTTTACAACTATGGAAGATGTTTTAGATGAAGTAGTGTCCTCAGAGGATTTGCAAGTAAGTTTTTGTCAGGTCATTCGTGACTCACTGTACGTATTTCATTGTTTTGACTTCTATTGCGTTTTTCTTTTAGAAATTCGAGAAGATTTTTCACGAACAACTTCAGCAGGGAAATGTAACACCTAAGGCGCAGTTTGAATACGCATGGTGTCTGGTGAGAAGCAAATATGCGACGGATATTAGAAAAGTCAGTATATAAGTAAAGTTTTTAAAGGCTTTTTATCTTTCTGACACGTACATATAAATATGTGATACCTAATAATTTTTGTTTACATTTTTTTACATTATTAATTTAAAAAAAAATATTTTGCGTTTTTTTTTATTTTTATCTTATCAGAACCTTAAAAATTTACATAACGTTTTTTTCACGATAACGATACAACAGGAAAAATAAAACATTACATAATTTTTGGTAATTTGAATGTTATGAATAATTTTATTAAAATATAATTTTAATTCAATGATTTCAATTACAAACTTTTAAGTACACCTTATTTTTTTTTATAAAATAACTAAAGCAAAATTGATAAAAGAAAATTTAAGATCAGTACAGCTGTTAAGTACAACTTCTTTTATACTTATTATTTGTCCAAAATATTACATTGATTCTATATACAAGGCTTCTATTTGTTGTACAGCACTATGATTTTGGATCTTAATAGGGCAAATAATTTTATGTTAGTGTGAAACTACTTAGTGCTTGGACTAATGGTCATAAATCTTGATATTCAAGCAATGGCTATGAAAATACAACATATAGTAAATTGCTTTTCATTTTCAGGGTATTCTACTATTAAAGGAACTGTTTAACTCCCATGCAGATGGTAAACGAGACTACTTGTTCTACCTTGCCATCGGCAATGCCAGAATTAAGGAGTACAATAAGGCTCTGCATTACGTTAAAGCATTCCTTGAGATTGAACCCGCTAACCAACAAGTGCTCGCTTTAGAGGTAAGTTGTATTATTTACATACTAGAGACTCACTCTCGCTTCGCTCAGGTTTGTCCTTAGCTTGATTCCCCGTACAAACTTTTATCCCCATTTTCATCCACTTAAGGTGTGAGTTCCGGGATAAAAAGTATCCTATGTCCTTCCCAGGATCTCAAACTATCTTACTAAATTTCATCTAAATCGGTTCTGTAGATCTAGAGATTACCCTCTACAACATCACAAACTCACAAACTTACCTCTTCATATTATTAGTATAGATATTATAATTAAAAAATGAATTCAAAAAAACATAAATGAGTTCATAATATGGTTATTTCCATACATAATTAATGTTCTCCAGATAAGAGAAAACATTTCTATTACTGTTTTAAATTTAATGTATGAATTAACTGTATTACATTAAAATATGAATACTAAAAGCATAAAAAAATATGATTACCCCCATAGTCAGATCTTATGCAATTAAAAATATTCTTTTTATAAATATGATGACATGACTTTATGACTAATTCATTGTTTTAAATTGCTAAATAACTGCTTCGTGTCTTGTGTAAGATGCAAACACTATCAATTTAATGAAATTGAAGTAGTTTACAATTAATTTTCTGTATAAAAATTAAAAATATTAAAAGTATTATTTTTATAACCATTAATTTGAAATTAATTGTTTTCTTAATCGTCAACATGAAATATTTGGCAATGCACCAAGCATTTTATGTACAAAGTAAATGAACTGTTCAAAAAATGAGGCCAATTAAATATATTCCATGATTGTGCACTTTGTTTTGATGTTAAGTTTTGTTGTGGTTATACTAATTAAAAACTTGTTTAAATAACATTTAGATATTGAATTGATTAGCTGTTCAATTATAACATACCTGTTTATACTATTTATGTGTATTTAAATATAAATAAATATGTTGGAATATTAACACACAGCACAATCTAATTCCATGGTAAGCTTGAGCAATGAGGCTTGTGTTATGGATACTAAATAATTGATATGCTATGCATATATAATTTTAAATACATACATATTATAAATGTAAACATTCGTGACTGGAGTACAAAGTACAAACATTCGTGCTCATCACACAAATGAATGCCCACAGCGAGATTCGAACCCGCGACCGCTGGCACAGCAAGTACTACAAACTAAGCCAAACAAGTTGTCATCTTTTTCATTCGTCATCATTTGAATTTTAACTGCGATAACTACTACTGACTGCTGAGTTTGAGTTCTCACTTGCTGCTTGTGATGCGTGATGCTGTAATATACCTAAATAGGCTATAAAATGTTTATTTAACAAACAAAACAGAAATTTAAACATTGACAGTTTTGTATTGAATTATTATTAATTAAAAACACCCACTTATAATCACTTAAAAATCACTCTTAAGGGTGGATTTCCTTTTAATTAAATGTTAGACCACAACCTCAAAATTCATTTAAAGGCTACTATGCAATTCGATTTCCAAGTGGCAAAGTTGTTATGTAACATATTTTCAAAAAATATTGTACCGAATTGGAGTACCTCTTCCCTTTTTGAAGTTGGGTAAAAATTATAATTTTACTATAGAGTTACACCTTGTTTTCTAATTAGAGCAGTAAAGCGCATTATGCGGCATAATGCGCAATACTTCGAATGTTTCAACTACAGCAACGCTCCACTCAATCGAGCATTTTGAAAAGCAAGCAAGCAATAATTAATTAAACATTAGCACAGTTCGGCATTATGCACCAAAGTATGGCATTACGCTCTGTAATATATATATTCTTTATTCACAAAAAAGAAAATTACAAATATACTTAATTATATATACAAACATATGTACACTTAGTTATTACTGTACAAGTCATGTCCGCGTGGAATAGTGGCAAGAATGCTAGCCGCATTCCCCCGTTGAATGGCAATGCCGATTCTTTGGGCGAAAAATGCGCCAGCCCTCCTGTCACCAGTACAGGTGATAAGACGGGGTGTTATGTCTTTTAAGAAAACCTTAGCACTTTGACTCCATGACTCTGTAATTGGAAAACAGGGACAGACTATTTTTCAATGTCAATGTCTGTGGCTTTTTTTAAACGACATTTTTTTTTCTTTTTTTTGCCAGCGTCAAGTTAACAAGCGTATGGAGAAGGAAGGTCTGATGGGCATGGCGGTGGCCGGCGGCGCTGTGCTCGCTATTGGCGGAATAGTCGGACTCGGCATAGCTCTCGCTACTAGGAAATAGCATTTGGCTTTATTGTAAGTTCTTCTAATACGCGACCCACCCTGGCTTTGCCCAGCAATTTACACTTAGGTTATAATTTTTTTTCGTATACGTTCAATGCACTATTTTAGAAAAACGGTATGGTAAAAAATAGGAATTTAAACTGTTGATAATGCACTCATTGATATATTATTTTTATTATAATCGATGCTCAACTGACACACTGAAGCCATTAACAAGAAAATTGAATTGAATGATATTCGTATTTTCGTGGCGAGAAAATGCAGTTTGTAGTCCGAAAGAAAGGGACTTTCAACACGACCCAGTAAGAGATAGAGAAGAATAAAGTTAAAATCTATACATCTATACATATAATAAAACTGTAGAAGTCGAATGTCTGTACATAGAAAAAAAATGCTAAAAACCGAGTCAGGGGGATGTAAGAATAGAAATAGAACAAATCCAGATCTTTTTAATTTTTTTTTGTTTTGAGTTGTTTCTCTGTTTGATTGGACGGGCTAATCTCCGAAAACTGTTAGACCGATTTAAATGAAATTTTGCATGGTGGTATCTTATATCCCCGGTCAACATTTTAGATACTTTTCATCGCGGAAAATTAGAGTTCCCTTTAGATAGTTAAAAACTATAGTAACTTATACAGCTTAGTACACAAAAACTACTGATTGGATCTTAATGAAACTTTACAATAATATAGTTCATACATCAGGAACACAAATAGACTACTTTTTATCCCGGAAAAATGTACTATACTATTCCCGTGGGATAGATTTGTTTCTGTTTGTCTAGAGGCTAACCCGAGCGAAGCGAGGGTGAGCCGCAAGTTGTTTACTAAATTCAATCGGTCCACGGGTCAACTACGGGAAAGCTTCCCGTAGATCCGTAGATCGGTGGGTTAGTCGCGTCCTATTGTTTAATTAAATTAAATGATATTCGTCTCTTTACAGAATGAATGCCGCAGTAGGTGTTCATTATCTTCTTACTAGAAATAGAAAGAAGAATGAGAAAGAAGAGTAGCGGGACGATGCTTCAACACAAACTAAGATATATCCACACTACACTATAGATTAAACTTGTACAAACAGTAGATCTCTAAATGGCTTTTAGGCTGTATATATCAAAATTATAATTTATTCGTAGTATGTTATAATATTATTTTTATAACCTTATTAATAAATTGATGATAATGACATTTATTTTGTTTTCCTCCATCTGTATGTAAAGGTCCTAATTCTCGTCATGGCTGAGAGTGTTTATTAATAAGGTTTTATATATACATATATATATATATATATATATATAATATATATATATATATATACATATATATATGGTACCAATATTATATTATTTATATCATTATTAGGTTTAGGCTTCACGGTAGTTAAGTGCAAATGTTATTCCATTAATAAATACTGTTTTTGTTTAATATATTATTATTTTATTAACAAAATCATTTTTATATTCTAAATTTAAATATATTTATAATGGACGTTTAAGGAGCTCGATTGATAAATGTCACCCGTGTGTAATTTAGAAGTGTTTTGCGATTGCTTGACAGATTTTGATGCAATTTTCACTGTGGTATTGCTTCTTTATTTATATTGTTAAGAAGTATCAAATCTAGGATAAAGTATCTATTGTTTATATTTGTGTAGTGTAATGTTCTGTGCTGTGAAAAATTTATATTTTCTTTTTCAAATTTAATCTTACATTAAAATTATAATATTATTTTCGGGTTTAATTAAAATGTCTTGAATTTCAAAACAATTATTTTTATTATCTTGTTTATTATGATAGTGAAGCAGCATACATCTAGTACACTAAAATACAATGGCAGAGGCGTGGCATTGATTAAATTAATAAAAAAAAAACTTAATTTTTAAGAGTATTAACAACTGAGAACTTTTTCTAATAGTAGCATTTTATTTTCTGATTATGGCAACACATAACAACGCCACAATAGAATGGTAGATAAATAAAAATTAGAATTATCGTTTAAATAATTTTCTCTTTAATAAACGACACTGTAAATATTTTTTTTTTGAGTACTGAACTAAAAGTGCTTAAATAACAACATAGTTGGAAGTATCTATAGGAAAATAACAACCTGTATTTGACATTATTTTTTTTTCTACAACTACTCAAGTATACGGTTTCAACATATTTTGTGCTTTCTATTAAAATATATTTATTCACTCACATTTTTACTAAATGTTTCAAATTTTAAATAATATTCACATATTCGTTTTTTTTTTTACCAAAAACAATATTTTTGTGAGTACATTCTGAATCTTTTGCCTATAATAATTATTTTAGATATCCATCATTAATATAAATTATTGCTAACACGACAAAAGATACAAAGAAATTGAGGTTTTCTAATTTCCAAACAAAATCTTACGCGATTAATGAGGTATAGTCGGATGACTAAAATAAAGAAGAATTACTAATATCGAACTTTCGAAGTTCAAAAAGGTAACTAAAAATACTTTTTACACAAATATAGCATAATGATCGACTTAAAGTCCTAATTATCTTAATATTCACTGGTATATAATATAAGTATCAACAACGTGGAGGCGGCGCGTGGAGTTACATCGAAATATGCTCAGCTTATACAACAAAAGAATTTTCCAGAAATTTTAAATTATGTTTATATTTTACCCATAAAATAGCCTCATTTATTTTTAAATTTCCCATGTAACTCCATCGCCGTCTCAAATATTTAAATTGTGGTATGCAAAGTGTTTGAAAAAATATATATTTCTTAATCACAATCTGGTAACTGGCTATTGTAGAGTGTACAGTGCTTCAACTATGAATCTGCATATATTCTAAATAAAGTCAATCTTCTATAACGTAATGAGAAAAATAAGCACACCTCTAAACAATCAAAATTTATGTACAGTCAAAAAATAATTACTTACTATGGCAACACCGTAACTGTCAACAAGATTATTGTTTACGCAAACCAAACGACGCAACCCGTCAAATGTCACTAACACGCTAAAAATAATCAATCAACCCGTAATCTTAAACTATGTATATATGTTATTACACAATATCTCGTCGCAGTTGCACACTGACGTCTGTCAAAGTGACATTTCGAATGTAGTGTTGCAACTCGACAACTCAAAATTTTTTCATATTTAGGGTAAATATAATAATCAAATGCCGAACAATGTACTCACGGTGTTGTACTATAAAGACATTTGCTATAACAATTTCTTAGTAAAGTTAAATGTTTAAAATATACGCAACGGATGGACTCCAACATCGTCAGTACACGATCCGAAACCCTTATCTGTCATAAAAAAGATTTTAACCACTATGGTTCTATTCTTAAATAAAGTGAATTCTAACATTCGGGAAGTAAATATTTGTGACTCGCTTACTCGTAACTTACAATATACTAAATAACTATAACATTGTACTCTAAAAAATATGTATAATTATCGAAGGCTAATAATGAGATTGTGATCACAGTAACCATTATTCCAGTATCGAGCCGGAGTGCTCACTGCGAGCTGCCGCCGGCGGCCCAGACCACCTATGTATATACACGTACGAAGGCAACATCAAGGTATACTTTACTTATTGCTTTTGTTTGTTTATTATGTACTTTACATATCACCACATGTTTATATACAACGCGTCGCTGTCGCCAATTTGAACTTGAATCGCTTAAACCCTTGGAAATTCAGTCTCAAGGCAGTTGATGTTCAATTAAACTCACGCAATAATAACGTTCGAAAATATCGGCGATCCTTTAAACGCACATCGATAAATATAAGTTTAAGCTCTGGTAATTTTGTTCGTATACAAAGATATTTTGTTTTCTCCTAAATATAGGTGCATATTCATTCAATATAACATTACTCTACGGAAGTGACAGTCTAATTTTTCTCTAGTGAGTGCGATCTATATAAAAATAAAACGGTAAAGACATCTCTACGGGCGGCTTCGACTGCCGCCTGATGACTCGCTTTATATACTACCTACGATACGACTATATAGTATATATAAATGCAATCTGCAAAATGCATAAAACAACAGTTATTATATCTATAAATTGTATAAAATATTAAATAAAATCTATTGAAGTGAGGTAGATGGATGGAATTTCACAATTTGTGTGGATTTTTTTATTTATAACGTTGCCGTATTGGCCCGAATGTTGAGGTAGTTGGATGGAATTACTATGTAAGACCCTACCGCGAGAGGGAGCTTACATACGATAAAGTTACTACTCACTAGTTAAATACTACTAAACAATCTCACAAGTGACGAGTCGGTATAACTAATGTGTACACGGGTCACGCTAAATTGGCTTCGTGGCGTCGAATCGGAGCGCTTTCGCCGGCGCGTTCCCCACATCGAGCGCCTTACTCTGACCAAGGCGTACGACCTAACGGACATGACCAATACAATAAATGCCAGTCCTACGACACCCAGCTACAGACCGGCAGCGCCCGAGACGACCCAATACTTAATTAATTTACAATATCGGTTAATGGCACCAACGATACACGGGTCAACAATAAATCGTTCAAATTGAATCAGCTAATGACGTAACTTAACACTCAAGCACCTTTTCAAAAACCATCAACAAAACATTCTCGTAACAGTTTCACTTGCAAACTAATTCACAGCAAGACTTATGTCATTTCATGAAGACGCCGTTTTATTGTGCTCGTCCTCAGAGTAGTCGCCGTCGTCCTGGCCGCTGTGCTCGAGCTCCTGTTCCGAGCTGTTCACCCTATTTCTATCATCGTCGTTATATCCCTTATTGTAGTAATCCTTAGTCATATCCTTGTCCATATCCTGTTTGTCTGTCTCAGCTTCGCTGATGCTGTCGTTCCTTTGTCTCTCTTTGCCCAGGTCTAAAGGTTCGTCGGCATCTCGCATGATATCCGGTTTACCCATATTATCAGTGTACTGTCGCTGCATCTGTTTCAAGAAACGTTGGTGTGCAAGTGTCGTGGGTGGTGGAGGCAGTGACCCCATTTGAGGTGAAGGCTCGTCGTAAGTTTTCCTGTCGATATGCATAGCATTCATTTGTGCGAGTTTTGCAGCGTTCATTCCTGTAACAATATGCAGTCATTGGCAAATTGCAATTTTTTTTGTCTAATATTAAAAAAGCAGTCTTATATATCATTCAATTTAGAATATTTACACAGTGACTTACCAAAGACATTTTCTCCTATATACTGAAGGTAGGTATCCAATATGGCTGATCCTCCTCCGAAGCCTGGTGGGTAGTCATCATGCTTCAATCCGGATAAGCCGTGAGGTAAATTTTCTACAGCTTTGGCTGTAACTGCTCGCACTGCTGGCACTTTTGTTATTGTTGTGTTTGTTAAATTGTTTATATCTGAAAGCGTAAGGATAATATGGGCATTATGTAAAAAAATATTTCTTAAATATATAATATAAATTATATATTCGTATTAGTAAATAAAATACGTACGTGGTGGAGAAACAGGTAACGAATCCTGGTATTTGGACTGGCTGAGATCATCGTCGTTATCGCCGCATAACGAGCTGTTTTCAGAGGCAGCAGACTTAGCGTCCAGTTTGATGTCGGAGCGGCGCGGGCCGGTGGGTGACGCCCGCGCTCGCAACTGCTCTGGCGATACCTTTACACCTGCTTTAGCTAATAACCTGGAAATTTCAATTCAAACATTAATTACTCTATATATTAGCTACCGAATAATCTTTAAGATGAATGTTTAGACCATATTATATTAACAAAAGTACTTACTGAAATAAATCTTATACTTGAGCTAGTATGAGGGTAATATTTACTTAGTAATACTAATACATCCTATGGCGCGGTCTATCTTTAAACGTAGAAAGCTAGCTTCTTTTTTTATTACTAGATAGGCTTGCGCTTGACGACAATCAAGGTCAAGGTTGGAGCGCGCTTGCCTAGAAGATACCTATTCACTCTTGCCGTGAAGGTATTCATATTATAGGTGGCAGAAAACACGGATGTTGGGAGGTTGTCCACACCTTAGCAGTTCGTTTCAGTAACGTAGAACTAAAGCGTTTCGTGCGAGTTGGTCTTTATGTAAATCATCCATTTACTTTAAAATATCCTATTGTTTTTTAAAATAACTGTACCTAAATAGTAGTCGTATTAATGTATTGTAAAGTTCCTACTCACTGGCTTGCGAGTTCTGGATCGAATCGTGTTGGCATCTGCAGTACGGGGAGGTCCTTGGTGGAGATGCCGCGATGTTGCCGCGACATGTGCGAGTGTAGCGAATTGCGGGACTTGGCCACTGTGCCACAGAGTACACAACTGCAGAAAATATAAACGCGTTAAAAAAATAATAGATAACTTTAATCGTTTTTAATAGAAAATAATAAATTAAACAAAAGTATGTATTTTTATCAAAAGTATTTATTACAGACGGTATCAAGGAGTTGAGCTTTACTTTGTACTTTGGCTTACTCTGGAATGAAAAATATCTATGTAATAAGTAATACAGACATTGGCTTCCAGTTAATTACGATTATTTTAAATTATGATTATATAAGTGACTTTGGCTTCTTACCGGTATCCAGGACACACTGTGTGTTTATCTTCAAGATGCGTTCTCAGCGTATGCGCAGATCTGTAGATCTTTCCACATTTCGGGCATGGCCTCGGGTCAGTAGCTCTCACTCGCAGTAAGTCTTGTGTCCGACGACAACCACCTGATAATGAAAAATCTACTTTAAAATTACAAGAATAAAGTCAAAATTTAAAAGTTTTTTAGTTTCATCTTACCTTATTAGCCTACTTAGAATGTTTCTGGTTAGTGCCTTACATGATAATAAATATAACTAAATTTTGTTCTACTTTGGACATTTGTATTAAAAATGCAACAACTCTACTTCGTAGTTTTATTGTTTATGTTTCATATAAGCAGACAATTTTTTTCGGGTAAAAATTAAATTATTACGTATATATCGTATCACTAATACAATCGCAACTAGTATCGTTTACTTACATTGAACATTTGGTTATTGAAATGACTAATTACATTGTACGCTTAGAAATATTTATTATATAAAGATTACGACATTGCCTCTCAGGCTTCAGGAACAATTTTAACTACTCGCTAATTTTTACCAATATTCTTTTTAATCATTTTCGAGATCTATTTACGTTCCTATCGCATATATTTTTGAGGCATATTGTGGACGACACAGGTGCTTGTATCATGAGTGTACGCTAACAGTCTTTACACGAAGACCTCGTATTGCATATCCTTAATGTTACAAGCATCTGTGCCTCCAGTACTACTATTCATTGTAGATATACTTTAGATTTGAGTGTGGAAAAAAAGAAAAATTAAATTTTTATATAAATTTTGCTGAAAGCAAGTACTTATTGATCTGGTTCGATCATTCAAAAGGTTTTGTAAAGATGAGATAATAGGCTTAGACCTAATTACTTTTTTTACATAATGTAAAAATATATAGATTATATTGTTTGGTGTATTTTCCTTATATTTTATTCATATGAAAATATATGCGAATGGAATATGCATTTATTTATACATGTACAATAAATCCTCGTTTCATATCGTATGTTCTACTATGACTAGATATGTATTTGATTGTGCTCTCTGCCTACAGGGCTCTAAACGAATAAAAAATAAAACCTATCAGTTGTGAACGTATAACTATTGCGTTTAAAGGCATTCGATTTCATTAAAATCTATCTCGTATTGTCTTATCTATGGTCGAAAATATACACATAGAGCAGGCCACGGTACAGGGGCTTAATATGTTTTCTAGGCACTTCGTAAACCTGACTCTACACGAGACTATTCACAGATTTATTAAACGATATTTGAACTAATGAGCCAAAACTAAATTTTATTGTTTGTCTAACACTAATATTAAATAAAACCTCTGTACCGTAAACTGCTTAGATCTATACCGAACAGTGGGGTCAAGATGTCCTGATTGTTATACAAAATTATTGTTAAGTACAAGTTAAAGTCTTAAGTATTGAAGGAATTATTATAAATCGTAAATCAAGTACAATAAATTGTGCGATCATGTCGAGTGTAGATAAAATAATATTAACAATATTTCAATCAGGACAGCAACTAGGAACACAATGACTAATGACAGTACAAACACAAAAACTAGAAGTAATGAAGTAATAGCAACAATGGAAGTCAGACACATTCGGGAAGGAAAGAATGGTCGTCTCACTTAGTTGCACTTCGTAATCTATCAATGGCACCAATCATCACAAGTCATAATGCGCTTTACAAAACTAATGCTTAAGATACCCTGCAGCTAAATTGCTCACGGAACCCATTATTTATATAGTAGGAAAGATTTCTTATAATAAAATCTTTTTAATCTAATGTTGATCCTTCGATGTCCTCGAGGACATGCTCAGCAATTCTCTGCAGTGTTTCCCAAGTTATACTTAAATAATATCAGTCTATACTACTACAAAAATAATTTTCAGTCGATTTACCCTACTGGTTTATATATCGTTTACGTACGAACATTACTGCTGAATATGAAAATGCATTGTGGAGATCATTGTTTTCTGGGTTTCTCAGTAACATATAAAAGCCCCACTCGTAGATCCGATTCACAGCCGTTTTAGCTAGTTTAGCCGAATGACGAACGAGTTGCCTGCTCCGACTTTCCAATCCATGAGTTTCTCAAACGTTAGTTGGCCCACCCGCAACTCCACTTTAACGTTTTCATCTTTTCCCACTGGCGGCGGTGTTTTATTCGCATGTGGTTTCTGACTGAATTGGGATGCGCAAAGTACCTTGCGCAGGTGGCGACCGGGCAGATTGGACTGTCCCGCGGATAGTGTGCCTCCAAGTGTCTCCGAGCCAGCGCCAGTGAATCCAAACTCATGAAGCACAACGGGCACTGTAGACGTTCGCTGAACATCGCCTTCTTGGCCGTTTCGCTCCCCTCCAGGTACTTTAGCAACTCGCTCCCTCCGTCCTTCCCCTCGACGAAATCGCTTATCGCCGGCTTTGCCAACGCGTCCCGCGCCGCGGCATCTGCAATGCCGACAGCACTAAATTACTCTACGTTATGAACGGTTGGCAAATCCGACGATCAGCGTTACTCTCCCTAACGACGTTCACAATAAACGGTCTAAAAATATTACGATATATCAAATATAATATATTGGTTAACAGTTCGATACGCGTTCCCTAAGGGTCCATTGGCACAAGTACCGAGTACGCGGGATGCGCTCACCACCAGACGTGGGGCGGCAGAGGGGTCGCGGGGGGCGCCAACGGCGCAAGGGGGGTGAGAGGCAGCAGCGGCGCGAGGGGCACGTGGGGCGCGAGGGGCGGGCGCTCGGCCACGCGCCGTCTCTAAGAGTTCTGCCGCTGGCGAATGCCGTGAGCTTGCAGCTGGTGGTTGATGAGGTAGTGCTTCGTTTTGCACTTCTTTCCACAGTGCTGGCAGGGGAACCACTGGTCACGGTCGGTCTGCGAGTGCACATTGAGCATATGCTGGCGCAGGTTGGAAGTGGAGGAGTAGACGCGGCCGCAGAGCGGACACTGCGGCCGGTAGCCCATGGCCGCCCCGCCCGCGAGAGCCGCCCCTGTAACACAGAGGCGGCGGTTAGAACAATCATCTCCAACGTCGCTTAAGCGCTACTGTGAGTGTATCGGTCTAGTTCCGCGGACGGGGCGCAAGGGGTGGACGAGGCGGGGTCGCGCCTCCTCTGTTTGACGCCGTGTATGGAGTTCATGTGTATCTGCATGTACTGGCGGGTCTTGAAGCCCTTGCCGCAGACCGGGCAGGAGTGGGAGAGGTCGCGCGCGGCGTGCACGTTGAGGATGTGCTGCTTGAGGTTGCTATTGTTGCTGTAGAGCTTGCCGCACTCGGGGCACGCGGGCTTGCCGGGCTCACCGTTAGCGAGGCCGGGGAAGCCCGCCGCGTCGCCCGCGCACGCGCTCGCGCTCGCCCAGCTCGCTCCTGGGGCAGACGACTCGCTTTCAGTTCGCGCTTCGCACACTTTGCTCGCCCTAGTTCTCAGTACTCGCCAATTCTGCGTTATGACTTTCGATACGATACGTTTCACATTCAACATGACTTCCATTGTTGCTATTACTAACGGATTCTCGATTTAAGGGGTATTTTTATCTAATCGATTATTTTAATAATTGATCGTTCGGTTACTTACTCGTTATTTAATTGTTAGTGTTATTGAATACGTGCTACATGTGACTCAATGATGAACAATTAATGACATACAATGTTCGAATTGTGTGTTAAAAATCATTAATGTTATTGGTTACAAATTATTTGTTCTGGTCGGATCTAATTGCATTTATATCGTTCGATGTCTAATTATCGTCATTATTGAGTCACATAATGAAAATGTTAGTGCAATAAGGGTTTGTACTCACCAAAATTGTCTGGTATCCCTGATGGTCCAGGCAGGCCGGGGAATCCTGTAAGAATTAGATATATTTACAGTTAATCTATTAGCTCTTAAAAGTTTCAAAATTCAATATATTTGAGGTAATAACTAGGTGACCTGGTAAATTGAGCAGTCCAGGGAAGTTGTGCGGGAGTGCTCCGTTGGTGTTGGCCATTGTAGCGGGATCGTCGTAATCTACCGGTTCTTGCTTAGCTCTGTTTTCGCCCTCCGTGTCACTCGCGCCTGCATCTGATGAAGATTCTTCACCTTCGCCAGACTATAACAATAAATGAGTTTATAATTACTGTGTCTGTAGCAAGCATAATATAATAAATCATATATAACGTTATGATAAAAAACTATAACTAAATATTTTATTATTAGTGATATTGAAGATATAATTGAGCTTTTGTAACTTACTAAATTATTGGAAACTCCAGAGAGATGCGGATTTTGTACGTTTTCTAGTGCTTGGCTGAATAGAGCCAGCTCGTGGCCGTTTGTGCCCATCCTCTCAGGACTTGCGCCCTGCGCCGCTAACAGCTGTTCCGTCCTACACCAGTAAAGTCAAAAACTAATAAGTAACAATCAAGTATTTGAAACCAAACATTCGTCTATTCAATAGACTCAAAACAATTTTAGTCTTATGTTTATATAAAAATGATATAAGTATTTATATAAAAGTGATATTTTTTATTTGCTTTGTATTCGATTTAACTTAATAATTAAATATTATACTTATAGGATTTCTAGTGACTATAAAGGAATTAGTTCGTCAAGTTCATTTACCTATTAGCAAAATGGTGTTTGGTATTTTAAACCTGTTTTATTCGAGTTTACGTCATTCTTTGTGTGATTAACATTATTTATATTCGAGTTTCTAACATTTAACACAGATCCTTATAGAAAGTTGACAATTTTTCTGCGCCATTACCGATTAGTGAATCAGCGAGACAATTCGCGTGAACCATTATAGGAGTTGCCTAAATTCAGCAACTCTGTGATTTAATGACACTATATGGCAATACCAATTTGAATTCTAATTTCTGTTCTCTAAATGGTCTTTTACAATTATTGTACCGTTTTGATGACGCCATCTCAAACAAAAATAATTTATAATTTACATCATCCTAATTAGAGACTTTTGGTTTAGAAGATGTGGTACAAAATTACAGTAAATTGTTATTTAATTAGCGCCATAATTTCAATTTAAAGATTGCAATGAAATGAAGCGATGGTGACAATTTCAATGAATTTCATGTGATGAATAGTAATTCAATAGTAGCAACCTGGTCTTCATTTGCGCTTGATATAAGTCTGAAGAGCGAGCTCGTTTCGGTGGCGGAGTGCAAGGCGTGCCTTCGTCTGGACGTCTCGCCCGACGGCCTTCGCGGGGTTGAGGGTCCCGGCCTTCCCGGGAACCCCCGCTGCCGGTCTCCGTCCATGATGACGCTGACTATAGAAAAAATATATGGTTGCCTAATTCTTTTACCAGTATATTGACCCATTTTTTCATGGTTTTTATTAAAATTTGCAAGATGTCAACTACGAAATTTACAAATATAATTAATTGTATTTATATAAAGTCGAAATTTGTCGATGTTTTGCAATCAAGTCATCCCGTTTGAACGTTGCATTGGATCGCTTGTTAGAATTCATATCTAATGTATTATCGAGTAGGGGGACTTAGTACGTATAATTGAATTTTTAAATTTTATTATATTAGGAATTGTGAAAAAGAAAGATATTATAATTATTTTATTACCAAAAGTGTATCATCTAAAAAAACTTTATTTATTAACAAAATGTTTAAAAATTACAAACAAGGTTGAAATCGGTTTTTAAGTGTAAAGTTCACCTTTAGCAGGCAATCTCGCTCTTCCATAGCGATATTACAAGTATGTTGTTATAGCAAATTAAGTTTTATATTCTATGGTTTTATTTATTTTATTATATAAGCATGCTATTTAGGTATCAGATGTAAATATTATAAAAACTTAAGGAAAGTCGTAATTCGTAATAAGAGTCATATTTTAAGATGGTGTTTTAATTAACTTACAGGAGAAGCTTTCTGATCTAGAGTCGGTAACGGCGCTGGTGGAGGAACATCAGTTAACCCTCGGACTTGTAGAAGTTGAGCGGCTCTTAGGAACTCTTTCAGTTGCTCTTGTCCAATATGGACTTCACCCTGATACATAAACCTGTAAAATATTGTATTATGCAGTGTTTTGTTGATCATCCAGTAACTATACTATCACTAGTAACGTACGCGTTGCTCAGATAACTCAACTGTTAGTCTTTTATTTAGTTGCTTCATATAATAGTAGTCAGTAGTAGAAAACAAAGCAAATAATGTAAGCAACATTTATAAGTATGCTGTTAAAATCGCGTTATATTGTTTTTGTTAGGGTCTTTTCTTTACCTTAACAAGCTCTCCATATCTTTGTCGTGCACATCTCGAAGAATAACAATAGGATGCTGGCACGGGTTCGCTTTTAGTAATCTTCTGAAATATGGACTGCAAGCTGATAGCACCACCTAAAGAAAGTATTTCATAAGAAAATATAATGATAAATAAACTAGATATACCTAGTAGGTACTTTAATGTGTCCTGTCTGAATTTCTCACTTAATCTGACAGAGCCCAATTCAAATATCGGTATAATGATCAAACCTAAGATCACTGGCATGGAAAGCAATGCTTATGCTCAATATTTATTTCTATTTATAATATTGAAGTTATGGTCGCAAATAAACAAAATCATTTCGCATAGGTTTATATTATAAATAACTATACACACTCATGTCTGGTGGTGTTGCGTGAAATATTTGGCACAATTTTTTATATAGCCATCAGTGGCGAAGGGTGCAATTTAAACAGAGGTAAACCGTTCCAAAATAATCAAATTTTATATACATATTAATGCAGAAAGAAATAAAGCTATTATATATATATATATATATATATATATATATATATATATATAGATATATATATATATATATATTTATTTAAAAATGGCACATGATACACGTACCTTATGCGCGGTAAATGTTGCGCCTGCGCAGGCCAATGTGACGTCGACGAAATCCTCCTCGTCGCGCAGCCGACGGAAGGAGGACACCATCGCCGAGTGGAAGTCGTTCCACCGCAGCGAGTACTGCTGCTCGCCCGCGGCGCCTGCGTGCAACCGAGCTGTTAGACGCCCGTGATAATACTTGCATATTATATGTGTTTTTATGAAAATTGTTTTAGTCTATACTTATGTCCTTTCCATGTTTGCAAATTATGTGTTTATATGAAAAATAAGCTTAGTCTACAGCCCTTTTGATGATGTTTTTATTCTATGTATGTACGAGTAGGTACGTAGTAATGTTATTATTGGATTTTGGTGTAGCGTGAATAAGGTGTTAGAATTAAATGGTTAATTTCAAAGTACATTAAAACTTTATTTTCATTAGATATACAAAATTTTGTTTGCTTATTATTTGTGTTTTTATAAAACAATTTTTTAGTTTATAGCCCTTTCGATTATTTACTTGGTCTATGTATTATGGGTTTTTGTATAGTGTATAAGGAGATAAAATTAAAAGTTTCTTTCAAACTACTTTAAATACTTATTTTATTTGTAATACACAATTCTAAAGAAAACAATAGGTAATAAGTACACATACGATTATATAAATCTATTTTATAATCGTATGTGTACTTGACACTTCCAGTTTAGTATATTGATTAAATTATTTAAAAACTTAGTAAAAAAAAAGTGTTTTTATGATCAATTTATTAAGATTACGTATAGAATAACTAAAGATATACTCTTTAGTTGAACAAACAACCTACGTAATATATAAGACAAAATGTCCCTAACCTGGCTGGAAATGGCGACTATTAACAAAATTCAAATTCAAAATTCAAAATATTTTATTCAGCATTAAATCATTACTATTTCTTACTGAACGTCATGAGTCTACTACCAGTTCGGAAAGAAGAAGCCTCAGACCTGAGAAGAACTGGCGAAAGAAACTCAGCGGGACTAATATTAACTCGTTGTCTTTATTTAAAGTAAAATTATAATTTACAATATTTCTATCATATGTATTTACATATACACATATGTATTTATTCGTAGATAAACGTTCTATGACTGTTTAAACAATTCGTGATTGCGAAATAAGGAAACACTGATCACTATTCGTAATCAAAATCATGAGAGTATGCAAGATTTTGCAATAGAAATTTTAGGTTTGCATAAAATCGTGCCAATATTCATTTATTTTTAAATTTTATTAGTAACTTGGGTGGGTTCTTGTGCTTAAGTGGATTAGAAACGTATATAAGACAATCGTCCAAAGAAAAATATATTTTTTTTGCCAGAAACTTCACAAACGTATACAGAATAACCCAGCAGAGGTTCGCCACAATAGGATCAATGATTTAGGAACGCGTAGAGACATACATACATACATACGAACATTCGTTTTTATTTATATATAAATAGAAAATATTTGATTTACAAAATTAATGTATTCTGTCCATTGGCAAAATAAAAAGTCTCCACTTGCTATCATACTGGGATAAAAGCCTGTCTTACTTACATAAGCTCAACAATACATCAATCCAATTTTTCATCACTACATAAAAGGAAAAAATAAAAACGTAGGGATTATCGCATTTATAACTTTTAGTAAGCATTATAGTAAAATATCCCATTGTAATCTATACTAATATTATAAATGTGAAAGTTTGTGAGTATGGATGTATGGATGTTTGTTACTCTTTCATGCTAAAGCGGCTGAACGGATCTGGATAACTTTTTATACCGGAAAAATGTACGGTTCCCGTGGGATAGATTTATTTTTGTTTTACACTAAGGACGAACCAGAGCGAAGCGAGGATGAGTAGCTAGTATTTTTATAATGATTAAAAAACTATTGGTACATAAAATCCATAGAAAGTAAGATTTACGACTAAGCATATTTGCATTTGTTATATCTTAATTAAGTAGAAGCTTATTAGTTCACAATCAGATACAATGAATAGCCTCAGGCATTTAAAATTGTATATTTTTTTAAATAAGCCTTTACATACAGTTTTGTTTACACTATCGAAGCACATTATATATAAATAATTTGGCGCCGCAATTCAACTGTAGGTAGATATATTGAAAATTTAATGTCGTTGTGTTTTGTCTTATAGAGGGCACTCATAACTATAGCGCTATAGAGACCTTTTCCCAATTCGACTGAATAGATATTTTGTATCTCAAAACAGTATAAAATAATAATCAAAAACGTATGATGACGAAGGTTTGAGGACACGTTTGGTACAGTTTGTAGTGATTTACTTGCTGCGCCAGCGGCCACGGGTTCGAGTCTAGCTGGGGCATTCATTTGTATGATATGCACGAATGTTTATACCCCAGTCATGGGTGTTTATATTTATAATATGTATGTATTTAAAGTTATACCTATATGTGTAGTGTATCAACTATCTAGTATCTACATATAACACAAGCTTCTAGCTTACCATGGAACTAAAAGGGTGTTGTGTGTTAATGTCTTTAAAAAAATGATAAAAATTGCGAAACTATAAATTCATTGACTCTACATATGATGAAGAAATTTGATTTTATATGAAAAAATATATTCCCAGCGGAGGCGTAATTAACTTGAAGTATCTATATATGTAATATGAAGATGTAAGGTTTTCAATGAAACACGTTTTACTATATATATGTACTATGAATTAAGACGACCTTGCTGTATAAGGAAAAGTACAGTGTAGTTGAATCATTAATAATTGAGTAATAGATTAAATGTTATTGTTAGTTTTTCTTTTAAATTTTGTTTTTATTAGTTGGGAGTAAAATTAAATAAATGTCTATGTCTAAATAATAAGTAAAAAATTGATAAAAGTAAAAAAAATAATACAATAAATAAAGTTACAATTTTGGAATTTTTCGCAGATTAATTTTGAGTTTTGATTCTCTTCGTTTCGAATACTTTACAGCAATCATGGTTACACGACCAAAAATCAAAATAAACCCGCGATAAAATCCTAGAAGATAGTTTTGTTTAAAAAGTAAAATATTCGCTTTTTTTTCAGTTCAGTAATCAAACTCTTAACCTCTTATTTAACAGACCAATGCGTCATTGGTAATACAATTTTTTTGTGAGAAGGACACTTAATTCATTTTTTTATGTAGTCTATATAATTACCTACTATTATTTTTATTTTTATAAAACCGGGAATGAACTCACGACCCATGATTAAGTATAGAATTTAAATTCGCACAGATAGTACCTAGATACACAATCCACCAAAGTTACATGACATAAAGAACCATTTATACTAATATCTATACAAGTTCATTGTAACTTATAGGATAATGTCACCTTCACATTTGCTGCGATGTACAGAGTTGACCTTTCAGTTTAATTCAAGAGCGAAAAATTTAGGAAAAAATCACGCCAAAGTTTTGAAATTGAAATGTCTTCAAATATAAATTATTTATATATCAAGAATTACTTATCGGGTACCTACTTATATCTCTACAACTCGGATTTGTTTATAGTTTACTTGCGATATGGTTTGGATTCATTTTGTTCAAACTAAGTACATCAACAATTCGATAGGTTTTATCGTTTCGATTTTTTTTGTGAATTTATTTTTATTTTTGGTTCCATGACCATGATTGCTGTAAAGCGTTCGAAACTTCGAGACCAAAAATCGAAATAAATCCGCGAAGAAATCAGAAAAGATAGTTTTATTTAAAATATATAAGTTATCTAAAAACCCTAATCGATAATAAAAATAACATGAATAGTTATATGATAATGTAGTTAAAGCATAAATACGCATACAGAAATACCAACTTTTTTGTACTACTCTAGTATTCATAGAGAGATTTAGAAGTTAAAGTTAAGTGTAAAATAGACTTGTAATTTTTTCTTTCTCTTCCGTATGTTTTGAATGTAATCTATACATATAATAAGATTTTAACTGAGTCAAATCTGTACATTAAATATTTTTTGGTAAATTTTATTGAAATAGTCATTATTAACGATACAGAGGCCAGATCTATAGTTTTTAGAATTTATGTCTGACTGTCTGTCTGGTCTCAACTCATCACGAGAAAACCACAGTACAGATTTTGATGAAATTTGGTTTGATGATAGCTGGTTACCGTGTCAACATATAGGATACTTTTTACTGCAGGAAAATATCTCAACTCTGAGAAATCTGTACTAAACGTTAAAACGTAACTAGGGACAAACTCGAGCGGAGCGTGGGTGAGTCATTAGTTTTATATATTTTCAAAACACCAGATATGTGTTATTATGTAGTTAGTCGTTTCATTTGCGAATAATTTCATCGATTGCTTTAGCTCTATAGTATAAATTTAAATATCCAATGGAGTCGATCACATAGATACATCGATATACACATTAATCTGATTTCTTTTCACTCTTGCCAGTCGCTTAAATATATTTAATCTAAAATATCTAAATGAATAAATAAAAAGAAAACGTAATAAACTAATAGGATATCCTTTATACACATACTCCTATGCACTACCAATACTATATAGTTTTTACCTAGAAACGATCAATACAGAAGACGATCCCTTATATATCAGTGTGGGGACCTTTTGTAATTATCATAAAAACCCTATCTTCCAGAATTGTCACACCGTAAGATAATATATAATCGTTTTCTTTCTCTAGTAGGAGTATTTTCGTTTTCTATTAGTTATGTTTGTTCGGTTTACTAATTCAATATTTTCATCTTATAGAAGTTATACCTAAGTTTCCCGCTAATATGTCTATGTGTCTGTCTGTTTTACCGTAGCTATCAAACGAATAGACCGAATTTAATGTATTTTTTTCATAATACTTTTTTAGATTTACGCGAATATTTGACATATATAAGTAAAAGGGTAGGTTATGTAAGGTTATTTATCTAAGCGTTGTCAGTCAGGATTCTAATAAACTATTTGTCTGTCTGTGCTTGCCTTTTTTGTATGCAATTTGTAATACAAAATTTTTAAAATAACTCCTATACTTCTAAATACATAGTGAGTTTCACTTTATGTAAATATAGATTGAAAATAAAGATATATGTATTCAGCCCTTTTTATCGTCTCACTGCTACGGAGGGACCTCCCTTCAATACGAGGACGATCAGGCCATAGTCCACCACGCTGGCTAAGTGCGGGTTGGCGGACTTCACATCTCTTTCGAAAACTTGCTAGATTCTCTCAGACATGCAGGTTTCCTCACGATGTTTTCCTTCACCGTAAGACAACTAGTAATTATGTTGGAAATATACACAATGAAACAATTGTAAAACTCTCCTGAGATTTAATTATAACTGGATCGTTATTAATTAAGTTCGTTAACATTTAGTGTGAATGCACGCGTTTGTCTGACTCCCCAACCCCCAGCGGCCGCGATGCGACCACACCGCCGCGCAGACTTGCAATCAAATATTTACTTCAAAATTAAAATTCACGTATTAATATAGAAACCAATATGAATCAGTCTAGGGTTTATTATAATTTGTTAAAATTATGTTAGAAAAAAACCCTAATTCCATCAATACTTTTTAATTTAGTTAATGATTTGTATCATATACATATATATGTATGTATGTATGTATGTTTTCTTTCTAGAAATATATGAATTTTATTATTTACTTAATACACGTCCGCCAACCCGCACTTTGCCATTGTGGTGAACTATGGCCTGATCCCTCTCGCATTGAAGGGAGGCCCGTGCCCAGCAGAGGAGGTTAAAAAGGGCTAAATATGATGTTTCTTAACAATATATTTATTATAAAGTAGATAAAGCACCTTAAGATTCTCAATTACGATATTAAAAAATCAAGGAGACAATTTTGTAAATCATAAGTAGGTAGAAAATAACTACATCATTCCATCTACGATTAAAAATATATAAACCCAATTTACATCCATACTAATATTATAAATGTGAAGGTAACTGTCTGTTAGTTTTTAATTCTTAAACCGCTGAACAGATTTCGATAGAATTTGGCAATGACATAGATTGCATCCTGGGATCGGACATAGGCTATCCTCGACCCCTGACCCGCTTATCAAGCGATTCCCCGGACAACACTAGTTTTTTATATATTCGTAAATGTTTAGGGGTTTACGCTTCACGTCTGCCGTGTGCTTCAACCATCCCTTATTCATTGATTGGATTTGCTTGTATACTTATATATATTCTTTAAAAGAAAACTAAATAGTAGATAGGTATCTACTACTTTTAAAAAGATAGAATATACAAATTGTTGAGTTACAAATTATAATTTTCATTAAATATTATGAAAGAAAAAGTAGTTATTTTTAGTAGATTTCATATTATAAAATAAATGCGTTACATATTTTTGTATGGTGCTACATTAACAAAATCTTAATTAAATTACTGAATATTGATTAGGTACTGATATGTAGGTACAAGTCCTTCAAAATGAAGACTGTTAGAATAAGCGAGACTACCTAAACAGACAGACTAGTGATAACTTGATAAGTGTAAGTAAGAGTTCAAATCCATCCTTTTAACGATATGGCACTAGAGAAATATATAAACCGTAAAATCTGTTAAAACATTAAAATATCAAATAAAAATATCAAATGTAAAAAGAAAGAAACTCTAAGATTTTAAAAAGAAGTGATAAAGGAAATACATTTAAAGAACGAGAAAAATATCGCACTTCGAAATCTTGAAATAAAAGCGTCGTCATTAAACGTATCCCACCCTCGTCCTGGGGGATTCTGGGATGATCCGGGTGGAGACGGGGTGGGGGTGGTGGGTGGTGAATATCAACGAACTCATGTACCGTACGAGTGACTGGACGGTTACGCTCCTCATATAGATTCTGTTGGTAAACAATTGCGTATCGTATAAATACGCACCGAAAACTTTTCATTTCAGTTTTAAAAACTTGTTCGACGGCTCGCTGACGTACTTTCGATTATCCCGACCGTGCATCAATGAAAGATAATGAATGATGCAATTGTTTTTTAAATGTACATACTCGCATTAATTTGATTCATTAAACTTGTATTTAAAATAAGTTATTACAAACGGATACTCAGATGTCTCTCGATATAGGCTTAATTTTAAACTAGTATATACTGAAAAGATTTTTGTTATATATTTTGTACATATATGTAACTATACAATTGTGTTATATAAAACCGGAAGTCTAGTAAAGGCAAAGCAAAGGCAGATTGCTGGTTAATAGAAATAATAATTATTTTTATACTTAATAAATAAAATGAAACTGATTATTTATAACGTCAAAATATAAATACAAATGTAGAACTAATTCTCTCATATCAGATATCAACTGAATTGGGGCCGGAAATTGTTTTTTTATAAACAAAGAAAATATACAAGTGTTAATATTTGCTATGCGTCGGTTTTAAGATTTTATAAACATGAATTCGTAAATGCGAATGAGTTAACCCGATATTTATGTAAAGTATGCAGCTGTCAGAATTGTTCTATCACAGTGTGACTACGAGTACATTGATTTATGATGGTTAAACTTTGTGGATAATATCTAACGTTTTTAAAGCTATTTCTATATAGATACTGTTTTAATAGAATATTTGGAATAGATATGTCTAATATGCTTTCTTGTAAGAATCGAAAATATTTCTTTAAGCCGTATTATAAATTTGAGTAATGTATTAAATAGTTTTACTCAAACTAACAAAACAGTCTTATTGCCTGCGTATTTTTTTAATAATAAATAGTGAATGTTTGTAATAAAGACAATGATTAACGAGGTGGGCAGATACTCACCGGTCTCGGTCGCCATGGCCGGCTGTTCGCAGGGCGGCACGGTGTCGGGGCGTGCGCGCGCGCTATACAGGTCTCCCGCGCATTCCACGCGACCCCCTAACCCCGCCACTTTCGCGATTGTCACTTCTGCCGATTTTTATATTCTATGACCCTATTGGGCTTAAAGCTTTGTGTTTTTAGTTTGCCTGAAAGAAAATAGTGTGTTAGGATTTTGCTGTTTCACGTTTTGTTTTGAACGTATCGGTAAAGGTGAGGGTGAGAAGCGACGGTATTTTTTGTATTTTTAATTTATAAATTTTCGAATAAGTATTTTTTTAAATATATTTTTTAAACGCGTCATTTGATTTTAATAAAATGTTAATAAGAACTTTTAATTCAAAATAATTATTTATGAATGACAAAAATATTTAGATACGATACCTATTAAATATGTATTCAATAAAATGAAAAAAAAAACACTGCTAAAACAGAAATTAAATACACTATCAAAATTAATTTAAACTGCACTTCCAAATTAAAGCACTGTTTTTTAATACTAGCAATACTTAGAGTAAAAAAAAATATAAGTGCACTCAATTGCACAATACAATACAGTTTCAAATATTATAAGCAAGCTGCATGTATTTATAGTTGGGGCATCTGACGAGTAGTTTAGGTACTTAATCGTTCAATTTTGTAATCAATTAATAAATAATTATGTTGTATCAGTTATCCGGCTCGTTTGCGTTCCGAAAAAATCCAAGCTCGTATACTCGCGTCCACGTGACGTCGAAAATGAAAACTCGATTAACACATTACACGTACTCGAACACTTCAGCAAAAATCGAGGTATGGGGTAATTACGAGCGCTGATCATGCGGGGTGTTAATTTAGGGCCGGTGCAACGATCGATGGCGCGCCCTGCATCGCCACAATAAGGGAGGAGCGGGCAGATAGAAATCAATACGATGTCCATCATCGCTTGCACCCTCCCCTCGTCCGCACCGCCTGCGCCATGCACCCGGGAAATGCATTTTCCGCGATACCGCCGCTTATCACCCGTACTCTTTCCGGTCGAATTCGCGGGGGCCGCGAGTGGGATCGTCAAAAGGAAAAATTCGTACAATTTTTTTACGTGACGTCCGATAACGAATGCACCTCGCTGTTTATGTTTGTGGATGGGAAACGCGCGTGCTGTCCGTAGCGCGTGACGCGGGCGACTGTCGCCCCGCCACTCGGCCGAGAATAAACAGCGGGGGTGAGTGCGCGGGGGTGGCGGGGGGCGGGGCGGTGCAGCCTGCACGCCCACCGGCCGGCCCGCGGCGCGCTCCACTGGCCGGCGGACTTTATGGAAAGCTCGCGCCGCCAAGTGTGGCTGCAAGTGCATCGCTTTGACACCTCGAGCTTTCAGCGTTTAAATTCATGTTGAATGCGTATGATGTAATATTATTGTTTGGTTTTTATGAAAAATAAATTGTAATTATTTATTGTGTCTCTTGTTTTTTTTTGCGATTATTATCATTATAATTTATAGAGAATGCGATTTGAATAAATAAACGGATTTTTGCATTATTTTTTTTCACTTACACTTAAAGTCGGACGATCGTTTTATTAAAAGTTTTATAAATATTTTATTTTATAATTTCTTATATTTAAAAAAAATATATTTAATAGTTGTATCGACTTACTAAATTTTATATCTATGATAGGTAATTTAGTATATAATTTTCATTAACTATGTTTAAATTGGCCACGTGTAAGCTAATGGCTAATAACAACGAACGATTTAATGAATAAAGAGTTTTATTTGAATTTAATTAACATAACTATTGAGGTAAAGGTATTTAGTAAGTTTCATATCTAATTGGCATATATTAGAATTAAAAAAAATTTAATAATACACAAATTATACATTTTAAATATTCTCGCAAAAATAATATTTTTAACGGAAGATTAAATGTCCCTAATATTATAACTTTGAAAGATTTTTCCACGCATCAATATTACTATTGACACGAACAAACAAAACAAAATTACAAACTTATTAAAACTATCTTACTGTACAAAATATTTCTATCTTAAAGCACAATGCTACAGCGGTTTCGAAAACAAAATAGAAATGATCTGTAAAGGCCGGCCAATCATTCGTCAAAGAGGGTCGTAAATCTCGGAGGGTGGGTGAGGGTGAGGGTGTTACGTAACATCAGGAAGTGCGGATTAGGAATCAATAGTGGCCGTAATGATAGTTGTAGCGTAATAGATGGTACTGCGCCGTTTGCGGTGCGCGTTACGATTGCTCGGGGAGGGCAGTTTTTGTGTGAAAATTGAGTTTTTTTATTACATATTACTATTAGATTTTGTAGGTTTGATATGATTTTTATTTAATTTTATGAAAGTTTCCGTTTATAGTTTGATTTGTAGTAGCTTTTGGGTTATGTTTGGAATCTCTTAGATAGTTTAGCTGGTTTTGAACCTATTAGGTAATTTTAGGTCCGAACTTACATACCTTTTAATACCTACATATATTTTGGCAAAGAAAAAAATATTACCTACTTTTATACCATATTGCGAGATTATATTAATTATTAAACTTATTATTTTAATGACTATTAAAAAGTTCTTTTAATGAATTTCGCACATATTTTAGATTTACTTTACTTATTTTTCATTGCTCTAGACCGCAACGTAGTTCTACGCCATACTTTACTTTTACTTTATTACCGTAAATTATAAATGTAAATAAGTATTATCTGCGTAATAAGTCTGCAGCACCGCACCCCCACCCCTGTCATGGCCTGCGGTCATCCGTCATGGTGTCAGGCCCCTTCCAGTTTGTTTAGACGCGAGTAAACGAACAAACTGATGCTGCTATTGATCTTTTAGTTTCATATTAGATTATAATATTTGCATATTTCAAGCCGCATAAACTATACCGTTACGTATTTTAATTTGTTACATATAGTTTTGTTATTTCATAAATAATGCAGATTTTTTGTGTTTACCATTATTTATGTATAAGTTATTTGGATATTAATATGGAAATTAAAATAATATAATAATAACTACTATGGCCAGAACTATAAACTATTATATGTCTTGACTATATCGAGATATGTAATGTACTTATAAATATCTCGTGTCACAGTGTTTTTGGTCGCACTCTTTCAAACGGCTCGACCGATTTTAATGATTTTTTTTTGTAAATTTGGTAGGTATGAGAATAGGTCGTAAAGTATTTTTCACCCTTTTACCCCCACCCCCCATTTCTTACAATATTCGAATAATTAAATATTATATGAGCGAAGCGAGAGTGAGTCGCTATATAAAATAAAGCAAAAGTTTTTTTTGAACGTTGTTGAACTTGGGCGAACCGCGGGCCCTGCTACTACATCTATATAAATTAAAAAAATATAGGTAGTAATAAAAATATTATAGTACCTCCATTGCGACTACATACATATAATATCGAATATTAAGTCGATACTGATCAATGTTACTGAACCGATAATGAATTACCTACTGTTTGTTTTGACCAATACAATGTGTTGTTTCGTTTAGTGGTTAATTTTTTTTTTGCGTAGCGAAAGAGCGACGTTAATTTGGCCAAAGGCTAATTTAGATTAATTAAATAAGGTTTTAATTATCTGTAAAATCTTTAACACAATTGAATATTTTAAAATACTTTAGCTTTATAATAAAAGTCATATGTAGTATTTTTAGAAGGTTATAATTGCTACCAATGGGTTAATTTTAGACTGCATTTACATCGATGAGTACTTGCAAATCTAAGTATTATCTGCATAATAAATCTACCGGGGACTCCCCCTGACCCCTCGTTGCCCCCTGTCGTCGCTCACGGTCATCTGTCATGTCGGTACACCTACACCCCCGCCCGAAATCAGTTTTGTATAGCCGTGGAACAGAGATAGACATTAGACACCTGTTATACTACTACTCGATATCGACTTAGTTTGAATACAAATTATTTGGATTAAAATTAGCTTAGTAATAGAGATGAAAATTTAATATATAGGGTTTTGAATTTTGATATAATATTAATTTAAAAAGTAGGTATACAAAATTGAACTAAAATTTGATTTTTCCCTAAATGCTTGACTATACAAAGTTTTATTGTTTTTTACATATCAAAAGTTGTGTTGGGATGTTTAAGAGGCATCCAATATTGTGTAGAGCATAGAGTCTGGTTATTATTTTTAGATTACATTTGCCACTTGTATGTGGTTATGCGGATTAATATTATAAATGTGAAAGTTTGTGAGTATGGATGTATGGATGTATGTTACTCTTTCACGCCAGAACGAAAGAAATTTGGCACAGAGATAGCTTATAGTGTGGAATATTTTTTTTCTTTTTTTTTTTCTTCTTTTGTTTATTGTACAACTGAAATGGCTTAAACTCGTAACCACATAAAATTTTAATGGAATACTTCTATAAAAAGCTGTGCATACTTTTAAATTAAATTTATATACAAATAGGTAACATTATAATGTTAAATACATGTTTCATTTAGTAAGTAAAATTTAGTTAGTAAGCCTTTATAATAAATAAATAACACTTAGGCTACTTTTTATCCCGGAAAAATGTACGGTTTCCGTGGGATAGGTTTGTTTTTGTTTTTCAAAAGGCGAACCTGAGCGAAGCGAGGGTGAGTCGCTAGTTTATACTACTGTATCTACTGTATCTGTTCATTGCAAATCACTTTATATATCGATTTTGATTAAAAAATTCATATTGCAATTTTGCAAACATGACATCCTTGTGATTAAATAGCCTCTTTAAATTCAAAATTTCTTCATTTAAATTAACTCGTGGGGTAGAAAAAACAGTAATTATCGACTTTAGTCAAGTATGGGTAGAAACGCATTATCACCCCCGGGGCGATCAGTCACGAGGCCGGTGCCGATGACAAACCCCCTGTCATTAAACTTATTTTTAAAATCTGACTTTTACCACCCTCATAGGATTTCGCAATATATTTTTTTTGCAACAAACGGAACTGTAATTTATTTTGGTGTATTGAGTTAAGAAATTTTTTACGTAGTTGTTTATGTGTGTTATTATTATATTTTATGATGATTTTAGTTTCTTTATAAGAATATCTTTAAGTACTACATATATTTTGGCTAAATATTTTTCTAGTTTAAATGTTCCTTACATTAAACTTTTTTTAACAATTTAAATGGGGCCATGAAAATCTATTAATAATTAGAGATTATTATAATCGAGTCGAGGGACAAAAAAATTATCAGATTGACACCGTCCTTTTTGAAGTCGGTCAAAAACTTCAATCAATTTAACCTACCTTACCTAGATTTAACTTAAAAAATCTAATTAATATTATAATGTACCTATATCAAAGTATTAATTTATATAAATGGGCAAAGACAAAACAGTTTGTCATCCCATTTTTTTTTGTCAACCGACTTCAAAAAGGAGGAGGTTCTCAATTCGACTGTATGTTTTTTTTTTATGTTTGTTACCTCAGAACTCCGTCATTTATTAACCGATTTGGACAATTTTTGTTTTGTTTGAAAGGGTGTACTTCCAGATTGGTCCCATTTAAATTTCAAAAAAAAATACCACCCCTAAGGGTGGAAAAACAACTGATGATGAATTTAACCTACTTCTAATTGTCATATTGACTTGAAACTTTGCAAGTATTTCTATTTCCGTTGATAGTACAGTGGTTCGGTGTTGTTGACCTGATCTGATAGCAAGGCCAGAAGGTGGATAGGTGGAACTCTTCAACGGCTAATAGTAGATACTTTGAGTTTGGGCTTATTTTGTTTGATTTGACAAGCCTAACACGTTAGAATCCTTACTTTGCTTCTACTGTCTACACTGAAAAGGGAAAAATAAAAACTTTTTAACAAAAAAATAAAAACCGACTTCAAACAAAAGCACTAAAAAGTAACAAATAACTGATTGGTAGTTTTCATTTACTATACATACCTAATCAAATATTTTCGAAGTCGGTGCCAGCCCATACAAAGCTAAGCACACCGACTTCGAAAATATTTGATTAGGTATGTATAGTAAATGAAAACTACCAATCAGTTATTTGTTACTTTTTAGTGCTTTTGTTTGAAGTCGGTTTTTATTTTTTTGTTAAAAAGTTTTTATTTAGTAGCAATTGACAAGGTTTAGTGTTATCGATAAAAAATATTTCGTCAAAATACGAGTAATGGTCGAACACTACATTTATTAATTAATTTAATTTTAATTTTAAATTTCTTTATAGATTTTTTTAATATATAACAACTAGAATTGCCCGCGGCTCCACCCGCGTTCAGATGACCAAAAACCAAATTCTTAGGTTTTACATATTAGTATACTCTTACAATGCAGTTTTTGTTTTTTTTCTCA